ACTGTCTATACGCTTTATTCTTTCTTTGTACTTCCTGCGCCTGCGCTCGTCTACTGCTGCTGCTCTCGTGTATTATCCTCGTTCATCGGTTTAACCTCGCATAATGCTACATCATGTACTATATAATATTCACAATGAATGTCTTGTCATTGGAATCATGGGCGAGATTGCGAGTCCTCATCATATGGTGTGAGCTTTTATCATACGGCATAAAACACCAGCCGATCTTATCATGTAATTATCATGCAGGCACCGTCAACGGTAAGATAGCCATCAATATTATAATATCATCCCTGATCTGACCATTTCACCGTCTGATTTTGGTCTGATTTCCTGTATGTTAAAAACGGACTTTACGCTCCACTCGTGCTGGAGATTCAAAATATCACTAAGGTACGGTGTCAGTTATAACGGATTCTACTACTGCTCATGTACTTATATTCGGACCGCCCATTTAGTGATGCTATACTCATGCGAGTGGCATAGATTGAAGAAGATACTTAACAGCTAGTGGTAGCTTTGTGCAACTTCGTGTCTCCTTCTCCAATGCCTCAGGGTACGAAAATGAATTAATGACGAAAGCGCACAAGAGTTGGGGTTACAGGCGTAGATGCGGTGAGTGCGGCGTTAAAATTGTCAGGGCGTTTAGGGTCAGAACTCCCACGTTGTTCTGCAGGCATACCCCTATTGCGACCCAACATTTTTCCCAACATTTTTCTCCAAGGGTTTCTCTATTGAAAAGTTGGTTCTTGGCTTATCAGGGTATCGTATCTCTGCAACCTCGCCATCAACTCACCACACGAGCAAGAATTATGGGCTATCGGGCATTATAACCGAATTCTGACTGCGGTCGAAGAATATCCTCAGCTGCAGAGGTGTTCATGTCCGAGATGCTGCACAGTGGAATCAAGAACGTGCAATAGCTTCCTTAGTCAAGAATATAATCCGATGATCCACCTGCAATCAATGAGTGTTTACAAGTGCCATAGAGGATAAGTCAGATATATACCCAAGGCCAAGCCCTCAAGTAAAAACGCTAAGTAGCGGGTGTAGGATCCAGGTTAACGTAAATTAGTTCCATTAAGGTGTCCGTATGTGAGGTACACCACGGTATAGCGGCACAAGTGCCATAGAAAAGGCAGACAGCAGAGTTAATAAGAATATCTTACGTCATTGGATGCGCGCAGCAATAATCAACCACTCGCAGCTAACCTCGCGTCGAAAGGGACGACCTATCCCATAGCTGCCCTCGACGCATCCTTCTCGCGCCTTGCTTCAAAGAATGCACGCACGTCCGCCTCGCTGACGGCGTTTCCCTCGCGCGCGAATGGGCGGAGATAGGACATGAGGTCGTCGCTAGTGGATGATAGGCAAAGTAAGGACTCTATCCAATAAGCAAGTACGCGACGAGCGCAGAGAACGCACCGCATATCGTTGAACGCGCGAATCCCATCCAGCGTCTTTTCGCGCGGCAGCGTCTGTAGCGCGCGCATCCCAAGCTCCTCGAGCGACAGAGCCGAGTCGGGGTCTTCGGGTGGCTCGTACGTCTCTTCTTCGGCGAGGAGGTAGGGATGGGCGGAGAGGGAGGAGAGGCACTGGAGCGGTACACGGTCAGTGAGATAGACACCGGGAGTATTGCGGGGCAAATGAAAAACGTACCTCGGGGCAGCGACACCACCGTTCGCGCCAGCCTTCGGTGAGGAAGACGTCGCCGGCACTAAGAGGGTGAGTGCTCCCGCGCGGCGGGGGTGGTTGCTGTGGCTGCCGTCTTTCGTCTTTCGCCTCAGCAGATTTGACCTCTGCTAGGGGCGGTACTCGGTCTAGGATCTCCTGCGCCAGCATATTTGGTGAAGGCGCGAGACAGACTTTCACATCCGGCCCATCTGGTTCCCTGTCTGGACCATCATGGTCAGGCGAGGACAGTCGTGCCCGCTTCGCATCCGGCGGCGATGCAGCTTCGCTTGTTCCCGTAGGTTCGCCCGAGTGTTCACGTTTAGCGCCCGCATGTGCGGGCATGCCATCATGGCCAGGCGAGGACAGTTGTGCCCGCTTCGCATCCGGCGGCGATGCAACTTCGCTTGTTCCTGTAGGTTCGCCCGAGTGTTCACGTTTAACGCCCGCATGTGCGGGTATGCCATCAGGGTTAGGCAGGGATAGTCGTGCCCGCTTCGCATCCGGCAATGCAGCTTCGCTTGTTTCCGCAGGCTCGACCGAGCGTTCGCGTTTAGTGCCCACATGTGAGGGTATGCCATCAAGGTCAGGCGGGTACAGTCGTGCCCGCTTCGCATCTGGCGATGCAGCTTCACTTGTTCCTGCAGGCTCGACCGAGCGTTCGCGTTTGGTGCCCGCAGATGCGGGTACGGAGCCCGCTGTTTCAGCATCCACGGCTTCAACATCCACAGTATCTGCCTCTTCTCGGTCCTGTCCTCGTGGTGTGCGAGTTGGAGACACATCATCGAGAGTATGCCACGCCCCGCTTGGTTCGTCACGTATGACAATTGGCGCACCTCGCGTGCCTGCTATGCGTTTCAAGGCGGGGATAGAGGCGACACACGACGCGCAGACGAAGGCGTCAAAGTCCTCGGCAGTGAGTAGGGCTGGTGGGAGGGAGGAGACGGATGCCGCGTCGTCGTCATCGTCCTCTGCGTCTTCGGCTTGGTCGCCGTCGGATGGGCTGGCTGTCTCTACAGTGGTCTTCGAGTTCGCGGGCTTTCCCTCTAAGTCCTCATCCTCAGGGCCTTTGGCTTCGTCGCCATCGGATGGGTTGGATGCCTCGGCGGTGGTCTTGGCTTTGGTCGAGTCGTCCGCTGAGTCCAAATCGCGTGGGGCTGGGCGTTCGCGAAGGTTGAGACACGACTCGTGAAACCAGTCCTAGGAAAGGTTTATATATATATTGAGCTGCCAATGATTTAAGAGAAGGGTCGGAAACGCACCTCGCATGTTACACACTCCACCATTGTCTCCCTTTCCGTCCGTGCGTCATACGGCCTAGAGCACCGGCAGAACACACCCCAGAAGTTTTGCCCATATATATTCTCCTCATTCTCCTTCTCTCTCTCCCCACTTCTTGGTCCTATCCCGGCTCCTTCTCCACGATGAAGCGAACACGCGCCCGGCACCGCCGTGGTGGGGCAGTCGCACCGAAAGTTACGCTTCGGGAACAGCTCCAGTTGGTTGTGGTCTGCATGGTGGCATGCGACAGCACATGCGTCGCACAGTCCTCGGGGAACGTCGCATGTGAGACACAAATGGACGGCCTGGCGGCGGGGACCGAGCGCGTAAGTGCAGGAGGCGAAAGTGTGCGGGATGGCTTCAGCGGCTTCGGCCAAGAGCGCTGATTGGGCTTCTAAGAGGTCTGTCAGCGGTCGCGAGGGTGACGATGAAGATGCATGGCCAGTTGGGGGTGGGGTCGACATGGAGGTGTTGGGAGAGGACAGGAATGAGCTGACATGCTGACAATCTGAAGGGACGGGAGACCGATGCTGGGGACTTCGGGGGATGCCGACTTCACGCGTCGCGACGCGTCTTACTTTCAAACCCACATGTTCCTCAATTACCTGCTCCGTTCATTTGTTACTTATACCCCAATGATGTCCAATAAATGCTGCTGCATCTCCATACTGCTGCTCCGGTTGGAGTCGACAGCGACCCTTTGCTTTGGTGTGCTCCCACTTCTCACTTTGAGACACGAGGTTAGTAACTGACTTTGCCAATGACTATCCTCATATCGCTAGATAGTCTGACTCCCACACACGCGCTTCACCATCACGCACGCGAATTCAAGTCCAAGTTTCATTGTTTTCTGCACTTTATAATCACACTGCATACATCCAATGGTTTGTATGTACAGCTCGGAAGGGAAGCCGTTATGTCTACTCGGAGATGTCCTGAGTACCGCATCCTTCAAGGAAGGCATCCATCATCATTGTCGCCGCCACCTCGTCGATCAAATTTGAAGGAGTAGAAGCTTGCGTGGGACCAGGCCCATTGGCAGGACTAGATTCGCCACTGACTGCGGCAGCAGCGCCCAAGTCGCTAGCACCACCGGCTATAGTGCAAAGGGGCACATGTCCGGCTATCGATCCAATTTGTTCATGAAGCTGCGGCATAGAGACGTCATTCTCGAGCTGAGTGACTGTTCTTTGAGAGTCTTCATGAGAGCCAGAGGGTGACATGGGGTATAGAAGCTGTAGGTCTTCTCCTGAATCGTAGGAGACAGCTTGACCGAAAGCCCGATTAAGTCCGATCGCGTGGGCTTGATAAGGCGAGGGTCGATTTGCTTTTGAGAACCTATCTGATCTGCGTCGTTCTTCTCCTACCCGATGACCCTCAGACATCGGAGTGGCATCCTCATTCGAAGGCCCGGCACCAGGAATTGACACTGGCACTGGCTCGATGGTAGCACTATCTACCAGGGAGTTGGTTTCTGTTAGCTCTTGGTATATGGCTTCGTCAGCAGGAGGCCGCAGCGCATCAAGTCCTCCAAGTTCTTGGGATTTGATATCGTGGACCATCCGCTGGACATTCAACTTCCAGTGGTCACCATTCGTGTGGACGGAGACAAACCATGGGTCCGTCTCTAATGTGGTACGAATCTCAGCCTGTCCGCACCAATTAGTGACCACAGCGCACTGCCCTGTAGCAAGGGAGGCTTACCTTCCACTTGATGTACCCCAAGGTCTTCCGCACACTAAAGTAACTGATTGAATGTCCTAGAGTGTTGCAGATATCATCGCACGATCTCTGCTGACCTTCCGTCTCGTGTATCGCTAACGCAATCAGGTATCGGAGGGGAGACCGCGGTGCTTTATTGGGGTCCTTGAAGCCGTCAACATTGGTCAAATAACCGACGCGAAGTTTCGCCTTCGGGTGAAATAAGGGCAAAAAGGTACGCAGACAGATATCTACGGCCTTTTTGTCATCTTCTTTAGACATCTGTTGTGCCGGAGGAGAAGCAGTACCACTGGGAGGAGACCATGGGGCGCACCACTGGTGTCGCAGGAAAGCCAGGTAGGTCAGGCTCATGCTTCATCTTGTGAGTGGCAACTCACCGGCATGACACCATGCTTCAACATTATCGCCCATCGCGCGTTGCAGAATGCTCGGAACTATACACCAGGGGTTAGACCACGTTCGTTTCGCTCAGCTGAGGGTGCTCAGGTCTACTCAATTCCGCGTCAGCTTCCTCTACTGTATGGACTACTCGGACCATAACCCCGGCAACGTCCATTACCTTGCTGCTTGTCGTCGCCTCGTGCCGTTTGTTGCTCTGCTGGCTGTATAGCTGAGGGTCGATATTCGGCATGAGGGGCGCACAGGAGCGGTCGAAGACACAGCAAGTTGTCGTCGCGGTGGGGAGTCAAAGAAAAAAATATCATTTTAAAGTAAGCATCGGGTGCCGAATATCATCCCGCTAAGCGAGCGAGTGTTTGACCCTTCAGAGACCCTGTCAAGCCAAACAACGTGCTTCAACGATGCAACGTGTGGAGTGCAACACAATAGCAGTTTCTATTGTCATTGCACTGGCCCTAAGCTTTCAACTTCCCTGAAAGATCTATCTTAAGCGCTCTTGAGAAGCGTGGCTTCGGGGTATGCAAGTTACCGCCGTCACATCCATCATCACCGGGACTAATGTCACAAGGCTTTCCGCGGCTGGCGGAGGCCCGTTGGGCTCGCTCATAGTCCTGGAACCTGTCAAGATACTCCTTGGTCGCTTATTGGCGTCCAGAAGAGGTAAAACGAGTCGGGCTTGGTTTCGACATAGTGATGTTTTGTGTTCCGTCATTTTCCTCTATCTCACCGATCAGTAAGCTGCGTTTCCGAACCCGTTTGATTCAGGGGAAGTCATTTACCGACTTGTTCCTTTCCATGGCCTCTGTCCTTTTTAAGAACTTCGCTTTATCTATGCTGTCACCGATATGTATGATCTAGATACAGTATTCTATCAACACACCGTCTTCCTTAAGCAGTCACAGTGCCGGTTACCGGCAGACAATCTAGGTTGAGGTGGATATCTAGTCATAAACGATAGATGATGATATAGTAAAGTTCTATCGATGTATGTGCTCCTTGTGTCAGCGCATGAAGAACATTCACCGCGTACGAGCTAGGACTGCATTGCAATATTGAACACGGCAGTAATCGTGAATAACCATATTATATAGTAAAGCGCTGTGCATCCTTGGCTGGACCGCAATCGAGGGTTTATATGATCAAATTATGCCTCTTTTTAATCATCGGTACCACTATGGTCTGCAAATCGTAAGGTCGCTGCATGAAATGTGCATGGATCATAACCATCAATATCAACTTCGTATTGCTTTCGAAGGCCGAGCATCATCCGGGGACCTATCATCGCCAACATAATAAAGTCCGTCATTGCGTTCACTATCGAGAAAAGCATGGACTTGTGATCAAATGAGATAAATACGCGACCGGAGAGAGCACGAGAGCCTGACCGATCTGAGGGCAGGGGCCTGGCTCACAGCGTTGAGTAGTATGCTGACCAATGCACTATATACGTAAGGTCTCAGCCGCGCATTCATCCCGACAGCGAATTCACCTACACAATAAAGTAGATGAGGCTTTGTTGATACATTAGCAGGACTATGGAACCAGCGTAGTGTCCGATAGATGTCGTCATTGGCCAACTGAGGTGCACGAAGGCGTGATACAAGCAGAGGATGATCAACAATAGCTCAAATACTAGCAACGCCGAGCAGGATAGCGGGTAAACCCATTGAGGTTCGGAAGGTTCTGTATGACAGGAAGCTATTCCGGAAATAGCAACTTTTGCTATGAACACAGAACATGTCATGAGTGCGCTGGACCAAACAGATACAGGCATATATCCGAATTACCTGGTGGCATGATGGTTCCGCCACGCGCGAGCAGTGAGATGATGGTGGAGAAAGTGACAGCTTGGCTAGCCAAGAAGCCAACCACCAAGATTGTAAGGACGCGCTTCGATTTTTCGAGAAGTACATATACTCTGAGAGCCATCATTCCTGCCCACGTGTATCCAGTAGTGATCAATTACTGAATAGACGGGGACTGACCTTGCAGCAGAAGCACGATAACAAGCTCGACTATGGTACAAATATCGGTTAAGATGTTACCTAAGACAGATGGCATCAACGTGACGACGAGTAGAAGTCGATCCGAACTCACATCTGGGTTAAATGGAGATCAGAGTGAGGGTCAAACTTCCGCGCCCAAAGCTGCGTAAATACATACGTCTGTTTTCGGAACAGAATCAATGTCAGATGCTTGCAAGGCAACGCCAGAGTGTTGACCGCACTTACTACGATTGATGGCGACGTATAAATTACGATACCTAATGAATAGTCAGTATCGTTCAAGTGTTATGAACGAAATGTGATCGGACTTTGTGATCTATAAAGGTGGCGATAAACGAGTTACGTTCATCAAAAGCATACCAAACTGGAAGCTTAACGCACACTGCCCATAGCATGGAACCATAGCGCAACTAATGGTGTTATGTAAGCTCGGTGTTACATGTAGGTCAAGATGCGTACCGCTCCGTAAACCAATGACATTGCAGTGAACTTTCTCATCTAAAGATCATCATGATCCAGCGAACGTCTTCGACGGGAACGCGTAGACTGACCCAAATTAACTCTACCTGGCGGTCATATTAGCCTGATAGCATCTTCATCTGCCAAGAGGAAAGGCCCAAAAAGTTCCATACCTCGAGACCTAGGTTCAAGACTGAGGACCGCAACTCCCTTTGGTTCATCGACAGTGTCAGATAAGTTGAATCACTGACGATAATCATATGAAAGCCATGATAGGGCGGCCACTGCTCACCGATCATCGCATCAATCGCAAATACTTATAACACTGATGCCTTACCGAAGGTATACCTGGCTAGAGGCTGTAGGCCGGGGTCCGCCTCATGTGCGAGTGCGCTAGAAGACATAGTAAGGGAGCGATAAAATGTGGGTGCCTTGGAACTAGCCTGGCTGCATCTTCGCCGCTTTAATAGCTCAGGCTTAAGGAGAAGCCATTTTCAGTACTGAATAACACTCGAAAGCGGAAACTTGATCACAACATCATGGTCCGCGACGCCTTGCAGTGTTATTTTAAGCACCTTGAGCCCGTCCTTATGAACCTTAATCGGCGTCTAGTGAATCTTCTTGAGTCATGATGTCGGTTCCTGAGCTCTGAGTATTGTTCGCAAGTGATTATATGCCTGACTGCCCACTCACTTGCCGCTTGCAGCCTAAACGAACCTACAGGACTACTTGCTTGTTGCGTGCACCTGGTTGGTTATCCAGAGGGAATCAGCCAAAAGAATCAGGGTCTTGATCTCGTGCATGTAAATCTCCGCGTTCCAAGGGCTGTACTCGACTTCGACGTTTCACCTTCATCTTGGCCCATCTACGGCGTGATCTACTATCCGAGATCGTCTTCTCCAGGTCTTTCTCGGGTGTGTGCTGAGCTACTTGAGTGATACTTACCTTCTTCATGGAGCTGATCAATACCGAGAGCAAGGGTGGGTCTTTCAGGCGTACACCGCCATTGAAATATTGTCAGTCGTCGTGAAACTGTTCCCAGGCGTGCGACACGTACCAGGCAAACAGGACCTCCTTGCGGTGTCTTCATTGATATATCCCTCCATGGAAACCTTACAGAGATAGCTTTCGACATGATGTTTTGTTCTTGAATCAAGTGGACATGATGTTCGCTCGCCGATCCAATGAACATAAAGCTTAAAACACGGATAGGTTTTCTGGCGCAAGTCGGGAGTCGGGCCGCCAATCATAGGTTCCCACGCCACTCAGAAACAAGAGGTTAAGGCCGAGACGGCGACAGCTTCAAGGCGACAACTCTAACACTTGTAGATATCTAACCCCAACCACGGGGAAGAATCTGCCGTCAAGGCAAGAGTTCCCAATTAATATGACAATCACACTCAAGAACAAGTGAAATGTATAAAACCCCTGAAGTGGGAAACCTTCGTGCAGGTCAGCCCCTTTTTCGTCAGTTCACGTCGTTTCCAGCAGGCCTACTCGTGCTTCCGTCAGACCATGATTGGCATGGTGTTCAGTACTCAGTGTCAATCCTACCACTCAGGAGGACAACTATAGGGTCAGACTTATATCAACCCATGAGGATGACAGGGCCAGTGGACTTTTGGTCGAATGGTGCTGGACTTTGTGTATTCAACATCAATGGCCAATCAATGGCACAATAAGTACAGCCTATTGCGTTTCATAATCGTGAGCATCAACAACAGTGTTTCGCGGAATCTCGAACGATTTTATTGATAGCTTTTCCAGACGACACATTATATCCTATCAAAGTCAAGGAGTCCAGTCGTAAACCACAGGCTTATTACGATTGAATAGACAGCGAGACCATGTGCTTCTGAAACTCGTGCTGGACGCGATAAGTAATTCCAGACTATCACTTCACCGTACAATGTTTACTGACCTGAAAATTTTCATGCAGTTGCAAGGAATATCTGTAACGGATGGATTTCCCACCGCGAGACCTGGCGTGCGGGAGCTCAGATCACTCATCGTAACGTGAACTATGCGTTCACTAATTCACATTGCACTTGCATTGCACCAGTATAATGGGACGATTGACCCCTGGATCTCCACGCTGCCGCAAGACATAAATGCATCCATTGAAATCAAGCAACCTCGAACAAACACTGCAGTCATGGGCAAAGATAAGAGGATATCGTCACGGTACCCGCGACCTTGAGCTCGCATAGTAGAACGGGTAGCAGGAGCTGCGCTAGAGGAGCCAAGCAGAGATGCCGCCTCTGATTACGGCTTTGGCACACGTGGCGAGGATCGGAACGCAGCGGCGGTGTACTTACGATAAAGGTGTTTAGCCAGAGCGAAAATTGAACTTGCTTGGGCGTGCACCCAATGTGGGATTGTGCGCTGGGCGGCGAGCACGACGGAGTGCGGGGCCGCCACGACCGACCACGTTGTGGGTGGAGCTTCGGTGATCAGACTTCTGATGACGTCTGCGGACCACCCCGAGGCGCAGACGAAATGAAAATGTCACGCTGGCCGCTCCGAGTTCAAGCTCAAGTGCGCGACTTGTGCTTCTTCCGCTTGAATGGTATCGCCGTATTTGAATATAATCGCTGATCACAAGGAGGGAGATAATGTGATCCGCTCATCAGTCAATCCTCAAGTCCGAAGATGAGGGTGGAGTCATAGAAGTGGATCTCATAGACACAACGTTGCCCCGTACGAGAGCTTGAGGCTTGTTGGCGGAACTTGCCTTTTGTTTCCGCGGCATTCTGTAACTTCTCGTCGCCAACACGGAAAGCCGTGCCGAAGCGATGGTTTTATGTCGCTAGGATGTACATCAGAGTACATCAGTTGACCGATTTTTATTACTTCCTACAAGTTCCTACACGGACATTAGTTTGTTTCTGGTCATGCTCAGAGTGCCGTGGGTCGTTGTTCTCATTGTCGTCTTCTCGACGAGTTTAGGTTTTCCAGAAAGTAGTCTTCCGCACCGGAGCGTTTCGAGGTAGCGCCGAAGATGCCCAAAACGGTCGAAAGGTTATGACATGCCTGTGCTAGAAGAATTTCCAAGTATCAACTGTTGTCAGAAACAACTGTCCCCGTTACGTGTCAGAGCGTAGACGTCGCTTCCTATGCGCTGTATGGAAAGAGAATACGAACTTCAAGCGCCATCCGTACCGCAAATTGGGCCGTCAAACCCGCCCATCCAAGTGATTGATGTCGGCAGGCGAATCATAAGTTTAGAGCACCAATCAGCTCGCGTCAGGAAGAGAACAACAGGCGAGCGCTTGTTCAAGAAGGGAAAGATGAGATTGCCAATTTGGAGCACATGCTTGAGCGCGGGAGTACAACGGCCGCTCCCCGCATTGATCTACATCAGTGGGCGGGAGTTTTTCAACCATCCCTCCTAGTTGCAATGTCCGAGTATTGTGCCATCATCTTCCTCTCTGGCCTGAGAGTAAGGTTGCACCCCGAGAGGCGCATTTGTGGTTGAAGGTGCACCTTGGGAATGGTCACTTCAACATGACGCATGATGTACAGGCCGTTCTCGAAGACGTGAGGATCTTGCCGACGAACACGACCCTTCCATTTCTGTCAACCTTCCTCAGTGATGTGCTTAATTACGTCCTGGTCCGTGACAGGTGCTTGACAGCTACCCCTCTACTAACTCAATCCTTCTCAACGTTAATCTTTGTGCCTTCCTTGCTGAATGAGGTCCTTCAATCATCGTCTACCAGATGCTGCTACTGCTGACAGGCTCAAGGACTCTGGTCTGACGTACGTTATCACAGCGTTACTCACGGCGGCAACCTTGCTTGCGACCGATATCTCGGAATCTTTGCGCGGTGGAGCTCCGAGATGTTTTGGGTGGTAACCGCGTCTACCGGACGCAGTAATCCACTTCTGCTGGCAACCGCTCCGCCCCACGGATCCGTCTTCTTTCTCTGCCAAACAGCTAGCCGACAACAAATCCCTGAGAAATCCCGAACGTGTGTATAAAATCAGAACATGACCATCAGGGAAAAGTCAACTCTTCGTTCTTCCAAACCACCCACCTTTTGCACCTCGCAAACCAAACCCTTTACCAACCCCCCACCCTTCCACCAGTCTATCCGACACTCCCACAGTCTTTTATATCACAATGCGCTCTTTCATCACCCTCGCAATCCTCTACGCCGGCTTCGCCGCCGCCCTCCCCGTCCCCCAGCTCGGCCAAGTCACCGACGCCCTCTCCGGCGCCGAGCAAGAAGTTGACGGACTCGTTTCTGGTCTCGGCCTTGGCCTCCGCCAGCTCGACGGTCTCGAGAAGGAAGTTGAAGGCCTCGTCTCGGGCCTTGGTGTCCGTCAGACCGAGGCCCTCTCTGGCCTCGAGCAAGAGGTTGAGGGCCTCGTCTCTGGCCTTGGCCTCCGTCAGCTCGACGGCCTTGAGCAGGAAGTCGAGGGCCTCGTTTCTGGCCTCGGCGTCCGCCAGCTTGACGGCCTCGAACAGGAAGTCGAGGGTCTCGTCTCGGGCCTCGGTGTCCGTCAGACTGAGGCCCTCTCGGGTCTCGAGCAGGAAGTTGAAGGTCTCCTCTCTGGCCTCGGCGTCCGCCAACTCGACGGCCTCGAGCAGGAGGTAGAGGGTCTCGTCCAGGAGCTGGGTCTCCGTCAGCTCGATGGTCTCGAGCAGGAAGTCGAAGGTCTCGTCTCGGAGCTCGGTCTTCGCCAGACTGAGGCTCTTTCCGGGCTTGAGCAGGAGGTTGAGGGTCTCGTCAGCGGCCTCGGCGTTCGCCAGCTTGACGGCCTCGAGCAGGAAGTTGAGGGTCTCGTCAGCGAGCTTGGCCTCCGTCAGACCGAGGTCGTCTCCGAGGTTGAGCAGGAGGTCGAGGGTCTCGTTTCGGGCCTCGGTGTTCGTCAGACTGAGGCCCTCTCGGGCCTTGAGCAGGAAGTTGAGGGCCTCGTCAGCGAGCTCGGCCTCCGTCAGCTCGACGGTCTTGAGCAGGAGGTTGAGGGTCTCGTCAGCGAGCTCGGTCTCCGCGCCGACATCGTCTCTGAGGTCGAGTCGGAGCTCTCCGGTCTCCAGAAGGGTCTCTAAACGTGAGTTATTCTTCCTTCCCTCTTAAATTCCCAGACTGATTCCCGCTTTCGTAGGCCCAGCCCACCCTCGATACCCGCCTCTGTCACATACCCCAACCAGCCCCCATCCCCCGCACTAAACGTGCCTTGACATCGCCAACCGCCAACCGCCAATCTACTCACATACTCCGCACTCCGTATACTCCACAATTTTGGCTTGACATACGTACCTTAGTGTACTTATTTAACATTAGATCTGGGATCTAGTTGTATGTCGCCGCTCTCGTCAACCGCTGTTCTTGTTCTCGAGTCTGGGTTTCTGCCAATTAAATTTGCATTTAACTCTTATCTCTTCGGTGTGATGTTTTAATGCGTTGCTGAATATCATACTCAGGCAACCGAGACCTGAGAGCATTTCCGCCGAAAAGCATGTAACATACTGCTAGCGAACTGATGTGGTCATGTTGACTTGGCTACTACGACAAGATATCAAAAGCTCTCAATCTGCCAACGCCACCTGAGTTAAGCTACTATCGCCGATACAGTACGTCCTTCACTTCTTCGAGTTGTTGTCAAAATCTATAGTAAATCCTGCGTGTCAGCCTAGAAAATAATGATGTGTCAAAGCTCACCTTCAACGATCCACTTCCAGCACTCCTGACATAATCTGGCATCTCCCCCTGGCAGACGGCGGCTACCATAGATGCCATGGATATCACAAGCCGTTTGATCGAAAGCGTTCGGGCTTACCGTGAGTTGACCGTCGTGCACGTCGGCACTCAGACTAGGCGGCTCGTATCCATGCTGAGTCCTCTTGTGTTTGATCAGAGCGTTGATATCATTGGTGGTGTAGTTGCAGTCGCGGCAGCTGTAGTCCGGAGCTTGCACGGCATAGCTAAACGGTAGGGAAAAATGAGAATTTTCAGATTGACAGGGTAAGGGCATGTCCTACCCGATAGCTGCTTGATACTTTCCCATAACTGACGATTGATCGATGGTGTAGGCTGTTGACATTGGGGTACGTCTGACAGAGCAGTTGGTGAGCGAATGTTGGCGCATCTACGACAGGGGAGAACCTATCGCTTATAAGCTCTAGCAGTCGCAGGGTGCTCAGCATATCGTCTAGGGTGAGGCGCTGGCTCTGATATCCTGCCACAAGGCCAATGGTTAATGGAACAGGTCGGTATCGCAGTTGCTCTCGCCCAGGTTCCAATTGAACGTCCTTGGACCCGCCACGGAGCTGATCGAATATAGACGGCGCATCAGCCCAAGCGCCCAGCTAAGCGCCGAAATGCTCTTATGAACGCTCCACAGAGAGACTAGGGTGTTGTACTCCTCAGAGCTCTGTTGGTATGGGCTCGCTTGGAAGAGTTCAACGAGTCTTGGATGGACACAGGCTGTGCGTCTAGCGAAAGGTATAGGCGTTGAGAGCGTTCGTTCGTAGCGTATCGGAAAATTCGAGTCCATAGTTCAAGTATGGGCGGTACAGTATTTGGGCGTTTGATCAGCGCTAAACAAAGCCATTAAGCGAGTCACAGCGCCTTCAGTTTGACGCCAGGTCGGAAATGGCACCAAGTTCCATATGATATTGAGCGCTCGAGCGCTAACATGTTCCAATAGGCCTTTTGGAGACATATGACCGGAGCTCAAAGGTGGCGTCTTCGATGCAGTGGCAAGTGTCGGACCAGCATTCATGCCGCAGCGTTCTGATCCATTACTCACCTAAAACAAGTCAAAGGCAAGGGTCGGCCACAGAACTGCGAGGCTCTGGAACCAGGTAACACATGGCTGCGAGCCGGCGGCAGTGGACCCGACGTCGCGTTCCGACTCGTTCCCCGACACATAAACCAGCTGTAGGGGTGCTGAGCCTATCATGACCTATGGCGGTTCTTTGCAGAAGGCCCCGCATATACTAGGCCACCTGTCCCACATGGGCTGTCTGAGACGACGAAGTTAGGTTAGAAGAGTCGCGACATCATAACAAGCAGGCTCCTCCACTTCGAGAGGCGCTTGCCGCTATACCAGGCTACGTCAGACCTCTGTGCTGTGTCCCTGTCAATGTCTCCATGCCTGACACATGTAGGCGTGTATGGAATGATTGGACTGGACCTCCGTCACTGCCGAGTGGACAGCTCCGCTCATGTCGGTGATATAGGATCAGAAGGGGTGCAAAAGCCTGAGCAAAAGAAACAAAGCTTCGAACTAGGACGTTTGAGATGGTGTTGCGGGCTTGACGGTCATGAGCTGATCCAGGCTCCTATTAATCTAAAGCCGAAAGCGTCGCTGACATGCCGACGAGCTTTGGGTAATGTGCAACCGCGCTGTTGTGACAGAAACGGCGTCGAGGATGTTTGTACCCGCAAACGTGGAAGGAACATCTGCACGCGAGCTGAGTCAGGACCCCAAGCACTCCAGCCCCTATCCTCCGCTCTACTCACCTCTGTCTCTTTCTTTCCTCGTAGTATCCTGGGCAGAAATGATCTCCTGGAAGTTGATGCCGTCTCTGATACGCAAAAAATCAGCGATATATAAGATTAAGTTACGCTATCCATAACTACTAATCTACTTGCTAACCAGACAACTTGGGTTCCTTGCACATACAAGGACCCTGAGCCTCCGAATCTGCTTTCGGGGACTCTGGGCCATCGTACATTTTGCCATCCTGACCCTCGACATCCATAGGGTTTTGGAACTGCAGCTCCACATCCTGCCGCGTTGTTGTCTCCGTCGACGTCGTCCCCGTCCACGCGATGCCTCTCGAAATGCGGAGCATGATGAGCAAGGGGCTGATCATCTGCGTCTGCGGCAGGATCGTGGCCATCACCGAAAGCAGCGGGCTCTTCGAGAGGTAGAAGCCAAAGAAGAGGACAGAGAAGAACGTGTACAGGGCGCATGACTCGACGAGCATTGCTGCTACGTCTGTGTATTGTCTCGACGATGGTATTGAGCTCCCGGGTACTGTCGGACAGATGATAACAATGAGCTCACGTAAGTGCGTTTGACTTGGAGGGTTACAGCTAAGGGCGACGCACTCTCGTTTTGCTTGAAACGCCACCGAAACATGACCAGTCTTCCCGCCATAAGCAGAGTTGTATACAAGTTTAGTACCATTGACAGCACGAACGCTGGGACGATCAAGGTTTGTGCGTAGATGAGGTAATGTGTAGAGTCGGTGATATACATGCTCGACAAGAGGCCGACGACTGAAAATCCCTCTGTATCAGCATCGGTATACATGTCAGATCGAGCTGCACTCTCACCAACGTTGTTGGCGAGCCAGAGGAGAACGGGCATCGGGATTAACCACCGGTAATAGAACGAATCGCGCCAGATCACTTTGAATCTCCACACCTACCAATGTTATGTTAGTCAGGTTTTCACGGTCACGATCAAGAGACGAAGAGGAGAAGCCGGAACGAACCATCATGCCATCCGCCAGAATGATCGCGAGATAGTTCGAGTAAACGGTCGCGACCATGCTAGGGCTCTTAAGGCTAAAGTCCGCGAAAGGCTTAGATTCGGTCAGCCGTAGGTCCACATAGACCGTCTTGATCGAGATTGCGAGGCCAACAATGATAAGCGAGCCGCACACCCAGAGAACGGCCACGTAGCCCAGGAGAAACGCGAGACGGCGGCGCGTCCGGCGCCTGCGGAGCCGGATGAACGTGTGTGCGCACAGGCCGGCGATGGCTGTCATGATGCCGTAGAGAGCACCTGCGACAACGGTGTCCCCGATGAAGTTAATGCTGTCGGCGAAGAGTTCCTCGGGCGTTTCCGGGGGTACGCCAGAGCAGGAGTTGGCTGCTGTCATAACCATCACTGACGGGAGAGAGGATAGTGTGGCAGGAGGGCGTGGCCCTACTGCCAGGGAGATCCGCTCAGGCTATAAGGGCTTTAGACTGATTGTGGATAGACTGAATATGCGCTTGAAGGAAACGGCAAGGGTCCGATGACAGCGATAGCTGACCCACATTCAGGCTTGTGTTGACAGCAGACCGATTGTCGGCTGTGAGCGGCTGGCCGGTTCGTACAGAGGTCGCGAAGCCTTTTCAGAACCCAGACAGCCCAGCCCATGGTCTAAGGAAGGATGGTGAGTCGAGGTCCACAGTGAAGGGGAAGGACATCAGATGTCTTATCATACACCTTACAAAGACCCCAATTGGGACCCACAGGCGCAAAATAGCGCATGGTGCAAGAGGATGCGAGAGGCGGTGCCAAGCAACGTCCCCGTCGACCCTGCATACAGATTGAAGGGCCTAGCGAGAGCGTCACTCATGTTCTCTTAACAAACATAAGCACTATCTTGCTTATGGATGAAAATGTGCACTGGTTGGCTTACCGAATGCATTATATCGGCTGTATGCGTTCAGCTACGCGATTCAAGCTGAAGAGTAGTTCAAGAACGCCTTGCAAGTCATGATATGCTCAAGAAGGTGTGGATTGAAAGGTGGCCTTTGAATTGAGTTTTTTTTGGAGTTCTAGAGCAAGAAAATACAGTCGGATGAGCTGAAGAACCGCCGATGTCATGGAGTGAAAAGAGATGCGACTCTTGCGGAGCGCCGCGTAACAAACGCTTATGGTATAGCCCCAAGGTGCAGATCTAGTTATCTTATCTTTATCTTCTTTACTCACGAAACTGCCCTCATTTCAATGTGCTCTCGGTGTTGTCAACACAGCCAGCATGGTCGGCATCTCCATAACTCTTGAACGGGCACAAGCCATTATATCCAAACATGTCGACGGAGACGAGAACACCGCGACTGTGTCATCGGTCTCGGAGCTAGAGCACGATGGCTGGAGGTACGTTCTAAGCAGCCTTGCTCTCGGGTCAATGGCTCAAAACATGGACTCAACGAACAGTTTGTTACGCTCTCAGAGACTGTACATGATTCAACTGGAGCAGAAGGGACAGGTCTACATTCTCCTCGTCTCGGAGCAGCACGACAATCGGCCTCTATGCGCGCTCCCACTACCTATCACGCGCTATCTGCTCGAACTCATCCACAAGAGCACATCCGTACCGATACCCAAGCCGCATACATTAGACCAAAGCAAGGATATCGTTCCATGGGACTACCTTCTCTTGTCCTTACCGGAGCACATCGCTGTAAATGCACCCAGCGCACAACGCCTTTCCATCGTCCGCGAGCAAGGCCTCTTGTCACCACAGCAAGTTGCCCTTCTAAATATGCGCATCGGCACGTATCTTCAGCAGCTCCACTCTATCCAGAACGACTGGTTCGGCACGCCGCTGGCCGAAGGCGCGACGCCGCCAGACATGGACTGCTACAGCTGGCAGGACACGTTCGTGCTCCTCCTCGACGAGCTGCTCACCGAGGTGAGCGCATCGGCTGATACCGATCCCTCATACGACCTCCCTGTCGAGGACATCCGGCGCTACCTCTCGCGCGCGATCGGCTCCTTTCTCTTCGAGGACGTCGATGTGCCGAGTCTCATCTGGTTCACGGGCTCGGCGGAGGACGTGTTCGTGTCGGGGGCGACGGCGTCGAAGGAATCTGAGTCACGCGACGAGCCAGAGGTATGCTTCGTGCTCCCCAGCTTCTGTCGCGCGATCTGGGGCGACCCGCTGCTCGAGACGTTCTTCATGCCTCCCGGGCCGAGCGAGGCGATGGAGGAGGCGTACAAGGAAGCGGGCGGAGCGCCGTTGATCACGTTTGCGAGGCAGCGTACGAAACGATTGTGGTACACGCTGCTGCTGACACTGCTTGTGCTTTCTGGAGAGCAGAGGAGCGCGAAGACGGGTGCAGAGCGGGTGGACAGTGGGGAAGGAAAGGGGAAGGGGAAGTGGGCGAGAGATACGCTGCCGAAGTGCGTCGAGGCTCTCAAGGATGCGCCGTGCTACTGAGTACATCTACGCACTGAGGGTGCAATCTCAATTTATCTCAACTCACACTTCAATGACATACAGAACCGGGGAGGATTTCACTTCACTTCTCAACGCTGCCAACGGTTCTGACGCAAGCCTGTCCTCTCTCCGGGAGTCCCATGTCTTGCATCCGTATCTATCGGTGAAGTTCGTCAAGCCAGGCGGAAGGGCGGACTGCCGCTGTTCCGAGGAGGAGTTAGAATTATTGAGCACAACGGTCGTTATTGGTCGATTGGCAGCAAGATGCAAAGCGTTTTGTATGTGTTTTTATGCGTACCCTTCCGATCATGATGGGCGTTGGTGCAGACCCAGGAGGGACGGGAGTCTCCTTCCGCATCTGGGTCATTTTTCTCATCCGCTTGCTAACCACGCAAAGCTTCTGACTCAGCGCATCTTGATGAATGACCAACTGCTGCCCCTGTGAGAAATCGTCGACTCATCCTGTGGCATGTCTGACGAAGCAGAATCCTGCAAATCATCTCTGAACAACCCCAACAGGTGCGAAACCATGTTGAATGTCGTTTTGCATGGAACTTTCTACGATGAAACTTGATCTTGGGCAGGAGAGCTGACAGACAAAATACTGGTATCGAGTCATATTGTCAGGTCTGGCCGGTTTCAAACATCCAATGAAACATCCAAACACTTGTTCTAAGCTTCGCGAAGTCCCGCTGTTGCTTTCCTCCGTGAGTCTCCGAACAGACAACAAAGGGACGCGCCGCTTTTGCTCGGAGAAGCGGTGCGTCTCTGCGCCGTGCCATTGGCAATGGCGCTCTTTACCCCAAGTATCGGATGACACAACCCCTATCCTCTCACCGTTCCGCTCCTCACATAAAAGCAGCATGCCTCGAAAGACCCAGGGGCCATCCAGTGCCTCCTGAACGCGCCCGCTTAACAGTCAAACAATGTCTCAAGCCACTAACACCATCCCCTTCTCCCGCCCCACCACTCCGACGCCGCCCGGGCTGCAGATCGGGTTCGTCGGGCTCGGCTCGATGGGCTACTTCATGGCGCGCAACCTCGCAAAAGGACGGCCTGCGGACGCGGCCCCGCTGCTCGTGTACAACCGGACGGCGAGCAAGGCGGAGAGGCTCGTGCAGGAGGTGGGCGCGGGCAGCGCGAAAATGGCGGTGTCGCTCGAACAGCTCGTGAACGCGTGCGATGTCGTCGTTACGAATTTGGCGAACGACGTGGTTGTGGAGCTGTATTATGGCGAATTTGCGAAGGCGTTGAAGGTGCGTTGTTCGTGCTATCGATTGCGCGGAGGCAGGTGGTTAACTTTGGGTGTTCGATAGGCGGCGCCGCCGACCAAGCCGAAGATCTTTGTCGAGGCGAGCACTGTAAGCATTGAGTTCACTTCGAAAGATACGAGACGTGCTCATTGCCAATCAAGGTCTATCCAACTGTCATCTCGACCATCCACAAGGTCATCACCAGCTTCCCGAACTGCCACCTCGTCGGCAGTCCCGTCTTCGGCCGCCCGCCGATGGCCGACGCCGCGAAGCTCATTGTCGTGCTCTCGGGCGACTACCACTCCAGGAAGCAGATTGCGCATCTGCTCGTCCCCGCTATGGGGCGAAAGGCCATGGATCTGGGAGACGATGTTACGAAGGGTGAGTGCATTCGCGCAGAGATTGTGGAATCCGATGTTAATGGTGCTGGGGACCAATAGCTCATACGCTCAAGTTGATCGGCAACTCTATGATTCTGGGGATGATGGAGCTGGTTGGAGAGGTGTTCACGCTTGGACAAAAGTCGGGCGTTGGGCAGAAGCCCGTGCTTGATCTGATTAAGGGTGAGCTCGTTGCTTCCCCGCGCTGCTATAACACTTTTTCTGATAATTACACGCAATTGGGATCTAGACCTGATGCCAGCTCCTCCGTGAGTCTAAATACTGTATCCCTTGCCTCTAGCGTTTCTCACACCTATGTCCACCAGGCTGGTCAAATACGCCGAAATCATGGCATCCGACAGCTTCGATGGATCAGACGGGTTCTCCATGGACGGTGGCATCAAAGACGCCAAGTAAGCCCTTCTCCCTCCTCTCCTCGCATGAAACCCGAAGCACAGTTGCTCATCCGTATCAACCCCCCTCCCTCCTTCCCAGCCACATGCGCCGGCTCGCCAACGACCTCAACGCGCCCGCGCCGATGATCGACATCGCGCACCAGCACATGCTGACCACGCGCGCGCTGCACGGGGCGCAGAAGGCGGCGGGCATGAGCAAGTACGATGTTGTCGACTGGAGCGCGCTCATCGCGGGCAGTCGGGCCGCTGCTGGGCTGGATCCGTTCGATAGTGGCGATGTGAGGTTTCCCGTCGTCGAGCTTTTGATGTTCGCGAGCTGATTTTGCCTCAGTACAGAGTCGAGCTTGAGAACTGAGGGCGGTGAATTGGCTGGCTTCTGAGGGGTTGGTATATAATGTCTGGTAATGTGGGAGCAGGGCTGCATTCTTCAACTGGATGTTGGTCATCGATATTTTGCTTTATCATAGCTGCCATGTTGTTTGCCGCACATTCGTGTAATTCGACTGGTTGCAGCTAAAGTCATGAGGCTCGAAACCTCCCGTTATCCAGCTCCAGCTCCAGTGTCTGAAACAAAGCTCACACGTACATTTCAGCTTTCCTTCGCGGCAGTATTTCCAGAGACGTCCGTATTATAGTAATATATAAAGAGCCCTTGAACTATATATGCGCCACTACTGAATGTGGAGATAGCCGCCATCGCGCAAGTTGACACCTCTCTTCCACTTGCTCTGCGTAGCACTCCATGGCGCTGTTCACCGTAGCCATAAAGGCGCAGCAGACACTTCTTGATGTCGCCGCCTCCAGTTACTGGTGGAGGTGGTATCAGGGGGGCGTCGGTGCGTGTTCTGGGGGGGTTTGTGCAGGTGAAAAGAGCGGGACTAGGCGTGTACTACTAGGTACAATCCGCAGTGGGTTTCTCAATCCTAGACCTCTTCTTTGATCATTCCGCCTTCAATCATCCTCCTTTTTCGCCTTGATCGACGTGGCTGGGTTATGACCTTGAACCGCTACTTAGTCTGATGCAAGCAATCGATGTATCGATGTTCAAGCTATTTATCGGCCATGAAGGAAACGGTCCTCCACTGAAATGTGCTTAGCTGGAACTTGAAGGACACTAGCATCATGTAGCAACGTCCGTGCGCCTCTTCTCGTTCATACTACGAGTACTCAGCGACCTGGACAGGTCTCTCTCGCTTGTCTCTTTGCATCCCCAACTTGAAACTGCGATCACTTCTCAGCTTCCAGAAAGGTTTTACTATCAAGCCTCGCTTCCCTCCCCGCATTAGCGTTTCGACTATCAGAGTTCTGTCGCAGCTTCGTAGTTTCTGGGTGTTTGGCCGTTCAACATGTGATCTACAATGGCACTTTGTATATCTCATGAACTAGCCCATTTAGCTAATTAGTTTACGACATCCCATCTGCGTTCGATTGATCTCTGCGTCCCCGTGCTAGCGACGTCTCGCAGCACTGCTTGTATATACTCGCCAGAGCCTTTAAATGCTTTCTATAATCTAGTTAGTTTCCTGGCAGACGCAGTAGTGCTTGGTATCGGGGCTGTAAACGCGGATGCGGGCATCGGACAAGTGCTGAATAGAGTGATTCAAGAATGCTGGCTCTCAGACGTCTAGCAAGGGTCCAAACCTACCCACGGCAGGAGATAGGGGCTATACTCTTTTTTGAGGCTGACTAAGCTGACGGCGCACTCGTCCCGCGTAAAGGTGCCGAGCGGTTTTCTGCACGTCCGCGTTGTCCCTCTCTCGACATTCGCTCAGGTCTCCTTTTAGTCCTCTGCTGTTCCACTCTTTCGTGCTGTGGTAGGACGGCTGCACTCCAGAATAAAACATGAGGGATGCCAACGTCTTTGCCATATCGCGTGCCATGCCTCGCATGGTGAGTTTCTAACCTCCATACTTCCACGCGCCCGTTTACTCGCAAACCGCTCACGCCTCCTCATCTACAGAGCTGGTCCCCGCGCAACCTCTACAACCTGTGGCAGCGCTCATACGGCCCGCGCGCGCAGGACGCGCGCTTCACGCGCACAAGCAAGACGCTCTTCCAGCAGCGGTGGACCGCGAAGGCGCTCGTGCGCGCGTACCACGGCGACTACATCAACGAGAAGATCTTCAAGCGGTGGTACCTCCCGCAGACGCTCCCCGACGTGCGCCCGCGCATCGCGGCGAGCGCGGAGCAGGCCGCGCTCGAGGCGTTCGCGGGGCGCGAGGCGCGCAGGCGGCGCGACGAGCAGGAGAAGGGCATGGCGCCTGTGGGCAGCTTGATGCTCGCGGAGGTGGAGCGGCGCATCGATGTGTTTTTGTTTAGGTGCTGTTTTGCGCATAGCGTGTATGAGGCGAGGAGGCTGGTTGTGCATGGGTATGTGATGCTGAATGGTAAAAAGGTGCGCGTATGGTGCTCGTTGCTATGTTTCACTGCGTTTACATTTACGTCGTAGCATTCGAACGCCAACACGCGTTTGGCTCCTGGAGACATGATCACCGTCGACCCGAAGGCCATCCGGTTTCTGCAGAAGCCAAAAGACGCGGCTGTCGAGGTCGAAGCAGAAGCCGAATCTGCTGCAGACGTCGTCGCTGAAGAGGCTGCAGCCGAGACCGCCCCCGCCGAGCCCACCCCAGAGCAAACCTCTGCCGCCGCTGCCGCCGAAGCCGAAGCCGAAGCCGCGTCCGCGCCCGCTGAGGGCGAAGGCGAGGCCTCCTCAACCCCCGCCCCCACCACCCCCAAACCCAAATCCACCAAGCCCACAAAGTCCACCCCGCGCCAGCCCTGGGAGCCCCGCACCCCGCCCTCCTCCACCGCCGCCGCGCCGCTGACGCCGTTCCACCCGCCGGCGTACAGCGCGCCGTGGCTGTTCGTGCCCGCGTTCGCGGAGGTGTCGTTCGCGACGTGCTCGGCGGTGTACGTGCGCCATCCGACGGCGCGCCCCGGGTACTCGGAGATCCCGACGCCGTACGACGCGGACGGCGAGATTGTAAGGTTGGCGTGGGAGTGGTATGTCAAGGTGCGTCCGCGCAACAGGAGCAGGAGCCAGTGGGAGAGGGAGCCGGAGAATAGGCAGTAGGCGGGCGGTAATGGTGGCGAGTGGGGTCGTGTGGGGCACGGACTCGGTTCTGTGTTTGGTGGTGGGGGTTGTCCTCGTTATTGCGATGCGTTTAGAGGCATGCGGTGGCGTATTAGGTTTTTCCTCTTTTCTTTGCTTTCGCGTCGTAGACATTAATGCATGATATAATCCCCGTCTTACATGACTTTTTACTGTGCCTGCTCGACCATAACGTCTCGACTGGAAATAAGTGATCGGCGAACTCGAGCTCGACCATTCGACAAATAATGTTCTTTCTCTTTCCTGGAACAGCTAGTGCCGCAGCAACAGCAAGTAGCGGGGAGCGACAAAGACATGCGTTTGTTGCGTTCAGGGTGCCCAGCACAAGGCGAAAACACGAAAGAGGACAATCGTTCGCGCGTCAAGACGGATATTACCTTCAAAAGTCAAATGCGCCTGCCAACGTCCGCTGACCGTGAGCCAAAACGGGTTTGGACATTGTCTCGACTGATTTTATCTCGTTTTTACTGCGGACGGCGGGTGGACGAGTGCAGTATGTGGTGTTTAAGTAATACTTATTTCTGTGGCCAATGGTGTGATCCGCGCGGACGGAGGGGGCTTGGATGATAGTGATGTTCGCGATTGCGGATAGAGGGGCACGATGGACGCTTCGAATTTGAGACTGCTTTACAAGAGCAGAACAATGGCCGAGCGCTAAGCACTAGTTGGTCGGGTTGAAAGCGGTAGGCAGGCAGGCTTAGCCTAACGCATCTTGGTCCTGGTCCGTTGGACCGGGCCTATCAATATTACGACGCCCGCAGGTTATTGTACAAAGAAAGATCCTCTGGAATACGAGATAGAGCGCGTACGTCACGAGTATAGTACAATGCCGCACTGCGACGGGGAGGCGCAACGCCACCAGTTTCTCAGGCCTAGAGCGGAGAAAGGTAGATCGTTCCTCGGCGGAGATGGGGAAGGTAAGCTCAAGATGCCGGGGTCGGGTCTGGGGTAAGAAAACGCTGTGTTAGGCAGGGAGAAAATCGATACGATGCCTCTGTGTTTCTGTTCAGAGCGGTGCGCGAGATTCCAGCAAGCTGATAAGCCACGGTATACAGCGTCGTGGGGACCATGGATACTGCTCCTTGCACCCGGTCTTGATCATATCGATATGGCGTCGTGGGCTTATTGGCCGTTGTACGGGTTCGAGGCGATCAAAGAGCTTGACCATGGAGGCGCGGTTAATACATCTTGCTATGCAGAGACTAGTTAAGAATGATCGATGAATCCAGGAATGGCAACGCAACCATGGGCAGCGGTAGGCACACGCCTCGCTGCGAGTCTCGGAGATGGATGGGCGTTTCACTGTTGCTGAGAGGATTTAGACATATGCGTAGGGTGGGGATACGATTGTTGCTGAGCAACGTCGTTTGGAGTACATCGACGGGACGGGGTGTCAGAATCAAAGGGTGTGTGCTCCGTCATCGCGAACGAGCTCTCGCCCCCAGTAACGATCGGAATGGAGGATACATTGCATATATTTGAGCCACCCGTAGTGTTTCTCTAGAGGATCATGATTAAGGGCACGCTTGCTGTTGGCAGTCTTTGAGAACGAGCGCGAACGGCAGTGTCAATTGGTGTGCGGATCTGTGGCGTATATGTTGCAATACTCGCCGACTAATGAGAGACGATCTTTTAATAGCCTGTGGGCCAAGACTACAAGCATGAAAGGCGCGGACACACGCCAATCTCTTCGCGGCCATCGTTGTTGAACGGGCTTTCGCATGCTAGTCACTGCTTTATCAGAGGCAGTCCAATGTCCGGAAGCACGCTGCCAAAAAATACTAAGTAAATGGGTCTTGTGGGCCGCAAGAACTAAGGTGGCAAATCGAGTACGAGTCCCCCGCAACTTGACGGTATAGCGTGCCACGAAGGTAGCTGTCATGAGATTGCTTGAAATCAAGAAGCCGATGGTGGGCTTGCAACGAACAGGAGCTGTCCATGAGGCGTCCACCAATCACGTTCCCCGCGTGACCATCTCTTGCCTTTCTGGGAAGGCTGCTGCTATGCCGCCGGTAAGTCGGCAAAGTCTCTTTTGTTTCCTCCTGCGCAAACAAATCGTCTTTGTTTCCTCTCGAGAAGGCTTTTGTCCCTTCGAGTTCAATGAACTTGCAGATGTCGAGGAGATGACGATATCGGTAGCGCCAAGTCTTTCACTGGAAAGTCGCAATCACTGAATCAGGATCTGTTTCTTGCCTCGCAATGACCTTCCCACCCTGTTGACGACAAGCTGGGGAATGGTAACCCGTCTCCATGCACACTATCGTTCCAGAAATGACCAACCAGTTGTCTTCTTGTAGGAACGAGCTCCTTTAGTATTCACAGGACCCACGGTCCTACGGTGACCATCGCCCCAAACCAGTGGTACGTCCGACAACCGAGGTCTGCAATCAGCCTGGTCTAAGACAATGCGATATAAGACACCAGCATGTGCACATTATTCTATTTTCGCGCCCCCCTGTTCCGCTCTCCTCTCAGTCTCTTTCTCTTCTTCCCGTCACTCGACGGTTTTCCCTGGCTCTGCCACGGTGCTCAGCCCCAGGCTCACTGAGTGACCTGACCATCGCCCCACTTCTTCTTAAGAGCGGCTACTGGTAGCCCTCGCACCACCTTCAATTTCAACTTCTCAAACAAGCTCAGGCATCACCGCTATTCTTTCTTCTCGTTCTTGTTCACCGCCGCCTTTCTTTTGATCTTCTTGATCTACTTTCGCTTTCGCCCCTAACCATCGTCGTCGGACCCGAGACTCCCTGTTCCCCGGTGGAAACATGGCTCTGTCCCAGGTGAAGCTCGTGTACCACGGCGACATCGTCATCTTCGCCGGCATCCTCTTCTTCATCCTCCTCAACGTCCCCCGCGCCTTTGCCCGCCTCTCCCGCAAGTCCGGATGGACCGGCTTCTCCATCTACTCCGTCCCGCAGTCCCAGCTCGGCCCGTCCAAGGTCCAGATCGCGAGCAACCCGGTGTACATGGAGTCCAAGAAGGAGGTCTCCACCGACCAGACCGTCGAGGGCGGCGAGGGCAACCGGAGCGTCGAGTCCTTCACAGAGTATAATGCGCTTCCGGCCTTGCCCAAGAACACGATCCCGCTCTCGGCGAGCGCGGACGGGCCCAGGCACATTCCGATGCTCTCGACGCTCGTGCACCCCGTGGCTGCGATCCTGGCCCACCGCGTGCACGAGGGGTACTCGCTCGGCCAGGTGCTCATCATGGTTGCCTGGCTCGCGGTCCTCGCCTACGTCTCGTTCTACAAGGCGCCGTCGCTGTTCTACAGCTCGGAACGCCTCGGTTTCGTCGCCGTGTCTCAGGTGCCTTTCGTCTACGTTCTGGCCACGAAGAACAACGTGCTGGGCATGCTCGTCGGCGTCGGATATGAAAAGGTGCGGTGTACATGCTTACTGCTGATCCGCGAAGCTCACACTCACGATGATGATGGCGACCGTTGCTGTTCAATCTCTGTTAATATAGCTCAACTACCTCCACCGCTTCCTGGGCCGCACGGTCGTGCTCATCGCGAACATCCACGGTATTGGCTATAGTAAGCACCGCTTTCTCTTGTGCTCCCGTTCACACGTTCCCACTGGCTGCACACGCGTTGTCTGACGCACTGCTCAGTGTACAAGTGGACTCTCACCGGCATCTGGGTGGAGAAGCTCAGGGACCCGCAGTACTACTGGGGCATGACCGCCCTCGTGGCGTTCGACATCCTCTTCTTCCTCTCGGTCTCCGCGGTCCGGAGCAAATCGTACAACCTCTTCTGGGTGTCGCACTTTGGCTCGCTCATCGTCGTCCTGCCTGCTGTACGTTGCCATCCACACCCCTGCCTCGCTTCGAGAAACTGACGTCCACCTCTCTTCCGACCGCAGCTCTACTACCACAAACCGTCCTGCATCCCCTACGTCATCGCCGCCTGCGTCTTCTACGGGCTCGACCACCTCGTGCGCACGCTCAAAACGCGCCTCGCGACCGCACGCGTGCGGCCGCTCCCCGAGCTCGGCATCACGCGCGTCGAGATCCCGAACCTGAACGCGGGGTGGCGCGCGGGGCAGCACGTGCGACTGCGCGTGCTCGACGGCGCGATGGGCTGGTTCGGGTGGAGCGAGGTGCACCCGTTCACGGTCGCGAGCGTCGCGCGCACGCCCGAGGGCATGGTGCTCATGTGCAAGAAGGCGGGAAGGTGGACGCAGGCGCTGTATGGCGTCGCGGCGGCGGAGCGGTATGGCGGCGAGGGCGGGAAGGAGGTGGGGAGGGATGTGCGGGTGATGGTCGAGGGGCCGTATGGCGGGGTGGGCAATACGGTGGTGGGGAGTTATAGCGGGGCGATGATTGTTGTGGGCGGGTCTGGGGTGACGTTTGCGCTGAGCGCGGTGCAGGATCTGGTGCAGATGGAGAGCGCGAGCCATGTAAGGACGATCGATATCATTTGGAGTATAACCGATCCCAGTACGCCCCCTTTCCTCCCCTCCTCCCTTCTCCCTTCCAAGTACTGAACTCAACGAACCACACAGTCGCGCTCAACCCGATGCTCCCCGCGTTCGCATCGCTCATCGCGCAGTCGACGACCGCGCGCATCCGCGTCTCGGTGTTCTACACGCGCGCCGTGACGCGCGCGTACGAGCAGTCGTACCTCCCGCCGGGCATGACGCTCACGCCGGGCCGCCCGCGCCTGACGACGCTCCTCGAGGGCACGGTGTCGGACACGATGTCCATGGGCGGCGCGCGCGGCGTGTTCGTCGGCGTGTGCGGGCCCACGACGCTCGCGAACAGCGTTTCGGCGAGTGTGAAGGGGTTTGATATCGGCTTGCGTAAGGCGGTGGGCGGGGTCGAGTTGCACGAGGAGGTGTTTGGGTGGTGATTGTGCCGAGAGCTGATCGCTGGTGTGCTAGATACGAGGTGTTCGGCGGACGATGCTGGCTACTTTGTGTTGTTTCTCGCTCGTCTCGCTACCGGCTAGTTCACTCGCTTTCATTCATCGCTGTCAGTTCATGGCTAGATGTCATGCACTGTCACTTGCACTGTATACTAGTACTCTTCCAATTACATGCTGGGGCGTGGTCATTCGCTGGCCGAGGGCTTTCTATTATCCGTGTTTTCGTGTGTCCAAGTCTGAGAAGTTGAGGCTAGAGTATTCCTCCGACAACTCATTCGCAGGTGGGCCCTCGATAACGGTAAGTTCGAGCCGAGCGACCACCTCCTGAGACTGGCGCCGCGTCGAAGTCGAGATCAGCCCAGTATGTTGGAAACGGAGATCCAATAATCGCACAGGTTCAAAGTCGGATTGACGACGAAGTACACGGCCGTATCAGACTCTCTCATCCATCGAAGGCGCAGGACTGATACACCCTGTCTTCCGCCATGCAAATGCTCATCGTTGGTATAGGGGCTATTATTACGCTGAGGACGCGGTGTGTGCGTGTACGGTGTTGCTCCCGCCAAGCCTGTCGACATACCTCCAAGGATATTAGGCATATCAGTGGATAGCGAGGCGTGCACTGTGCCAGATGCCGGTTACAGTTTCTACGGCTGATGCCTGGGAATGCTGCTTTGCTCACAGCCGGGAGTGAGCACGCGGAGCGGACATGTCACGAAAAATAGACGGGGATTATCTGTGCCTGCTGGAAAGCGCACGACAAAAATTCACAAAGTAAATAGAATAATTATACGGATATCGATACATACTCTAGCTTACACGCCTATCCTCACATATGGCCAGCCGACCATGCAGCCATCACCACCCAAAAGTCCTATAAAAAAATCCAATCAGCATCCCATAACACAGGCACACCAGAGACACTCACTCCTCATGCATTTCCACACCGCCCACCGCCCACCGCCGCGACGGATCCACAGCCCCGATCACGCGCGCCGCCTCGTCCGCCATGCCCACGGGCCCGCACACGCCCACGACGACGCCCGTGATGTCCAGCGCGCCCTTGACACCGCTCGCGTACGCCGTCGTGCGCTGGATAGCCGCGTCGAGCGTCCGGCCCAGGCGCGGGCGGCCCGCGCTCAGCGAGAGTCCGGGCGGGAGGAAGTCTTTCTTCGGGCTTGAGCTTGAGCTGGATTTGGACCCGGAGCCGTCGCGCGTGATGGGCGGCGGGGCTGTTCCTGTGGGCGACGGACGCGATCCGGTGCGTGTGCGTGAGCGCGAGCGGGTGCGTGTGCCTAGGCCGAGGGCGAGGCCGACTTTGCTGCCCTTGCGGGACCGCGCGGGAGTGTTGATGGGTTCGGGGTGATCGGGCTCGGCGGGGAGGGAGGACGCGGCGCGTGTGTAGTGCACGGCGATGTGGAGGGGCGTGTAGATGCTCTGCTGCACGAGGGCTGTGAGCTGTGGGATGAGCGGCGTGAGCGAGGCTGTGAGGGGTGTGATTTGTGAGCGACGAGCGACTGAGAAAGGGCATTGATTGGTGTGCCTACATGCGTCTTGGATGCTCCAGATGATCTCTATGAGCTTGAGCCTGCTTGCACCTTCGCAGTCTCGCTGGAACGGATCATCAAAGCCGGTGTCAGCATGGTTGTTTAAACTTTCCCAGAGTCGGTAGAGTGTACCTGGATGAGATCTTGAACTGCAGCCAGAGCAAAGGTGATGCCACTTCCGCCGACGAAGAATATGGCAGCTGAATAGCTCGCAAAAATCGCGTGCCCTGGGCCACCTGCATTTTGATTTAGCATCATAACTTTCATCCATTCCCAGCGGACAACTAGCAGATTGAAATGAGGGAAACCGTCAACTCACCATACGGCCCCTCCACAGCAATCCTCACCCCCCTTTCATGCCCCTCCTCACCCCCATACCCCGCAACCACCGCCATCTCATACAGCCTCCCCGTCCACCCGCCCTCCTTCTTGCACACCAGCACCAGGCCCTCGGGCGTCTTCGCCGCACACGCAATCGTAAACGGGTGCACCTCGCACCACCCGAACCATCCGAGCGCGGAGCTGAACACGCGCACGCGCACGTGCTGCCCCGCGCGCCAGCCTGCGTTGAGCGCGGGGAGCTCGATGCGCGTCGCGCCGCCACAGAGCGTGGGCAGCGCGCGGATGCGCGCGTGGCACAGCCGCGTTTTGAGCAGCCGGAAGAGGTGGTCCAGTGCGAGAGCGCCTGCGGCGGCGAGGATGTAGGGCAGCATCGAGGCTTGGTGGCCGTATGCCTGGTTGTTTCATCGGAGATGAGGGGTTTAGACATGAATGAGTGGAGTGGGAGGCTTACAGCAGGTAGGAATAGGACGAATCCGAGAACGTGTGTGTTGAAGAAGATGTTGTAGGCCTTGCGCCGCCAGAAAGGTGTGGAAAAGAAGTAGCAAATGTCCAGGGAAACGAGGGCAACGATGGCCCATATGTTGCTTGGTTCCTTTATCCACTTGTGGAGTGTACCGTTTAATGTCCATTGATAGACTAATACCATAGATGGTTCGAGTTCTATGCCACGAGAAAGTGAATGTAAAGGACTCACAGTAGCCTAGTGCATGCACATTGGAGGCCAGCACGATCATGAAACCCGCAAAACGATGTATATAGTTGAGCTGAACGCATGCAAACCATTCATACACTCCGCCATAAGAAACTGCATGCAAACAGTCGGACAACGAATACGCACTTTCTCGTATCCGACCGCCGTCACCCATCCGACCACATTATTCTTCGCCCCAAGAACATACACGAGTGGTATCTGCGACATCGCCACGAACCCCGTCCTGAGCGCGTCCCCAAACGGGTTCGACTTGTAGAACGACATGTACACCACCGCAAGGAAATATACCCCCAGAACTAGCGCTTGCCCAAGCGAGAATCCGCTGTCGAGGCGATAGCGCAGGACGCGCGCGAGCGGCGGTACCCGCGAAGACCATGCTTGCACGTGTGGAGGGAGTGTCCAGCCCTCCTCTTTCGCGTGCGGGTGCCGAACGAGATGCGTATGCGAGTTGAGGGTGTGAGATTCCTCCGTCGTACCTCCTCGACCTCCTCCCTCGCCTGCGGTCTTCTCGGATACATGCTGCGGTTCTCGACGACGTGTGCGGACCTCGATGTCTGAGTTCCACAGGATGTGTCCGTTCTTCCACTCAGCGATGCGCGAAAAGCGGGAGATGGCTCGCGGGAGCGTCGCGAGTGCGAACAAGGCGACAAGGGCACAGAGGAAGAGGTCGACATGGAACACGAGATCGAAGGGATTGACGGTGGGGTTGATCAACGTCGCTTCTTGCACTGGTACGTCGTAATCGTATTCGTTTGTGCCAAATGGCGTCGTCGAATTCGTTGTCTCCATCTGCTCAAGTTCTACTTCGGCAAGGCGCACGTTCGTCAGAGGTGTCGTCGAGGATCGCCCAAAGGCGTGATGCCGCCCCTCAGCAAGGAGGTAGATTTAGTCTGTGTTACGGGCAAAAGGATAGGAAAGTCGATGAAACGAGGGCAAAAACGGGGAGAGCGCAGTGTTTTCTCCTCCTGCTCGTCCACGCATGGCGGCGGGTATAAATAAGTCGTCCGCGCTGCGCCCATGAGCGGTCGGCCAAAGGCATCCATGCGTCAGACAATGGACATGTGGTGGGATGTGTTCCAAGATGGGAACTGTTCCGCCTCCGCGGTCTAGACGGGCAGAAAACGTGTTCTCGGTGCGTATTCATCTGATAGTACTTCCATTGCCCATGAACGCTTCGGGTGCCTGTCAGACACCAGGATGAGCTACGAAAGGTCTCGTTGACGATGTTCATTGGATGATATGAATGAGACGAGTTATGCGTGCGTCATTGAATGGGCATGTTGTGCAGGAGGACGAGATGAACGTTGGAGCAAGGCTGGTATTCGGATGCGCGGAACGCCAAAGCCGACGACACGTGGATCAAGCCCCTAATACTTGTGGCGGTTCACTTGATAAAATGGGCGGAGTGGCAGTGCTCTACCTCGCGGCATGCACCAGTTCGCTAATTGTTTGGGAACATGTCCACTGTCACTGAAGTATAATCATCACCCTCTAAATGCGAGCACTGTTATTTATTATATGCAAAAAAGGGGAAAGCGTCCTACTCGTACAAATCATGGAATCTAATGCACCTCATCAATGACCTTACCGAGGAAGAACTCTTGCGACCGTGGATCGAGCGTGATGAGGGAGACCTTGATTTGTGAGCTTCCCGAAGCGTTGAGCGACCCTCTCCAATGCCTAAACTCAGCAAACGTTCCAGGAGCAAGAATCCGAATAGTCGGCCGAACGGCAGAGCCCCTCTTCGCGCTAATGGCAAAGTTTCCGTTCGTTTCAACCAATGCGTCCCGGATCACGTCTCGATCCGAGGGTGAGATAGTGCCTGCCAAAATATGAATATGCGTGCTGTAATGGAAAGGCCAGTTCTAATGTACGCACTACTTGTTTGAGCGGATTCTACGAAGAATCCCACTGTGGCCGGGACCAAGCGATCGTCGAGGAACGTCGTGAACTCGGCATGCTTGAGTCCTTCGACGGAAGCGACAGACTCAACAATATCCGATGACGTGATCAACGCGCAGTTAGGTATTTTCATCGACAGGCTGGAATATTTCAGTAGTTAAGACTCCCGTATCCGGCTTTGAAAAATACGATAGGCTTACTTGCGGCGCTCTTTGTACTTCAACACCAGAGCACCATCGGCAGGGTCGAAGCCGACAGCTTGTACGACATCCTGGATTCGGTACCGCCATAGACCATCATACGTCGTAAAGACGGGCTCATATAGCTTGCCAAACTCTACTTCCCACTATACAGACAACGAAGAATCAGTAATCCATTGTAACGAGTCAGACGATGAGAGCTCACAAGCTGCTTGACTGCGCCATCCTCACCGTCATCGAGGATCTCGAGTAGCTCGATATAGTTGTCGTTGACCACCTTGAATACGGAAGGAACCTCGGCGCCAAACGTGCCACCGACGGGGCATTCCGTGCAGCCATACCCTGGGGTGGCAACTTTTACATCTGGACCCACAAATGCCCTCAACTGTATACTTTGTCATTGAAGAAGGCCAACTCAGCAGACGCGACGTACCTTGGGGAGGAGCCGTTCAAAAGCGCCTGTACTGATGGCCCGCAACGAGTTTAGGCCGGGCCAGGTCTTCGTTGCCCACCCAACGGCGGTACGCGAGGGAGGACCGATCTTGCGTAGCTCTTCCGCTCGCTCCGGGTCTGCATAAAACATGGTCTACTCCGCAATTAGAGAGGGTATTGGGAGAGTTAATCTTAGGGGAGACTTACAGCGATGGCCGCATGCACCTCCTCTGTCTCAGGAAACTGAGGCAGCTTCCCCTTTTCAATGCCTTCGAGGAGCGTCTCCCATTCCTCGTCGATCCACTGCATAAAGTCGATGACCGTTGTGGACCATGTAAGAGATAACACGTCGACAGAGCGCTCGGCGAGAGCAAACGCTGCGTGCGTGAGTAGAAGCGAGCGATAGTTGACGATAAGCCCAGCGCCAAACGGTGCGATAGTGCCAGGACCTAGGAACAAACATGATGTCAGAATAAGACAAGGATAGCCCTCGACCAAGCAGAAAAAGCGCACCTGGCTCCGCAAGCCTCTCTTTATCACGCTGAAAGTCAGCGAAACCATAAGCTGCCCGAGTCCAGTACCCGGTTGCAGCTGCGATGGGAATGCGTATGATACTTTCATCGTCATTGCGGACTTCGGCGAACTTCATGTAACCAGTGAACGTCGGATTGCACACCCTGCTGTTGGGCATCTCCAGTCGCCTCCTGAGCCCGTACATGGGTATCAGCTTGGGCGCCTTGCCCGACGTCGAGCTCGACTTTCCGAGGTTCTCAGGGATACCAGGAGCGAGGAGGTCGGTGACGTCGGAGATGTGGGCGGGCGGGGAGTGCGTAAACTTGGAGATGTACGGGGCGTACGCGTCGTATTCGGTTATGGGGACGTGTGCAGCGGTGAACGCTCTGAAGCAGGCTTCGCGGTCGTCGAGGTCGACATCGGTGAGCGCATCACGGAGGCCTGCCAGTGTGTCGGAGGTGCGGCCGAACTGGGTGGTGAAGAGGTTAGCCTTGATGATACCATGGAGGGTGGTCTCAACGCGGCATTTCAACTGCAAAGTGAGGTCGGTGCTGAGCTCAGGCAGAAGGGAGGAGCTGTTGGAGAGAGAACCCATTTTAGCACACTCGCGCTCGAGAGTGGGTTTGGGTAAAAGCATTGCATGTCGCATTTGATTTATAGGCTCTGGCGCGTGCCAAGTGTGCTACGCGCGACCCTCCATCAGAGTATCAGAGTCACAACAGTCTCTTTTGTGATCGGCCCGGGTGAATCCATCATTTTGCATGTCGCTTACCTGCATCTCCGAGTCGGGAATGCGGCTCCTCCAAAGACGCATTGGAAGTCGGATGAGAGGCGAAGAAGACGTATGAGTCAGGCCACATGTTAGATGTGAGTAATGAACAATGCACTGTTAATCTGAGCGTGATTGTATCAGCTGTTTCTTTTACCTACATCAAGAACCTAGCTTACCCTGGTACCGAAGAAGATTTATATGTAGAAAACAAGGACTTCGCGCTCAGCCCGCGCGAGATCGCGAACAAGGGCGTGGTCTAGCGTTTCCCGGGGGCGCCCATCGCTGGCAGCAGTGCGCGCCTGGAGAGCACGGACCATTCAGATTGCGCTCGTAAATAAGCCGCATGGCTGTATGTGTCCCTTGAATATGGACAACAATGAGCTATGAGTAATGTTTGGTGATGCGGAGACGCACCTCCGAATCACGACCGCTCATCGGCCCGACAGACTCAGTTCCATCACGCGTGGCGAACCCCTTGATGTGCGATGATAAGCGCGATCTGCAAGCCGTAGATAACAATGGGAGTGACATTGTGCGAATATCGTCAATTTCTGGGTTGGTCAAAATGTGGATGAGAGGCACTAGAGGCAAAAGGAAAGGTGTTGAACAGGGACGCTGAAACGCGCGCGGCGCGTTTGGCCTTGCTTGTTCCCACGCTCTTCCACCAGTTCTCCACCGTGACTCTCACCAATACGACTTGACCCTTATTCACCTGCTGTCGTTGATGTGTGTTAGCTTCGGGTTCAACTAGACGCGTTGATGAGCCTCCGTGCTATCACGGTTCTCTCCTTGAAGTTTGAACCTCCCGAGTCGCTAGGATGTGAGCCGGCGATCACCTTATAACTCGTATCTTCAAAATTATGGTAGGCTTTTGTTGCCCTTTGTTTGTCATTTTGATATAAGGGTTTCCTTTTTGATCTTGGCCTGCCATGCTTACCCCGAATAAATCCCGAACGTGGTTGAACGACACTTTGCTGGTGATACGTGCAGTTATCTATGGTGCGTTTTTTTTCCTCAGCTAAGCCCTTGGGAAACTTTTGATATGCTGTAGCGGTGTGAGCTCGAGCTCATTGATATTGCCAACTTCGATAGAAAGTGCCGGAGCGTGGCTCGGCGTGTCTTGTTTGCGTTGACCATCATGGCGATTCGGAACAGCTTCTGAACACTCTCGGCCTTACCATATCCTGCATTCACCTTGCATTCACACTCCAACTCGTGAGCGGTATTATGTGCTTAGTTTGAACATTCACCTTTTTCAGGCCGGAGGATTATGTAAGCGACTTCTCCATCCTGGGAGCATCTCGAGTCACTCATTAATATTTAATGTTGAGTGGGACAAGGACGCTGACTTCGACTGAAGACGCTTCGCAAGCGACTTTCCCTGTTTGGACAAACTCTTCCTCAAGAACAATTTAGATGCGTGCTTGTTCTGTCCCCGCTGCCCCTGACACCGCCCTCCGTGTCCTCGTTCTCTGGCCCATCGAATGATTTGACGCCATTGAAATTAATGTCCTCGACTACCTCGCCTTGTCCAAACTTCTAAAACTTGTGTTTTCTGTGAGAAACAGCCACCATCTGACCCGATCTCCAGTCTGGTTAAGCGCTCAGCGTGTCGCCCCGCGTCGCTGCGCATAGTATCATCGTTTTTGGAAAGCCCCTTACGCTCGAAACGCAGTTCATCTCATAGACGCTTCCGACTTCGGGTGTACTTTTCACGGTCCATAAGCCAGCCTTTACCCTCTAACCTGAGTATATAGCCATGAAGGAGAGGTGGCACGCCGAGTGCATCAATGAGGCGTATACTTGATGTCTAGGTCCCATGGCGCAATCTGTAATCATTCGATCCAGAGATCTCCCATGAGGCAGGACAGGGCTTTCGCCCCAAGTTCATGCCCAACTTGTGGCGAACTCAGGTCCTTTGGTGTTTCACAAACAACCAGCTCCCCAGATGAGGAAATGTTGATGACACTTCCATTGTCACGCGTAGTTCTGTGCTTACACATTCAATGTCGCGATGTTACAAGTTTACAATTTACGGCCGGGTACTAGTGGAAACACTTAGTGCGTTTCGCTGGTGCCGGTAAATGAATGACAATATTTTAGCTTTAGGCTTGAAGTTGTCATTGTACTCCTTTGTTCAGCCGGAGTAAATGGGAGGGCCTAGCTTTGTCTGTGATGCGTGAATGTTCTGGCCACATGGTTGTATGCGATTTGTTTTCAGCTTTGAGTCAAGAGTCCCAAAAGAAGAACATCGGGTATGACGGAATAATCCGACATACATCAATGCATGATGAACAAAAGAAGCTGAAACCAACCTGAAACTCCGAAGCTTGCCAGGTCCGGCAACCTTTGCACATGGGAAACTAAGGACCCTGATTCTTGTAGATGATTGTCTGTTATCGGCGGCCAATCGGTGACATCCCAGCATCGCACCCAAGCTGTCCTCATACTGAGTAAGTATCCGTCAAGTTGTCAGGCACATGCATCTCACATAGCCACCCACAGACTTGTATCGCAGACTTATGATAGCAACAGTGGGCTTACAGTACAGAGACTTGCCGTAGACTGATGCTATGTTGATTCAACAGGGCAGGAGCAAAGATATGGCGTTTAGAGTTCAACATGGTACCCGCTTCAACATCGGTCATTACAGTTCTGACCTCAAACCTTGCGTTGTTATCAAGAAGTGGAGTTCATATCGACATATATAAGAGGACACATTGGCCGGTTCAACGCTTAGCACGGCCCATTCTCCCTCGCTCTGGTTATTTATGGCTTCAATCCCAGCTGAACACGGATCGGACCTTTTGTCTAGATATACCTTAGGTGAGCCAAACTCTCTGATAAAGTGCGACCAGCCCAATGACAATCACGCAGTAGCTTCTTTGACCTGCTTGTCGTACGATTACGGTCAGTGATTTCAGTAGGCTGAAACCGGGAGAATATGGTCTGAACCCATGATTGCCCTCAGTGTTGAATTTGAACGTTGAGGTACACACCTTTCCGACTCTTTTGCCTCGGATATATGGTTGCTGATTGTGCCATGGCGGTCTTCAGATAGAGTTGATTTGGGTTAGCTCTTGAGCCATAGTGAGCGTAGTAGATGGCTTACGAAGCCCATTAGATGAAAAGGCTGACTGCAATGTCGCTGGTATATGGGTTGGTATGTTTGTCATTCTTTGAACGCAACAAAAACTAGACTGATAGTGTCCTTAGTTGCGATATGTTGGATTTCTATGGGGAGTGTGAGTTTCTGGCTTGGAATTTGCGTACTTTGTGGTTCACTTATCGCCACTTCTGCAGATCCCAAGGTTGGATTCATTGTCGACCGTTCGTCTTATATTACACTAATTATTCGCCGACAGTCGTAATCAATGGGCCAGTCTCAGCTCAAGTAAGTGTATCTCGTGTTCCCATCTTGCTTTGAAGGTGGCTTAAAGTTCGCTTCTCAGACGTATGTGTTTATTTGGCTTCTGATGCAGCGGCTTGATCGTTGCTACATTTGATCACTAATGCAGATGTGAGTTTGACCGGATCGTGTCATACTTGAAAATCAATCTGATTCGTCTGGCGTAGGCACTATCTTGACTGATATCTGTATGGTGATCGGACTTGTTATTGTGTCTTGATTTACGACACCAGAAACGCGTAGCTTGCACGCCTAACATAAATGAAATATAACGGACTCAAGACTTGAGAGGTTATTGCGTGGCTTGGCAGGCAGTTAACTCATTCGCTTCTTCCAAGCGTAAGCTATCCGTCTCATGCTCCGTGTGATAATGCAAATGCATGGGAGTAGTAGCACATTTCTGTAAGATAGTTTGTCATAGTATAACATTGTTTGATAAACATTTTAGCATCACAGAACGCGTGATAATGTGGTGCTTATTTTCATTGTGTAATCTACTGTTAATTCATTGCAAGGAATAAATGCCGTCATCTCCAGTAGTACCACTGTCTAAAAAGCGCAAGGTTGTACCACGAATTGAACCTAAGTTATAGCCCTCTGTCTCTTCGTATTGCTTTTTTAAGGCCAAGGAACATCCATGGCCCAATCATCGTTAACAAGATAAAGTCCACCATTGAGTTGACCGTAGAGTATACCTCAGACTACGGCATTACTTAGCGAGAACAATTGCCAGTGAAAGTTTCTATATCTCACCGATTGAAGTTCAGGGGCTTGCCCCACAGCGGTAATTAATATCCCAAGAAACGCGCTAGACAGATTCAGATGTTATCATGTGCATCAACCGAGATAGCAGGTCTAGATTGGCTCACATGATGAAGTACATTAGGCTCTGTTGAACGATGAATAGTCCTACGGAACCAGCGGAACGTCTGGCAGATATCCATAGTGTACGCTTCAGTTGCGCAACGGCGGAGTACAAGTAGAAGGCGATCAATATTAACTCAAAGACCAGCAATGACGAGCAGCATAGCGGCCAAACCCACTGAGGTTTGGACGATGCCTTATTGCAGGAACTTATGCCTGAAATGGCTGTGTTCGCTTTTGATTACAGAAAGTGGCGTCACTACTCGATTGTAAATTGATCTTTTATAGTATGCACGAACCTGGTGTCACAATGCTTCCGCTCCGGGCAAGAAACGACTCGGAGATGACGACAGAAAATGTGACAGCTTGGGTGATCAAGAAGCAGACCACAAGAGCTGCAAGGACGCATTTTGATTTTTCGAGGAGTATGTACACTCGAAGAGCCATCATTCCTGCCCGGACTAGTCCAACAATTAAGATTTATACAGTCAGACATAGGCTTACCTTGTAAAACCAGGGCCCAAGCAGTTTGATACAAGTACTTTCTCTACATATGTGCACTGCACGTCTGACGGCATCCATTTCCGGGGAAGCGGTTTGCCGGAGCTCAGAGCTGATGTTATAAGTACGCGAGCAACTGCATTACCAATCAGGGTCGTGGCTGGCAGTCCCAATTTCCTGTGTCTCGAGGTAGTTTGAGGCATATTTTTACATTGTCAGCTAGGTTTCAATTTATATGGTTTCAGGTAATCAGTGGATCATGTGCACGGGCCGACGACGGGATGAGGCCGATCCTCAACAGGGTCTGGTGCCACATTGTTTACTGATGGCTGTCCGGGTCTAAAAGGACAGGCGCGGTAATTTGAAGACGGCGTTGAATTACTGACGTCTGTCACAGCATCATTGATAAAAATTCCAAGGCCTTCTCTTTGAATGGTATAAGAGGAAACCAACCGGCTGGTTGGAGTTGGCTCAATTTTATCGCTCCATAATAAGCCATGCCTTCAATCATTCTTGAACAGGAGCCGGGTGTTGGTCCGGATAATTTGTCAAGTTTTACCCTAGGCAAGGCAATATCCTCCTGCTAAAATCCGCCCCAAACGTTAACCTGCAGACAGTGATGATGATGATTATTCCTCGTTTAAAGTCCTCTGGGGCGATGCCCTATGGTAGACTATAACGTACAGGGTGTGCTAGGTCTAAGTGGGTAACTATGGGTGCACGCAGAAGAACAGGCGCCAGGCTCGTCATAAAAGAAAGGACGAGCGTGGCGAGGTGGGCAAGGGGGGGTATGCAGGCTGAGTACGGCAGGGATAGGATAACGTATGTACTAGGGGAGAAGAAATGAAGAGGAGAGAAAGGGATAGGAAAGCAGGAAAAACGGAAAGCATGATTACGTCAACCCCATGTTTAATAACGGTGGTGGGGGGACGGGAAGAGTAAACGAACTAAGGCAAAGGAAGCAAAACAAGACCCCTTCTAGCGATGGTGTTTGGGGGTGGGAAACGAGGAAGTTTGGAAGGGATTAAAAAGCAAAAGTGAGCGGGAGGTGCCTTCCCCGTGTTATGTTGACGGTGTCGAGGAGGCGATGATAACAAAAGCGGTGGCAAAGGGAAAATGGTGAGAAAGTACGGTATGAAGCCCCTTCTAGTGACGGTTTTGGGGTTTTAAGAGCATGGAAAGGGAAGGATATAATGTATGTAGCATAGAAAGGAGAGTACTTAGCTGCAGGCTTGCGCGGGTTACTTGGGGGGGGTACGGACGGGTTTGTTCTCGGGAGGCGGATCAGGCAAGGAGAGGTCGCCGTAGTTGGCGCGGAAACGCCCTGTAGCGTTGATGAACGCAAAGAGAGGGCGGAGCGCCTTCGGGTCGCTGAGCAGAGTGTTGACGTCCAGCGACCGCCGAGCGCCGAGCTTCATTTTCAGGCGGTCGCGATGAACGCGATGGGAGGGGCATGCCACGAGGAAGTGATGGACCGATTCCGAGGCGGTGCCACAGGCCAGGCAGGTGGGGGTTATGTCGGGGACGAAGCGCGAAAGGAATCCGTTTAAGTGGGAGTGACCGCTACGGAGTTGGAAGAGGACCGCCGCGTGGCGGCGTGGGATGTCAGCGATGAGTTGCAAGAATTTCCCGGAGGGTGCTTTCGGGTCAAGTTTCAGGATCCGGTCACCGCGAGGGGAGGCGCGCATGGCCGCCTGTGCATTCGCTTGTATTGACTCGTTGATAGCGCGACGGACGGAGGTGGCACTTGTGGGTAGGGTCCTTGAGCGTAGGGTGCGACCTCTACCACTCGTGAGGGACTTGGGGAGGAGGGAGGCGTCACTGGTAAGACCTTCTGCCGACCTGCAGACAGTAGCATCCCTGGCATGGCTGTCATACGAATACTGTCAGTAACTGATCCAAGTAATAACAATGGTATTGGTCTGAACATATCGTTGTCCTCAGTATTGAATCTGGACCTCGAGGTGGGTTATTTCTTGAACGCATTTATTGGATAAACGTCATGAGGCTATCTTGTTCTTCAGATAGATCTGATCTGGGTCAGTCAATCATTCGATCGAGTCCCTTGCATATAGTATCGTCTGATAGAATGCTACAGACAAAACGATTCACTGGCATGTCGTTCGTATATGGCGTGGTACGTATTGTATGCTGTCATGCAAAAGCAGGTTGATAATAACACCTTCAGTTACGCTATATTGGCATTTTATGGGCAGCGTAAGTGCGAGTTGCAAGCTGTATTTTAACGTTAGGGTTTCCATCTGTCATCCCCCTCCTCAGCTCTCAAAGTACGTGTATGTAGGCTTATACGAAGGGACGCTAACAAATGACTAGTTGTAATGGTCGTTGGATCACCAACCCAGGTGAGTGTGACTAATACTCCACTTGTATCGCTCAAAATTGATTGTCATCTACGTTCTCCCAAAAGATGTGTGTAAACTTGCAGCTTCTGGCATGAATTCTAAGATACCTACCAAATTTCTATTAAACACAGATGTGGGTTGGATCTAATATATTACAACCTATTAGTACATAACCCAATGGATCTCCAATAGGCACTGTTTTGACTAATGTTTGTATGTTCACCGGGCTTATCATCATATTTCTGCTACAAGGTGAGCCTATGTTCAGCCGGTCAGCGTTGATTTTCGGGTAGACTTGAGCAGGAATGATGGCTCTGCGAGTCTATGCTGCTTGGCAAATCAAAATACGTCCTTGTAGCACTTGTAATTGGTTTATTTGTCAGACAAGCATTTACCTTCTATACTGTGGCGTCAAGGTTCGTGCATGGTGAAAGTTTTATGGCAGGTAGCTCTAAGATATGTTATCACTTGTGCTTGGCGAAGATTACTCATGTCATGCTCTCCCTTTTTCAAAAGCAAATGCGACAATATTTGGCGTGAACTCCTGCCAAAATGCAACCCCCGAGTCTCATTGGATTTACTCGCTGTGCTGTTCGGCATTGCTGTTATACGAACTAACATCAGTCACATTGTGCTCGTACCACGCTATCTCGCGCGTGGAGCAGCCATTGTGGAAATCTATCATACATTACACTGGATCCATAGCGTCACTCATAGTTCAACAAGGTCTGTTCTATTTTATTCTGTGAGTGATTGCCTCTCAAGGTGCATGCATTACTGCTGACACCTGCACAGTGCCTTTGTCGGAGTGTTCATTACAGCTGTGGGTCAAGCCTTGACTACACTTCATTCCGTGGGTCTCAGACACTGGTTGACAAGTAATCATTATGATGGCCTGAATCCAGTTGTATTACAGTCCACCGCATTCTTGACGATGACCTCTTTGATAGACTTCGCTTTAATGACAATGATAGGGCCATGGATGGTACTCAACCTTCAAAGGCAACACGAGAACGATATCAATGGTCACGATTCCGATCATGTAACAACCTTACGTTTTGCCAGCGGAGGTACTGCGGGAGAGGCGTAAACAATGCACTAGAAAATAGCCGGGTTTAGACGGTAGGGCTTGGGTAGTGGGAGAAGGATAACATGAATCGTAGTACATATTTACCCCTCCGTGTTTGCTCACAGCTAAGAGTTGGAGTTTAAGACTGGAAGCATAAGCATGCAATCCAGTATTATAGCCTATTCCCTTATATATGTAACTGCATACTACCTCTCTTCCTTTCTTTGTCATGAGACCCGGCCGTGCGGTAGGCTGAGTGAAGCAGCCATGATATCATCTGCGCAATCTTCAACTGGCGTCTCTAGATTCAGTCACAAAAATAGGGCGTGAGTGTTCTCCGTGGTTTGGGAAGTCGAGGTCGAGAAAAGGCCCTGTCTCGTGATGCGCTAAAAATCTAAATCCAAAATAGACATCGGTCACTAGTGCATGCTTCCTCTTGTTCCTTCGCAAAAGCCCTCTGATGCAATTAAATCTTCCACCTACGTAATCGGAGTTTGGTCTGCCTCACTAGATTTAGGGCCGCGAGTATATATCAGACTGATATATATCAACATAATACATATGCATCAAGCCTCTGAGATGCGACCTTGTAGCTGTACATGGGATGATGTGCGACTCAGGTGATAGGCCGCCATTGGCTGTGTCGGAGTGTGACTCGTGGCTGAGGTTTCAAGCAACGAAGATGGGTAAGACATACAGCCGTTCATAGGATCACTAGCAGCATAGATTTAGAATTCCAATTAAAACAGCCTCATGATTCCAGCGTTTCATGTTGGACTGTCAAAATTATAAGGATTGCTTATTGGACCAGAGTACTTTAAACCACGCGAAAATTCGCTGCCGTGGTGGCAATGAGATGTTCTATAAGCTATAAAAGCGGACACTCGATAAGTCATTCCAAATCGCTCTTTGTGCTTATGGCGGTGCGTTTAAGCGAGCTGCAAAATTCGGACCTTGTCCTGGAACTTATTTCTAGATATACCTTAGGTAAGTCACCAACGCTTTAATGCTATAGCTTCAAACGGAGATTTGACCCATCAATAGTGGCCTGCCTGACATGGATGTCATACGATTACCGTGAGTGATTTAGAGGAGCAGACTCCATCAACTCATTGAATATCCTCACCCTTAGTCTTAAGTCTAAATCTTGAGGTAAGTGGCCATTCAAGCACTCCCGACAGGTCGGGATATCGTATAGACTCATGATCTTTTCAAGATAAGCCTGGTATGGGTTAGTCGAATGACCTCCGTTGTGTAACATGCCTTGCTTAGTACGGGGCTCTCTAGGAGAAAAAATTCACTCCAGTTTCCTTGGTTTATGGACTGGTATGTTATTGCCTTGCTAAAAACGCACAACTAAAATGTCACCCTTAGCTGCGGTATGCTGGCATGTTGTGGGCATGGTGGGTCAGAAATATGTTTGTATACATTAATGAATCACTCAACCATGATCGTTACAGGTCACAAGGCTCGCCCGTTTTCTTATGGTTTTATTTCAAGCGGATGCTGACTTATAAGTAGTTACTGCCTTCTATAGCTCGCCATCCATCCATGGTGTAAGTGCGGTCAATGCTCCAGCTTTAGTTTCATTGTAACGTTTGTTTTCAGCAGACGTACGTGCTAGTTTGCTGGAGTAGTTCCTGGTATGGTGATCTTCACCCCGTGTCGTTGTTTTCTTTATATAGATGTGAGCTCGGTGTCGGTTCTCACTCGTTTGTTGTCGGGTCCGTGACGCTTGATTTAGGTATTATTTTGAATTATAGTTGTATCGTCGCCGGAATGATTGTAATCTTTCTGCTGCAAGGTGAGCCACTGTTCAAATACGGACGGTTGTTGACTACTACAGCGTTAACTTCCGGGCAGGAATGATGGCTCTACGGGTATACGTCCTTCTCCAAAAGTCAAAGCGCATCCTCTTTGTAATTATTCCGGCCTTCTTGGCCAGCCAAGGTACCGTCCTCTTCTCCGTAATCACAATATCTGAGCGCGGCGGGAGCTCTATGCCAGGTACGTCCGAGTGTACACTTGCGTAAATTCCGGCTTCTCCACACTATTCTAATCACCATATTTGAAAGCTAATGTCGCCATATTTGGCGTGAACTCCTGTCGAAAAGTACAGTCCGAGCCTCAATGGATTTACCCGTTGTTTTGCTGTGCGATGATAATATTCGAAGTAACATTGTTCGTGCTTTGCTCCCGTTATGCTATCAAGCGTCTCGAGCGGCCACTCAGATGGGCATCGACCACACACTACGCCAGCTCCTTGGCGCTCTTCGTTATTAAGCAGAATCTGTTTTATTTCATCATGTGAGTCACTCCACCTTCGCAGCCTGCTTAATCCGCTAAACCATAAACAGTAGTTTTGTAGCTGTAGTTGTCACTCTTGTGGGTCGAGCGCCCGCCCCTCAATCGGTAAGGCTTTCAATCTTCCTGTTGATAATTCTCTCTTTGAGCTGGTTTATAGTCTGCAGTATACAAGGCAATCAACTCGATAATAGACTTCTATTTGTTCACAATGATAGGACCATGGTCGGTCCTCCGCCTTCGAGATCGACATGAAGAAGATGTCAATGGTTACGCTTTACGCACAATTCCTGCAACAACCTTGCGCTTTGCCGACACGGACACAGCAGGAGGGGCGTAGAACGAGTTTGCTGTAAAGAGTTGAATCAATTACAGACAACTACTATGGCTCTGACATGATTATTGCTTGTCCGTACTACTTTGCAAAGAGAAGAACTTCTGTGGCCATTTGGAACGCAAACAGTTATATCCTGACAGAAGACAGCATCAGCACGCCACATTACCAACATTCAAGCGGAAGATGTACCCACTCGCGTGCAGCATGTGCTATTTTCTCCTCGCAGCGACCAACACAGTCTTATACGGATACTCGAACACGCCCCCCTCCCTATCCAACCACACCTTTCCCTCCCCTTCCTCTTCGACAATCCGTCTCACCTCCGCCTCCACGTTCGCCTTCTCCTCGGCAGGCAGAACAGCGACGTAGCTCTTGCTCAGCGCGCGCTCGCGCACGAGCTCGGCCGTCGCCGGCACCGCGTTTGGCCACGCGCGTTCCTCCGGCTGCTCCTTAGCGGAGGGCAGGGGAGACGAGAAGGCAGCGAGGTAGGACGGGGTGGAGGAGAAGGCGCGCCAGTGGCCGAGGTGCCAGCCTGGGATGGAGGAGGACTCGTACCGCTCGTAGAGCGCGCGAAGGCGGGCGGCCCATGGGGCTGCGTCGCTGGATGACAAGTTGCATTAGTGGAACATGGTCTTATAGGAATAGGAGGATAAGGAAGGATAGGGTATGGTGGGAACGCACGTGTCCTCGACGTTCCACACTAGACATAAAATGCCTCCGGGCTTGAGCACGCGCGCGAACTCGGCGCACGCGGCGTCGAGATCTTGGCACCAGTGGAACGCCTGCTCAACACAATCAGTATGGCCAGTCGCACAGAGAAATATCGTTGTATGAATGGCGCACCTGCGCAATAACAACCACATCCGCCCATGCGTCCTCGTGCACGCCCGTGCTGTCGAACGTGCCCTCGTGCACAGAGACCTTCGCAGCGTACTCTTTTGGGAGAGAGCTCTCGAAGACGGTGCGCATCCCTGCACTAGGTTCGACAGCGCGGAGCGCCTTGATCCCTCCCATTTTCTCGGAAGAGGCCCAAGCAGGATGGGAGAGCAAGGCGCGCGTGAAGATGCCAGTTCCGGCGCCGATTCTGCGACAGATAACGCCATTTTCCAGAAATTACAGTTCTAAAGTCGAAAAGAAAGGAAACGCACTCGAGGACGTTCAGAGCGCCATCAGACAGAGCGAGAGACCTGATGTACGCGAGGCATTCGGATGGGTAGGATGGGCGGGAGCTGTGCACCGTTAACCAAACAATCGGGTGAGCGTCCTTTTACAAAATGGCCGTTCAGGATCTCGTGAACGCAAATGGACGCGCACCGGTCGTACAGCTCGTTCGTGCCTTCAGCGTAGCCGCTCTGAGCAACAGAGTGAACGTTGTCTTCGTTCGTGGGCATCTTCTCTTCAAGACGTTCACTGCGATTTCTTGCTATGAATCTGTAGGTGCGAAGTTGAATGAGAGCTAGTCGTCCGAGTCCGAGTCGTGACTTAATCGTGCCCCCTTCGAAGTTGCATGGCGTTATGCTTATATGCGGCATCGCCAATTTACCAACGCTCGAAAGAGGGACTGCGGAGGAGTGGCATGATCGAGAAAACGGGATAGAGCATGATTCGACTTTTCCGGTATCAATGGGATGACCATGTCGTGTGGGACCACCATCGTAGAATCGTCCGAGTACAGTATGTCTGTTTGTTTTCTGGGGCAGGCCGCGGAACGCGGAACGGCACAGCATGATGCGATTGGGCGCGCGACTTGGAGCGATAGGGGCTATTAAGCGGGCCGCGGGGGGAAAGGGGCTTGAACCTTGAGCTTGGTGAGGTCGTTGCTTGGGCAACGTTCCAACTTCCTTCAGAGCCTGAGGGTGGTGCTGGGGGGAGCTGGGCACAACACAAGGGCTCGTCGAAAGGCTCAGGAGATGGAGGTCTAACAACAGAATAAATCGGACTTGATAGTTTGGACATTAACAAGAGTGGGAGATACGCGATAATGCACTAAGGAGACTCCGAGGTGTCGATAGAACAGACAGACAAATTGGCTCGCAGGCTTGGGGCTAACGTAGACGTAGGATATGTAGGGAAAACGGTTCTTCTCTTCACCACAAGACTTGACATTCACTCCTCCTTGTTCGCATGGAAGATCTTCTTCTCCTTCTCGTACGCTTCAACGTACGGCTGCAACAAACACCCAAGTGAGCAATTCAACCCCAAGCAAAGTAAACATCAGGTACACAACTTACCCCTTTCTCGGCGTCCGACATGTCCTTCCACTTCGCTGCGCCTACCTTGCTCCTCGCGATCGTCGCGGCCCGCGCGTCCCCGCCGTTCGCCTCGAGCACGGCGCGCCCCTCGGCTGTCGTGCGGAAGTCGGCGAGGAAGCGGAAGAAGGGAGTAAGGGGCCGCGGGTTCGGGTCGAGCGCGCGCGGGACCTTGAGCTTGTACTTGCCCTGCTCGGCACGTCGGCGGTTGATCTCCTTGATTATGACGGGGTCGACGGTTTTCCAGTACGAGGCCAAGTCCTTTTCGTACTGCTGGCGGAGGAGTTCGGCTTGGCCGACGTATTTCTGTGGAAGCGCAAAGGGGTGCGAGTCAGTGGCGCGAGATGGTTGGAGGGAATGGAGAACGAACCTGCTTCTCGTCCTCGGGAAGGGCCTTCCACTTCACAGACGCAGCGGACACGGCCTGTACGGCATCTTCGGGGCTCTTGACGCCCTGCGCGACGTTTTTCACAAAGCACGCGTACGCGTTGGGCGGCAGCCGGGGCGGCTTATCTTCTTTGTGGAGTACGACTGTCGATGCGTGTGTGGTTGAGCATCGCACGAGGCGTCATAAAAAAAGAGGGGACGCACCGTGCACGTCCTTCTTCTTCTTCTTCTTCTTCTTATCGCCGTTGTCGTTGCCGTCAGCGTCTTTCTTAGTGGACGACTTGGCCTTGGTCGTCGCAGGCCGCTTGGTCGTCTTCGTAGTCGTGGAGGGCTTCTTGGCCGCGGCGGCGAACGCGGCGGGAGAGGAGGTGAGGAAGGTGCGGCGCGCCTGAGCGATGGGGGACGCGCCGAGGGAGAGACGCGTCGCGAACTGGCGCGAGAGGATGTTAAGCATGGTTATTTGCGATGTTGGAAAGAGGTTGTGTGTATGTCGTATGTCGCAACGGAGCCTCTCGCTGTCACACGCGCGTCACTTCCTTATCCAGGTCACCCATACGTCACTCAGTCACGCTCATTTCGGAAGCTTTTGGCCCCCTGTGTTTTGCTTCCGGTCCCGACTTCCGAGTCTGCGCGCTCTCTTGCGCTTACCATCACCTCCTGCTCGTTTCTTTCTTTAATTCTCTGATATTTTCCTCGATTAATTTCCTCGCCATGTCTGGACCAATGTTTAATCCATCCAACTTGCCAGTACCCCAACTCGAATCCCTCAAATTCAAAGCCAACCAGATCATCGAGTCCATCCAGGCGCTACAACGCACCATCGACGTTGGCGGCCAAAACGTTATGCCAGCCTGGCCCGACATCCTTTCCAAATACAACATCATCCTCTCCCAAACCCACTCTTTCTCCACCTCCCTCATCGCCTCCCAAACCGTATCACAGGCTGCCCACCAGTCGAGCATCGCTCCACGGCCAACAGGCAGCATGTTCGAACGGATTGCACTGCATCCGAGTGTCGCTCTCCCCGACGCCACGCTCGACAACGAGATCATCCCGCTGCTAAGAAATCAGCAAACGACGGACGTGCTCAGCATGGAGAACGAGACGGCGCGGCGGCTCGCCGAGTGCATGCACACGGGCGGCGCGGTGCGCATGGCGGGTGTGCAGAGCAACCAGGTCGCCGGGGGTGGGGCGGCGCGCACGCGGCACGAGGACGTGCTGGCCGAGTGTGCGCAGATCCGGGGGGAGCATGATCGGCGTGTCGATCGCGCCGTGAGGGCGGTGACGATGCTCAGGGACAAGTTCGAGTGGAAGCAGCGCGTCGAGGTGGAGGTGGAGGAGCCTGAGGAGATCGAGTGGAGCGCGAGGCATCGGCAACACCATGATCATGACGGGGATGACGTGGACATGGGTCATGAGGGCGATCACGGCGACGTGGACGAGGGACAGAGTAGCGATGACGAAGAACTGGTCGAAGGGGCGCTCACGGACGTGAATGGAGACATTGGCACGCCTGCTGAAGAGACGTCAGCAGTGGGAACTCCTGCGGTGGACACGCCAGCTGACGAGGACATAAACATGGGGACTCCGCCTGCTACCACGTAGGATGGTCACCACGAATGTACAGTATGGAATCTTTTTCCTTTGCACATGGGGCTCTCATGTTATTCACTAGACTTCGTCTGCTGGCTGCTTCAAAACGTTAGCACATTTGCCTACACCTTTTCAAGTCTTGTGCGTTTTGCGGCAGTCCTGGGTCTATTTGGTAAATGACTTGTGGAATGTGGCACGTCGCTACGGTCTTCTCGGATAACTCACACCCAACGTCAAGTGGATTGGCACGACAATTCAGATCTTCAAGACTCACGAACAATGCGCGATCCACTTGAAATCCACGCGTCGTCCGATAATCCGAGCGTCCATCTAAATATGTCATCGACATCGCGGTCGCACCTCGCGCCATTTTCCTGATTAGTGACCCCTATCGTGCCATTCTCTCTATATCGGTCCACCCCCGCTGTTACATGCACCACACAACCATCGGACGATTCGGCTCGCAATTGTCAACGGTACCACACGTCGAGTCATATCCTCATTCGGGATCAACAGCCCGCGTGCATCACACGCGTCTGAGCCGGGAAGTGCGGGGCGTGGGGCACCAAGTCGCGACGCGTATATATAGCCGGGGACGCGTCGCTGAAATCTCTATCTTCCACCTCTCCCGCTCAGCACTATCCTGCTGAGTCGTGCCTCCATCCACTAGTGTATTTGCGTCAAAATGTCGAACAACGTTCACGTCATCGCCCAAACCGGATTCGGTGAAGGAACGAACGAGCTGTATGACCGGTATGCATCCCTGCCCCTATCTTCTCCGACCGCACAGTTCACGCGCTGCCACTATCCCGTACCAGCGCTCGTCCTTCCTACCCCTCCGAGAGCCTCGAGTTCATCCGCTCCCTCAATCCGTCTGACTCGCTCAACATCCTCGAGTACGCGCTCTTCCCCACGCCTCCCACGCCTTACCTTCTCCCTCCCGTTGACACTCACCACCACAGACTCGGCGCCGGCACCGGCATCTTCACCCGCGCGCTCCTCGCGCACCCCGCCTGGACCGGCAACGCCATCGCCTCGCTGCGCGCGGTCGAGCCCAGCGCAGGCATGCGCACCGTCTTCGCGCGCACCGTCATCGTACCCGAGCTCGACCCCGGCCAGCGCGTGAGCGTGCACGACGGCACATTCGACGGCACCGGCGCGCCCGACGGCTGGGCGGACCTGGTCATCATCGCGCAGGCGTTCCACTGGTGTCCCGACCACGAGGCGGCGTGCACGGAGTTGAGGCGCGTGCTCAAGCCCGGCGGGGCGCTGTGTTTGATTTGGAATTTGGAGGATCGGTGAGTCTGTTCTGGTTTGCGTTTGTGTTTGAGAGGAAGCGCGGTGTCTGATGGAGATGCCTTGTTTGCGGTTTGTAGGGACGGCGCACAGTGGGTCGCGCGTCTGCGCGACACGTACGAGGTGCATGAAGCGGGCACGCCGCAGTACCACCGTGGCCTCTGGCGCCCGTTCTCGACGGTGTCGGCGTACACGGAGGGCTTCGCGGGCCCGCCGGAGGAGTATAATTGGAAGCGTGTGCTTCCAGCGACGGCCGATATCGTGAGCGAGCGCGTGTTCAGCAAGAGCTACATCACGGTGTTGTCCGAGGAAGAGAAAGCCAGGCTCGCGCGGGACGTCCAGAGGATTGTTGTGGACGAGGGGGAGCAGGGAGGTAAGAGGTGGATGGACAAGGAGAAGGGCGTGTTTGAGTATCCGTATAATACCCATCTGGTTGTTGCGAGGACGAAGGCTTAGGCTTAGGTGCGTCTTTGGTTTATGCATTTTGGTTACCGGCTGGAGTTTTGACTTGGCTATTCCGTCTCAGGTTTTTATTGTATATATAAACCAGATGCTCTACACCTTCATCGGTCGTGCATCCTGTATCAGGATTTCAATCATAATCGCGTTCAACCGTTGACCTACTCCAGCTTGAGGCTCGATGAAGACGAAGGAGCTCAATCTAAGTATAGCAGCATAGACGAGTATAACGACACCCCGACTCCACGTGCCGCGCTGCGGCACAGGCCCGTGCAAAGGTCGCCGCCTTCGAGGTCACAAGGGATGATGGTGGCAACCTCCGGCGTCTACTTGCTTACCCTTGCCCCGCAGGCACCACCAGCCACCACTCGTGCTCGGTCCCGCGGGTGCTCGGCACCCCGCATGTCCTTATCTCCTTGTTACAAGTGGATTGGCTCCGAGAGGGTGTGCCCTGGCTTTCGTCAAAGTTTCAGCACACCATGTTCCTTGCCGAGAAACAGGAAGTTGAGACCATCGAGGAAGCCAGTAGGCCGCTTTCTCCCGAAAGCATCGGCGGAACCAAAGATGCATCCGCTGGACCCGATATTAGTGTTGAACTTGGAGGGCAGCGGCAGTTGGAGGAGGAGGAGCTGAAGGCGCTGGAGAAGAGGCTCGTGCGCAAGCTCGATGCGCGCATGGCGATACTTGTTTTGATTAATATCTTGAACTACGTGCGTAGGTCTCGTCAGCATTGGTTACGACACCGGCGTATGGCTAATGTACGTTTTGCTCTAGATTGACAGGACAAATATCAGGTTTGTCATTTCCGAAACTATCTGGGTACACAGGGGTGATGTTGACCACTGGATGCTCTGCGTTGACGGTGAGAACAGCTCAGCACGCCTGCAAGGGTTCGAGCAGGACCTACATCTCGAAGGGCAGCAGTACTCCGTGGTGCTGTCGATTTTGTTCGTTGGGTATATCATTATGCAGATTCCATGGTGCGTCTCTTGCTTCCCAAACCCTTTTGAGACTAGAACTCAGAATTAACATTGAAAATTTCACAGCAATATGTTCATCGAGTGGGTTGAACGGCCGTCCGTCTTCCTGTCGTTGTGCACGGTACTATGGGGCGTAATCTCAGCTCTGACGGGTAAGTCCGCTCTAGCCCGCCTTCTGCATCATGCATCTCCGCCTTGCTCACTACTGAGATCCTTAACTTCCTACCAGGCATATGCACCAAGTACGCTTTCCCGCAGCGCCTCGTCACCTTCACCACTTCACAGATCCGAATTTTACTTCTCGGACAGCTTCGCAGGCGCGCTTGCCGTGCGCTTCTTCCTCGGATTCGTCGAGGCCGCATTCTACCCCGGCGCGCTGTTCCTCCTCTCGCGGTGGTACACGCCCTCGGAGCTCGGCGCGCGCATCGCCATGCTCTGCTGCGGGAGCTTCGTCGGCAACGGATGGGGCGCACTCCTCGCGAGCGGTATCCTTGCGCGAATGGGCGGGGTGCTCGGACATGCGGCTTGGAGGTGCGCGGCCGAAGTGTACCCTAGTACATCTTGATTTATAGAGTTTGTGGTTGTCAATTTCGTTTTAGGTGGCTGTTTTTTCTCGAAGGGGGCATCACAGTTCTGGTTGCGCTCTGTGCGTGCGTGCTCCTCCCCGACTTCCCACAGAACACGCGCTGGCTCTCCCATGCCGAGCGCGCGCTCGCCATCGAGCGCATGGAGCGCGCAGGGGTCTCGGATCGCAACGACTCCGAGCGCTCGGAAAAGCGCGCTCCGGCGGGCTCAGAGCAGCACCGCAGCGCACGTGCCAGTGAACGGGCCCGTGAAGTGCTACACGGCCTGCGTCTTGCACTGAGCGATTGGACGGCGTGGTGGTTCGCAGTCGCTGCCTTCTTCCAGTTCCTCGCGCAGTCGTTCTTCATCTTCTTCCCCACGCTAGCAGCCACGCTCGGATTCGGGACGACGGCGACGCTGGCGCTGTGTGCGCCGCCGTGGATGTTTGCAAGCGGGCTCGCGATTGTGCTTGCGCTGTACGTATCCTTGTTTAGCGACTTCATATGTTCTTATTTCCACTCGTATTTCCTTTTGAGCTCCCTTTGGAGTTATTGATACGTGGCAATCACTCCAGTTGCTAATGCAAAATGGTTTTATAGACACTCGGACAGAACGAAGCGTCGTTTCGAGTACATCGTCTGTTCTGAGCTAGCAGGCATCGTGGGGTTCATCATCGCCATGAGCACAATGAACACTGCCGCACGATACATCTCCTTGTACGATAGCAAGCGCCTCATCTTTATCCAAAAACACCTACCTAAGCATTTGATTTTGACTTTAATGACAGGTTCCTAATGGCACAGGTGTACGCTGGCTTTGTCGTCTTCTACACCTGGACGAGTAATGCATTCCCGAGCCCGCCTGCCAAGCGTGCCATTGTGCTGGCGCTCATGAACGGCGTCTCGCAGCTCGGGAACGTCGTAGGCCCGTACGTCAACTTTATATCCTAAACGTGCACTGACTGAGCTGGGCCGGGCAGGTACTTTTGGCCTACCTCATGGGGACCCTCTTATAGACATTCGTATGCCATATGCATCTCTGCCGCAGGCGTGTCCTTGGTGATGATGTGGGTCCTGAGAATGCACTTTGTCAGGGTGAATCGAAAAATCAGGAGGGGGGAAATAGACGGGCCCGAACTCATTACATGAGTTGAAAGAATGGCACCATAGAAAAATAAATCATGTAACGCCCAATCAATGAGCGAGATACGTACTACACTCTGTAGATCATACAACTATTTGGCACCCGTTTCACCGCGCCTATCTCCGCCTCATACGTTCCTCGGTAAACCTCTGAGAATCCTCCAACACCGACGGGGGAGTTATCAGAGATACCCACATCGTCAATTGACAGTGGATATGTCCCGAATCTTTTGCAACTTTGAAGGGAACCTGTGTCAAGACTCCTGAGGAACTCACCCTTCACACGATCCCTCATCCAAGGATGCGTTGGCATCTTCACGCGAGGAAGCCATCCAAAACCTCGTGAATACTATGTACTCTGTCACTACGGGCAAACTGCCATTTTTTACCGGAGAAAAGGGAGAGAAAAGCCGTGGGGGTGAAAACCTTCTTTACTGAGTTTTTGCCGCAAGAAAAGTCAAAGGAAAGATTATTATTGCACCCGAGAGAGCGCCTTTTCTAGACAGGAAAAGGATAAATAGCTAGCTATGGCTGCCAAAGTTTATACTTTGGCCGATTCCGAGGATAATTTATCCTTTTCCTGTCTAGAAAAGGCGCTCTCTCGGGTGCAATAATAATTTTTCCTTTGACTTTTCTTGCGGCGAAAACTCAATAAAGAAGGTTTTCACCCCCACGGCTTTTCTCTCCCTTTTCTCCGGCAAAAAATGGCAGCTTGCCCGTGGTGTGTACGTTTGCTCTCTTCTGTGCCTCCTCCAGCCGGGTGGGAACTCCGAGACGATTAATACCATGGGTAAAACGGCTATCACTAGAAGACAGCCTGCAAGACCAAACTGACAAGGACGACGTCTATTATCTAGTACGCGTATGTCGAGTAAGGTAGAGGTGCGGGTAAGAAGAGTAAAATACGGTAATTGGAGCCCGTCGCGTCGGTTACACCAACGTTAGCCGAATTCCCACGTTACAGATCGCCTTTCGCAGGTCCTACCATATCATCCATGTACGCACTTGATTGTTGCGAGGACGAAGGAGCGCTTAGGCATAGGCTTAGGTGCGTCTTTGATTTGTGAATTTCGACTGTCAGTTGGGTTATTGATTTGGCTATTCCGACTCAGGTTTTCATTGTATAGCCTTTATCGGTCCTGTATCAACACCTCAATGATGATCGCGTTCAACCGCCGGCCCACTCCAGCCTGAGGCTCGACGAAGATGAAGGAGCTCAATCTAAGTATAGTATCATAGACGAGTATAGCGGCGCCTCGACCCCACATGCCGCGCTGCGGCACACCCGACCACAGGCCTGTGCAAAGTTCGCCGTCTTCGAGGTCACAAGGGATGATGGTGGCACTCTCCGGCGTCTACAAGTTTACCCTTTCGCCGCAGGCGCCACCGGCCATCACCTCGTGCTTGGTCCTGCGGCATCCCGTATGCCCTTATCTACTTGTGTCAATCTGGGCAATTGCCCGGTCACCGCTGCGCACCATGCTCTTGACCGAGAAACAGGAGGTTGAAGCGGTCGAGGAGGTTATTAGCCGTCCGCCTCCGCTCCCTCGCACGAGAAATCGTGGCTCCCCCAGCGGATTCGAATTCGGGGACTATGGTGAAAGTCAGCGAATTCCGGGTCTGGGTGATGCGAAGGCGCTGGAGAAGAAGCTCGTGCGCAAGCTCGACGCACGCATGGCGATCCTGGTGTTGATTTATATTCTGAACTATGTGTGTCTCTCGCGTCTTCCTCTGTTCCCGATGTACAGGCGGCTGAAGGCCGTTTAGATCGACAGAACGAATATCAGGTTCGCCGCATGTGTCTCGCCGTAAACCAGGAGATGCTGAGTTAATGCCTCCTGTTTTCTGCACTGTTAGCTCAGCGCGTCTGCAAGGGTTCGAGCAGGACCTACATCTTGAGGGACAGCAATACTCTGTGGTGCTGTCAATTTTGTTCGTTGGGTACATTATCATGCAGATTCCGTGGTGCGTCGCCTTCCTCTCGAATCCATGAGAGATCAAACTCAGAAATAACATTGAATTTCACAGCAATATGTTCATCGAGTGGATCGAACGGCCGTCCGTCTTCTTGTCATTGTGTACGGTGCTGTGGGGCGTGATCTCAGCGCTGACGGGTGAGCGCAAATTAGCCCGCCCTCTACATCATGCATCTCCGCCTTGCTCACTACTGAGATCCCGAACTTACTATCAGGAATATGCACCAAGTACGCTTCCCCGTATACCCTCGTCGCCACTTCACATCTCCGAAATTTAACCCTTGGACAGCTTCGCTGGCGCCCTCGCCGTGCGCTTCTTCCTCGGCTTTGTCGAGGCTGCGTTCTACCCTGGCGCACTGTTCCTCCTCTCGCGGTGGTACACGCCCTCGGAGCTCGGCGCGCGCGTCGCCGTGCTCTGCTGCGGGAGCTATATTGGGAACGGGTGGGGCGCGCTCCTCGCGAGCGGTATACTTGCGCGCATGGGTGGGGTGCTCGGGCATGCAGCTTGGAGGTGCACAACCATGATGCCTCCTGCGTCATGATTGTAGAGCTCATAGGTTTTTAGGTGGCTGTTTTTCCTCGAAGGGGGCATCACAGTTCTGTTCGCGCTCTGTGCATGCGTGCTCCTCCCCGACTTCCCGCATAACACGCGCTGGCTCTCCCCCGCCGAACGCGCGCTCGCCATCGAGCGCATGGAGCGCGCGGGGGTCTCAGATCGCGACGACTCCAGTCCCGATCCCTCCGAAAAACGCACCTCGACGATCCCACAGGGGCGCCACAGCACACGCGCCAGTGAACGGGCCCGTGAAGTGCTACACGGCCTGCGTCTTGCACTGAGCGATTGGACGGCGTGGTGGTTCGCAGTCGCTGCCTTCTTTCAGTTCCTCGCGCAGTCGTTCTTCATCTTCTTCCCCACGCTAGCAGCCACGCTCGGATTTGGGACGACGGCGACGCTAGCGCTATGTGCGCCGCCGTGGATGTTTGCGAGCGGGCTCGCGATTGTGCTTGCGCTGTACGTATTCGTGTTTGGCGACTTGATCTCTTCTTATTTCCGTCCGTATTTTCTGTTGAGCTCCCTTTGGAAAAGTTATTGATATGTGGCGATCATTTCAGTTGCTAATGCAACGTGATTTTATAGACACTCGGATAGAACGAAGCGTCGTTTCGAGTACATCGTCTTCTCGGAGCTTGCAGGAATTGTGGGGTTCATCATCGCCATGAGTACAATGAACACTGCCGCGCGATACATCTCCTTGTGCGCTAACATCCTATCTTCATTCGGAAATTTAATTGACAAGTGTAATCTTTTGGTTGGGCTGCATCTCAACCGACAGGTTTCTGATGGCGCAGGTGTACGCTGGCCTCGTCGTCTTTAACACATGGACGTGTAATGCATTCCCAAGGCCACCTGCCAAACGTGCCGTCGTTCTGGCGCTCGTGAACGGTGTCTCACAGCTCGGGAACGTCGTAGGCCCGTACGTCATTCTATGACGTTATATATCACAAACACTCACTCACCGAATCGGCTGGGGCAGGTACTTTTGGCCTACATCATGGGGACCTTCCTATAGGTATTCATACGCCATATGCATCTCTGCCGCGGGCGTGTTTTTGGTGATGATGTGGGTCTTGAGAATGCACTTTGTAAGGGTGAACCAAAAAATCAGGAGAGGAGAAATAGACGGGCCCGAAATTATTACATGAGTTGAAAGACTGGCACCATGGTAACGTTAAACCAATTAGCGAGATGCGCACTACACTGTAGATACAACTATTTCGTACATTAAACCAATAGGCTGTCTCGAGATGTCAACTGTGTACAATGTGAGTAGATGACGAAGGGCAGAGTTTGCGGAGGTTTAGCCGGAGTAGTTCCAAAACTTCCTCGGCACTGGGCCTGTCCGTTGGGTGAAATTCCCGACACTTCACAACGACGTCCCATAATGTATCTCCAATTCCGTCTGGCCTGACAAGTTCCTTATCCTGAATGACAGCACACACAATGGCGCCTTCGCCCTGCAGCTCAGTATGAGGAGGTTTTCCGGCGTAAATCTATGGGGTGAACAAGCACCCTCATCACTATCCTGACAACTCGTCGCTACGAAACGCTCACCTCGAACACCAAACAGCCAAACGCGAAGACGTCTCGACCTCGAGAGAGAGGCGGGGTTTCCGTCAAGAGCTCTGGTGCGGAGTACTGAAGAGTTTTACCCATAGTACGCCGAGGGGAGCTCAATGAGCGTACTCGCGCGCTGTTTTTAATGTAAGATAAGCCATAGTCGCCGATATAGGCTCGTCCAGCTGCAGAGACAAGTATATTCGTCTGCGGACGAAATCCGAGTCGGTCATGAGCCTTTATTGAGGCCCTTATCAACACTCACAGGTTTGATGTCACCGTGTATCACAGGCGGCCTCTGCGAGTGCAAGTATGCGATGCCGCTAATGATGTCAAGGATCTGTTACGTGTAAAGCTCAGCAACCGACTGTGGTATACTCGTTCTATCCAGCTCACCAGAGAATGTCTATCAGGTGATTCTTTGCTTTGCAGGTACCGAGACAGATCACCCCCATCCTTGAATGGAGAGACAAACGCCAGAATAGCTCTGCCAGACGGATATTCGCCAAGGAAGACTCCACGAAGAGGCAGGATATTCTCATGAGACAGGCAAGACCAGACAACCACCTCCCTAGCACAGTCCTGCACGGTGAAATATCAGTGCACACCCTTGTAAATAGTATCAAATCTAGGGTACGCCACCTTCAATATTGTATCGAAATCCGATTCTATCAACCGCACTCGTTTCACCGCGACCACTTCCGCCTGATATGTCCCTCGGTAAACCTCTGAGAATCCTCCAACACCGACGGGGGAGTTATCAGAGATGTCGACATCGTCAATTAGCAGCTGCTGTGGATACCGTCCCGAGTCTTTTGCAACCTTGAAGAGAGCCTCTGTCAGAACTTCTTGCAGGCTGGCTTCAAGTGGTAATCCTTTCGCCTATGGTGCTAAGCGTGAGTGCCCAAGCAGTTAGAGAAGGCACAAATAGAACAAACGTACAGAGTACAGAGCATTCACGAGGTTCTGGATGGCTTCTTCGCGTGAAGACGACAACACATTCTTGGATGGGGACTCGTTTTTTACGGTTCCTACCAGGTCGTTCATGGATATTGAGAAACCTGTAGAGCGCAAGAGGCGATGAAAGTATAAACTACTCCCACTCTTCTTTGTCACCGAGCTCCGAGCCGAAAGAGATTCCTGAGCTACTGATAGAGGCCCAGGTTGTTGAGAGTCGTGGGTGGATACCTGAAGATGTCGATGGTCCGGAATAATTGGGAGGAGACTGGGAGTGCTGTCAGGCCGATGATTTCATCGTAGCGCGGGAATGCAAGGCAAGAACTTTGGAACCTACCACAAGCCCTGTTCCGTGTCTGGTCCATTCTTGTTTACGTCTTCGAGAAGGTTTTCTCCCTCTAGCGCATCCTCCCTCGATCCTGTATTTCCCTCGCCACCAATGCTGCCCTCTCTGCCCAGATGCGGCCTCTTCTCCCTCCTGACCCTTTGGATATTTCCATAGGCGCTCTCTTCCCCATCCCATTTCCTCTTGCCTTCCGCTCGTAGCGCTTTCCCCTCTCCCCCTGCTCTTGCTGGCGTCTGGCCGTAACCAACATTCTCTGTCTCCTTCCGGTCTTGTGCACCCGTGATGCAGTGCTCGTGAATGTCAAGCTCGATAGGCGATTCGTAGCGGCCGACAAACGACGAGTGTTCGACATGGGCGTTAGATAGATGTATGCTTCCACGTAAGCCCGCTTCGCATGTGTTCGGTGAGCCTGATAGTATGTGAATATTCTGTACGCTCTGGCGTATATATATGAAAGGGCCAGACAGCGGGAAAGGCGCACCTTTGGATACCTTGGCAAAAAGCGCACTATCTGCAGCTTCTACGGAAGAATAAAGAGGAAAGATAAACTTTGTCTCATGAGCATGAGAAGTCTGACGCGAATGCTCGATAGAACCTCCAGAGCCGTGGAGCTGTATCGATGGCTCGCGTTCTGGTCCAACGGTGAGTGAAGGGCTTCCGCAGCGCTTCATCCGATCGTAGCTGCCAAAGTGCTTCATCTCCATGGCACCCAGCATCGCCTGCTGAGCTTTAAGGAGAGCGTGATCCCTGCTTGCATAGTCCAGAACCCACTGCCGCTTCACGCGCTCGCGCATGACAGCGTCCCGCACGAGCTCCTCGACACGGCCGCGGATGCACGCCATGGTCGTCAGATGCTCCGCGACGAAGGCGTCCCGCCGCCGTGCGCTGACGTTCTGGGCCCAGAGCTTCGCGTGGAGGTCCCGCTCGGCCGCGCGCACCATCCAGCTCAGGTTTTCTTCGATGCTGTGTCTCATCTGGTTCTTCCATGCGTCGTCTGGATCGACGATGAGCTCGAGTGCCCACATGGTCGGATAGGGATTGTGGAAACGAAAGATATGGAAGCCGAGACACGATGTGGATGAGATTTGGACGATCAGAGGACTGTGACGGCTGCAGCGCTAGACCACGGAGAACGTGTAGAATCTGGGAGATTATCAGGTCTGCATAGCCATGAGATTCAGCCAGGAACACAGCCAAGAGCAGAGTTGGAACTTACCTAGTGCACAGTTTCGTATCTGTATACAAGGTCTGCAAAGTGTCTGACCGCGAGCTCAAGTGCGACGAAAACGTCGATGGGTGAGGCGAGAAGAGGTGATGACAGTCTTTGGGGGGAGCCGGGCCTGGGGATGTTCTTCCACAGCATTGTTGTCGGAATACCCATGCATTCATGATGCGGTGATGGCGAAGATAGGCTTTAGACGCCCATTAAACAGCAGTACTGGTAACGGGGTCGCTATGCTTCTTTATGCCGGCGTTCGTCTAGTGCACGAGGACTGGCAGATAAGGAGCTTGCTGTATAAACGCTTCATCTTTAACTTCATCTTTGTATACGAGTTTAAAAAGGTTGACCTGAAGACTCAAAGAAAGGATTCGGAGCGCCGAGGAACGGTTCTAGATGTGTAGTAACAGTGGACCGGAGGACTCGGTACCTGTCGACAGCTGAGCGTCAAGGGAGGGGCCCTGGGCTAGATCCATCTTCCCCACGAATTCAATATCGCGGCATTTATCATACGCGGTGGGCAAACCTGGCCTGAGGATGGGAGCAAGGGTGGTGGCAGAAGCAAAACACAGGTGCAGCACAGCCTCCGACTCGGGTCTTGGCGCCTCCGCACGTATGGACGCCTTCAAGCGGGCACTGAAACAACCTAGCTAGTCAATCCGCGTCCACGGTCGACTTCGAGCGTTTAGTAGTACAATCGCGAATCATGGGCTCACTAGCATGTTCTTGATACAAGTTCGAAGGAGGTGCGAGGCGGATTGTCAGGACATGCCATATGGTTGCCATAGGGTATAAGTATGGGAGGCTCGATGTAGAGCAATAATGGCAGGAGATAGCACTACGATATATACGTGCTGGTTTATATAGTCAACCTCTGACTGTCTAACTTTAAGCTACCTTGTATGGGACAAGGAGCACTGACCAAAGCGAGAACAAGGGCAAGGCGCTTGGCCCGCGCGCGGGTCATGCTGCTTGTGAAAGAGATGCGGCAACGTTCTTACGGTTGAATGCCGACCTTCAAGCTTCACTAACCATGTAAGTTGTGATTCTAGCAAGCAACCGAACCATTCCTCCGGTGCGAATGTTCGCCATCTAAACAAGTTCAAATCAAGACACGATAGCAGGAGATCTATGATTAAACTAGTAACAATACACACATTATACAATCATCCAAAACGTCTACATCAAGACGCACGAACAGATAGCCACCACGAGATTCAGCGAAACTCTAAAGACGACCAGGCTATATGTCAAGCTCGGACGCGGGGATATGCGACATCTCGATCCGGTGGTCCTCCACGGGCCCGACCTGCTCCTTCACGCTCACGCTCCCGTCCTCGTTGCCGAAGTAAGAGCAGATGGCCATGCGGCAGAAGAGGCCGACCTCGACGACGCCCGTGAGCATCTTTATCCGCGCCATGATCTATGCCAGAGAATACAACAGGTCAGCGTCAGCCTCAAGGGGGCAATGGGGTGGCGTGCATGATGAGGAGAAAGGGGGGCAAAGAGGAGGAAAACGCACGGTGAACGGGTCACGGAAAACGTCTCGCGAGAAGGGCGCGTCGATGACGAAGTTACCGTTGTCCGTGACGACGGGTCCGGCTTTGGCCTTGGCCATGCGGAGCGTGGCGGTTGGTGAGCCGAGGACGTGCTGCAGGTTCTGGAGGACCTTGGCGTATGCGAAGGGGACGACTTCGACGGGCACTCCAGGGGTGAACTGGTCATGGATTGAGGATATAATGGCTAGGTTAGTACGTGCGAGCAGGGGGAGAGGGAGGAACGCACGTTGGTACCAAGGAACTCAACGTTCTTGCGGTAGTCGGCGACGAGGATGAACGTCTTGGCCGCTTCGGCGATGCACTTCTCGCGGAGATGACATGCTCCACCGCCCTTGATGCAGTTCAGCTCGTTGTCCACCCTGTGCACACACCGCCTGTCAACCCCGTCCCCTCCGAAATGGTCTATCCGCCAACGGGACTCACTCGTCTGCGCCGTCGATGGTGACGTCGATGGTCGGGTAGAGGTCGACGTCGCCGAGGTTGAGCTTGTTGCTCACGATGAGCTCCTTGGACTGGAAGCCGGAGGGAATGAATATGCGGCCCTTGTTGAGCTCCGCGCCCTGCTGCACGATGCGCTCGACGACGTAGGGGACGGTGGAACCCGAGCCGATGCCTATTATCTGCGCATGGATGGGTGCATGAGCGGAACGTGGTGAACGATGATGGGGATGTATGCACGCACCTTGTGTTCTGGCTTGACATGCCTATCGACGGCGATGTAGGCTGCTGCGCGCTTAGATGACTCGATGGGAGTGAGCTTGGAAACGCTTTGAGCGGCTGTGAGAAAGGATTGGAATCAGTGTGTCAGGACAAGCTAGGAGCGACGCACTGATCCTGGCGACCTCTGTGGGGACGGGCATGTTTACGGGTCGAGGGATGGCGGTTTGACTGGAGTTGGGGAAAGAGCAGATGCAGGTGGAAAGGAGGGAGTGAAGGCCAGTGCAGATATAGGATCGCGCATTCAAATGTAGTCCGTGTTCGTGGGCGGTTGAGACCAGGACAGAGGCGGTTGGAAGGCGGTATACGGTATATGGACCAGATGGAGGATGGCGCGGTCAGATATCACGATTTAAGTAAGGGTCCGGATATGAAAAAATTCGGGGGATACTCCATCTTTGCCGGATGAACAGCCCGAAGGAACCATCATATGGCGGCTAGTAGATCGCGCGTGGGGGTGTGGAGAGGGGAGTGAGTAAACGAACACGTACGGGACTTCGGCTTCAGGGAGCGGCATGGTGACACGGAACGCTCGGAGGCAGACAGCAAAGGGATATCGCGATGCAGAAATCGGGGGTGGTCTGGCACTGGCGGAGAGGTGAGGAAGAGCAGACTCCCATCGTAGACGTCCTGGTCTCATCCCGGTCTCTCGTCACCCCTTTCGTCAGCTCCGCGCGGCATGAATAGGAAACAGGGAACCGTCCACACGCCGTTCCTTGCTGCTCTCCATTATCTTCTCCAATCCGCCACCCTCATCATCCCCGTGCCTTCCTCCCTCGCACGCTAAAAGGAAATCACGAATTGAGGACCAGATAACATCTTCCGCGCTACTCCTCGTGAAATCTTGGAGAACCTGTTCTCAGCCTTGTGCGAATCTGGGAAGGCTCCAAACGCTGACTTCCTCGACGAATCCATACTGTACTGTACTCTCTTGGGCCCCTGCGTTTCATCCATTCAGGCTAGTTGCACAGCACACGTGAGGCCATGAGAGCAATCAAGGGTATGTCTCCGTTTTTGGCGGCCCTCGCCTTGTCAAACGCGTGACAAGCTAAAAGCGGGCGCATATAGGCGTCCTCTTTACGTGGTACGGCACTTCGCTCGCCTCGTATACTCCAAAAAATGTGGCTCACAGCGTGTCATTGTTGTAGCGACTCGGCTGTTAAGCAGATCCTTGTGACAATGAACGAGAAGCAGCCGTTCATCATTGAGGACCTTGACGATTATCACCTTATTATCAAGGCTGATGAAGAGTACCGCGTAAGGCGCGAACTCGAGGCTGAGGTGTGTACACGCATACATGTGATGTCATGTCGACAATTTTGGACTCATTCGTTACGCTATCGTCACCCCGATAGTTGGAGAAGAATACCTATAGTTTGGAAGCGAGCGCATGAACTTCTCTTACGAATGCAAACACAGGCTAAGACGGTATTGCCGATAGGCGTCACCTTTCAACGCATTGATATACCTTGTCATGCCAAATCCTCGTTGTATGCGCTCCAAATCAACGCCTTACGCTCTAAGCGGAAGGTTCTATGTGTTCGCTTACCCTTTGCAGACTCGCGCTGGAAGCCACCTTCCCGTACGCTTGTTTCATACTAGCCAATCATGTCAATAACACGCGTGTCGCACTCCGTGTCCCACTTTTCAAGTCCAACTTATGCAAAGCTGCTCTCGTCATGATGCCACCCGATGCCACCTCAACCAAACGTGATGTGCCTGAGCTACTGGCCAGCGCGGCTACTACAGATTTCAGCGTCTTTGGCTTCACTATCTCTTTTCGGTATCGTTGCTGGGTCGCGGTGCGACCCAGATTCCTCGCCTCATTCACGTCCCCTGTTGTATTCCTTGATAGACAACAAGACATGCCGAGCTACGCTCCGGCACTTTCTATCAATACACAGCTACCCCTTGGACTCAATCACAATTAGGTTGGCAAGGATATATCACGCACGCAGTATATACTTCGGTTTGATTAGGAAAGGGTGAACATAAATTTCACGCAACGAACCTTGTGTTGCGTGTCATTAGGTACATCTTCGGCATAGTTGGGTCTAGTAATAATACCATACAAGACACGCCGCGCTACGCTCCGGCACTTTCTATCGACGTTAGTAATATTAATGGCTCGAGCTCACACCGCTACAGCATATCACAATTTTCCCGGGGGCATAGCTGAGGACAAAAACGCACCATAGATAATTGCACGTATCACCAACAAAGTGTCGTTCTACCACGTTCGGGATTTGTTCGGGATAAGCATCGCAGGCCAAGCTCAAAAAGGAAAACCCCATATCAAAACGTCAAACAAAGGTCAACAAAAGCCTACCATAATTTTGAAGATACGAGTTATCGCTCACTTCTGAACGTAACATCTGAAACATTTAACGGATGTCCGTACCTAACGAATCTCTGCGCCCAGACACAGACTAGCAAATATTCCTCCCATGCCCTTTTATATGCCAGCTTCTTCGTGAGCTTGGGAACCGTCATCCGGCACCTTTGATCACCCACACTCCTATCAGCTCTCTATGACGACCTCCGTGATCCTAGTGGCTAACTAAAGCTCGCACATACTCCGGCCATACATATTTCCCCAGGTTTCATCAGAAGCGGTACGCTAACTGAACAGGAAGGCATAAGCGCTCACCACTAGTCTCGAACCAGTCGCTTCCTTTCTGGGTCGCGGCTGTACCTCGGGTGTGGCCGCTCCGCAGGAGCGTCTGGGGACTTTTGATGGGGAGCTATACCCTGCGTGACCAGACAGAAGGCAAGAAAGGAAATTAGCGATTAATCGGGGAATTAGTCACGTAGATAACGCGTTATGGTCACAGATGTCAGAGCGTTGAGGACAACAGCGCGTCAAGGGGTGGCGACGCGCTGAAGCTGGGCGAAGATTTCACTAAGTCTCCTTCAGGGGCCCAGTCGGCCCAGTTCCAGCCCTCTCAGCCCACTCGTTTTGTCTTTCTATGCATCTATAAACATATCCTAATGAACACTACCCACACTCCTTTGCCATCTACTATAGATCACCACAATACTCAGCATATACTTTCCTTAAGACGATCCCAAACTCCTGGATACTCCTCTGAAGACATTCGAAAACAGTTTAGCGACAAATGCAAGGAAAGGACGGGCTTCACCCCACATCCATGGCAACTAGACTGTGCTGAGGCCTTCTACCTTGGACTCGACTGCACGGTTATCGCGGGAACAGGATCAGGCAAGACCTTATGCTTTGCAATGCCGGCCATGCTTCGCACCGACAAGATTACACTCGTGTTATCACCCCTAAATATCCTTGAAGATGATCAGGTACGCACACAGAATTACTGCGGATGAGCGCACAGGCTCACAAGAGTACGTCAGGCTCGCCGGTTTGAGCATATGGGCCTGCGAGCAACAGTGGTAAACGGAGAGACGTTCACTCCAAAACTTCGTCATGTGAGTCCATACCCACTACCATCTAGCAAGGATTGGAGTTCTTACCTCTTAAATAGATACTGGAGAAGCCTGTTCCCGAGTTTCAGGTCGTCTTCACGTCACCAGAGATGGTGCTGAGCCCCGGCCCATTCAACTCGATGTTGACGTCAGCAACTTTTCAGGAGCATCTCGCCGGGGCAGTGGTTGATGAAGCGCACTGTATAGAGGAGTGGGGGCCAGAGTTCAGACCTGCATATGATGAATTGGGTGCGATTCGATCGATTATCCCACTCCACTTACCAGTGTATGCCACTTCTGCGACCATGCCACCCCATGTCCTTGCGACAGTTCGCTCGGTTCTTCATATCAACCCTCGCCGGTCCTATCACGTCAACCTCGGGAACGACCGCCCAAATATTACTCAAGAGATACGCACCATAGACGGCAGCAAGGATTACGCAGCGTTAGACTATCTGTTCACCGGGTGTCAGCAGCCTGAAGACCTACCTCACGCTATCATATTCGTCAACCGCAGGAAGGATGCTGAGGAGATCTTTGACCGTCTTATCAAGTCTCCGTGGTTTCCTGTGCATCTTCATGACTCCGTCGACTTCCTAACAGCTAAGCGTGGAAAGCAGACGAAAAAACGCGTCATGGAGCGTTTTGCGAAGGGAGAGATCAGGGTGCTCATTTCGACGTCAGCTGGCAGTATGGTGAGCCCAGGATCACTGTAACGTTTGCTTGGAGTTCGCTCAAAATGAAACAGGGAGTGGATATACCTGATATAACCCTCGTAATCCAGTTTGGAGTACCTTCATCATTGATGGAGTGGCTTCAGCGTGCTGGTCGAGCGGGGAGAAGTTGTGCTATACAAGCAGTCGCCATCCTGTTTGTCGAGAAGTCAGTACTTGCAAAGCAGAAAGTGAAGTCGCGTCGAAGAGAGAATGATATGAGTGATGGCGAGGAGCAACAGGTGTATCGCAAGAAAGTTGAGCCTGCACTGCGCCAATGGATAGAGACGACAGGGTGCAGACGAGACGTTGCCGATGAGTACTTCGACAACCCGAGTGGGCGCTTGTGTGAGTGCAAACGTTCCCACCGCCATTAAGTTGTCCTCTCACGCTGAGAACCCTCTTCGCAGCCCCCACCGGCGACTGCTGCGATAACTGCCGCTCTCGCGCCATCCACGAGCAACGCGCTGTCATGCCCGGCTCCATCAACGACATGCTTATGGGGTCAGAAACCGAGAACCCACAGGACGCGACGGCTGCGAACGCTCTTGACGGAGGCAACTCCGACAGCAGCGATGAAGATGGCGAGAACGACGAGGACAACAGCGAGGGGGACGATGTAGAGGACGAACCTGGACAGAAGCCCAACAGCCACGGCAAGCGTCCAACGTCCTCCCATCCTGCTATTCGTCGAACGCGAGATCGCCTCCGGATTGTACGCGATGGCCTCCGCAGCTGGCGAGTTGCAATGCGTCGTCGTGACTACCCGGGCTGTAGCATGCCTGGAGAGGCATTGCTCCCCGACAAGCCGCTGAAGAAGATATCTGGTGACCGTCAACTCACAACACTGGAAGACCTTCACGGCGCTGTTGGGTCGGCATGGGCCTTCGTGGAGGAGTACGGTCTTGAACTTCTGGCTGAGGTTCAGCGGCTCGACCAGGTGGCTGATGAAGCAACGCAACGTCGACCAAAAGCGTCTGCGTCGAAGCCACGTTCAAAGAAACCTCGTCGAACACATGAAGATGAAATTGAGAACTTCCAATCTGCTACGCCTGGTACATCTTGGTGCGCTTATTTGATATCGTATCATGCGTTTGGCATTTATCTAACTGGCACCTACCTAGCTTCAGTATCGCTACAACTGGAGGGTTTGTCACCCCCATTCAAGTTGCGCAGACATCACAGCAATCTAGCTTCAATGTTCACTTTTACGTACCTCCTCATACACAGGCCCCTTCGGTTATACGCTCCCAACCGCTTTCCCCTTCAAAGAGACAGTCAACGTCGAAATAGCCCAGCCCGAGTAGCTTAAAGGTTCACTTATACGATACTACTGCTGTTCATTTTTACGATACAACCTGCCTACAACAAATCTGTATCCCACAACTCCGTTGTCTTGCGCCTACGGTTGCGCTTTGCCCACCACTTGGACATTGTTTGACGCCGGAAGAGATGGATAGCCCCCTCGCTTACAACATCAACTACCCAATCGCTCTCCGTGAGTCCCATGCGTCCGTTTTGTCTCTCATTCACCTTTGATGACTTGTAAGTATTCTTCAGGCGCTGCACGTCGGCATTCTTTGAAGGTGCTGTATGGGCAACACCTCGCCTCAATGTGCGTATCTGTTTCTCAAGGTGTTTTCGCACAGTCCCCAGAGTTGCAACAGCGGGTCCAATTTTGTCTAGTCCCTCCCATGAAGCGTTGGGGCCCTGCATTGAGTAAGTTACCTTCTGGTCTTTGATGTTATGCTCTTGTGCCTGATCAACAGGATGCCATTTACCCGGGTGACCTGACAAGTTCACGAGCCACGCACGTCTCCGGACATAGTCTCTGCAAATAGTTAGCTTACAATTTCTCGGGCGAGATGGGTACGTACTTCAGCTCGGGTGGCCATTCTCGTTGGAGGCAGTGAAGCAGTTCCAGGATCTCGATGGCATAGCGGCTGTTGCTTCCTCCGGAATAACGGAATAAGAGGTAAGGAAGAGTATCTTCCATTACACCAACATCACCCTCTTTAATAGCAGCTTGAAGGTCGATATATCGTAAGGCATCCCGGTTCCAGAGCACGGATTCCCGAAAGATCTCGTCCTTTTCTTCATCATCTTGTGAGTCCCAGTCCTCGAGAACATCTACTGATGCCAGCTTATCAAGTATCTCCATCGCGAATTTGTACAGTTCTTCGGGCGTCTTCTCCTGCAAAGCTGCAAGATCATCAGCACCTGTCACAACACGCCAGCAATCCTGAAATCGAGCTTCGGTGACGTGACAAATGGCTTCATCCAGTTGTTGGTGGAATGGTCCTCGAGTTTTGACGGAGTCGAGACCCTTTCGATTTAAGACGGTGAATGCGTGTCGAAGTCCTCGGCCGGCAGTAGTACCTAGGTATTGTTTGTGTAGTGAAGCAGCAAATGTCATTGAGTTGTGGAGCCATCCAAACGAGGGGATTAAGAAGTCGAGGCGTTCAAAGGCGTTGTCATCCCATGCATGGCTGGCAATGAGACCACGGATGCGCTCGGCTGTGAGCTGATCCCCTGTCCATACTAACAGTTGCCCTAGAGCCAACTTTTGCTTCTCCTCCGTTGATCCAATGAGGCCTAGTACGTTGAGAAAGTGCATAATCACCTTCTCATTACCCTCGTAGCTTGCTTCTTCTATGTGAACTGTGCCAAGGACGTGTTTCTCGGTTCGGTACTGGGGTCCAGTGGGGAGCTGATGCACAGGGGGAGGCTTGGCTAGGAGGGGGTGTTTGCGACCATCGTACGTCAAGAGATTGAAGGAAGGGGAGTCAAACAGGTACATCAAGATGCGATAAACATCTCGCAAGCGGCGTGAAGGTGCACCTGCTCGTTCAAGGTCCCAGATATCCTTGATGGTGAGAGGTCCTTGCTGCGCTGATGACCTGCGGTGCTCTTGAAAAGTACGGTTACACAGACGCGTAGTAGGGGGAGCGTCAGGCTGGAAGTAGATGGTTGCAGAAGTCCCAGAATCAAAATGGGATTGGTTATTCATACGTTGATTGAACACCTTGAACGCGAGGTTCAGATTGTCATGGGAGATAACAAATTCCTCTCCGTTCTTCAAGCGAATCCGAATGCCGTCAAGGGTGTTCTCTGCAATTGTTTGAATCGCTCGAACCGTCCACTTGTGGGACATGGTCAATCCCAGGGTATGTAGGAAGTCAAGAGATTTTGCAGAGATATTCTGCGACCGGAGGTATGTTGATATCATCTTTTGCCATAGATTGTGGTGCTGTGAACGCGAATACATCACTTGCATAATGATAGAGATGATCATCTACCATATATAGTGAGCATGCAAGCATATCCACTAAGAAGTGGACTCACAAAATCTGGCTGTCTCTGTGTCTCCCGCTCAACCTGCAACTCTGTTCGGGAAAGTGTACGCAGCAGTGCCCACAGCCTAGGAGTTCCGCTCATCCCTGGACTGCTCAGACGCAGCCTCCACTCCTCTAGGGTGAAGGAAGTGAGCCCAACGTCCGACAGCTCATCAGATGAGCAATGGGTTGACTGGCTGATGTCTTGCAGCTCTTTCTCAGTTGTTTTGGTGACACATTCGAAAGCAAAGTCTTCCATGGCTACGCGAGCAGCCTGAGGCCGTGGCTTGGTGCTTCCCACCGGGCGGGGTGGTTTCCACCAGGTTCTGAGTATTTTGGGGAGCAGAGGACTTGTCATCAGTGCAGTGCGTGCAGACCGAATGATGCTGCTCTGGATGCAGGCCCGGTCTCCCCAGCTGAAATACAACAAGAAGAGTGGAACATCAAGGCCTCGTTCCTTCATGAAGTTGATAGTTTCCTCCATTCTTGCAACTATAGTAGGGTTATCAGTGGGAAAGAAGGTCGAATGAGCATTGTCGCTGTGAGGATCCTCGGTAATGGACGCTTCATCCAGCAGGTCAAGTTCACCAGTGTCACGGTGTTCCTCAGCACGGCTTAGCTGCTCGTAAGAAAAGTCGGTATCATAGATTTGGAACGGGTTGATGTCTTTGTCAAAACCGAAGGCGTGCGGATTGAAGCTGAGAGGATACATGGTATGTCAATATTATCCAGGAGCTCCGACGTCGTGCTCAATGGCTAGCACTGTAGCCTGGGGCTCCCGATCATCTTATCGCAGCGAAGGTAACATACTTTCAAAACGATCTTGACATTGTTGCACTCGGCTGTAGTATACATGACATTGAGTGACATTGCGTGACGACGGTATAGCTCTCTATCAAAAGTCTCCAGACGCTCCTGCGGAGCTGCCCATAGGGCCGAAAAAGCTCCGCCCAAAAGGAGCGGTTGGTTCGAGACTAGCTCACCACCATCATGTCGCTCAGACATGGCTTTGCCTCTTGTTTCCGTACCAAACGATGTATCTGCCTCAGGACATGAACAGCGTTCGCCTCGCGCAGCTCGCTGTGCCGACAGCGGTACTGCTATGGGGCACATACACGTACTTATCTTCCTCCAGCAGGTCTAGCAAACGACGCAAAGGCCCCTTTCCCTCCTGGTCCGCCAGGTGTTCCTCTCCTGGGCAACACCCTCGCCATCGACGCGGAGAAGCCGTACGAGACGTTCGAGGCGTGGACGAGGGAATACGGTGCGTCTTGGACTACCCTCTTCGTGCGTGTATGCATGCGCTAACTCAACGAATCCGCGGGTCTGAAGGCGACCTGGTATACTGCCGCCTCTTCGGGCAAGATACGCTCGTCGTCGGCTCGGAGAGCGTCGCGCGCGACCTACTCGAGCGCAGATCGAGCAACTTCTCGGATAAGACGATGCTCGGCGCGGCTGAGCTGTGCGTCTCTTCTCCCTTTCTTTTCGTCCCCTTCCTTTTCCACTCCGTTCCTCCCTTCATCTCCATCTATGCCTGCTGACCTGACACCGGCTCTAGACTAGGCCTGGACAGGTTGTCGGCGTTCGTCCCCCACACGGACCACTGGCGGCTGCACAGGCGCGTCTTCCACCAGGCCATCCGGCAGGACGCGGTCGCGCGGTACCGACCCGCGCAGCTGCGCGCTGCGCACGAGCTGTGCCGCAACATCTTCCTCGCGCCGCGCGCGTACGTCGAGCATCTGACGCTGTGCGTACCTCTCCTTTCCACCTTCTCACGACTGCAGCCTTGTTCTGACTGGAGCCCCTGATGAAGGCACGCGGGCGCGATCATTCTCGCGACGGTGTACGGATACGACGTGAGCGGACGGCACGACGACGCGATGCTCGCGATCATCGAGCGCGCGAACGAGCACGTCACGGGAAACGGGACGCCGTTTGTGTTTGCGATCTTCGAGGCGTTTCCATCGCGTGCGTGTTGCTCTTTGCCATCCTATTTTGACCTGAGAGAGGTGCCTAATCGCCCTTGGGTTTAGTTGCGCGCATACCGAAGTGGCTGGGGCCTGTAGGCTCCCTTGCTCGTCTTGCGCACGACTCGAACAAATACGTGTCGGATATGGTGGAGGTGCCGTTTGTGTGGGTGCGCAAGACTATGGTAAGGTGGACCGTCGAATCAGCGTCAGCAGCTCGCTAATGCCAGATCTTGTCGCTGCAGTCAGAGGGATATACGACTGTAACGTCGTCGATGGTGTCTGATTCTCTGAGGAAGTTCGGTGACGAAGATGGGGCTGTAGACATAGAAACAGAGAAGGCAATCAAGGGCAGTGCTGCCGCTGCTTTTACAGGTGCGTTTCCCCGCCCTTTTCTTATGTCTGCCTTACTCGATCTAAACTACTTTCTAACCAGCTGGGACCGAAACAGTGAGCTTCACCCTCTCTCACACAATGCCTCGCACTCATGTCATTATATGTTACAGACATTCGCAGTCATCCAGATCTTTATCCTCGCGATGATCCGGCGCCCAGACGTGCAGCGCCGTCTGCACGCGCAGCTCGACGCTGCCGTGGGAAGCGGCTCTGATGGGCGTCTCCCGACGTTCGAGGACCGCCCACAGCTGCCGCTCCTCGACGCGGTCCTCCGCGAGACACTGCGGTGGCGTCCAGTCGTCCCCGTGAACTTGCCGCACGGCGTGAGCGAGGACGACGTGTACGAGGGCTGCTTTATCCCCGGTGGTACGTGCTCGGCGCTACTCCATAAAATACTCCCCTTTACCACAATCTGATGTGCCCGTGCACAGGCGCAGACGTGATCGTAAACACCCACGCGATTCTGCACGACTCCGTGCTCTACCCCTCTCCCGACACGTTCAACCCAGATCGGTTCCTCGATCCCTCCAGCGGCGCGCTGGACGACACGAGCGCCGCGTGGCGCCGCGTCAGCCTGGCCTTCGGGCTCGGGAGGCGCGTGTGTCCGGGGCGACATCTCGCGGAGGGCTCGATATGGGCCGCGATGGCGTCGCTGCTCGCTGTGTTTGAGTTCGGGCCGCCGCGGGACGAGCATGGGAAGGAGGTGGAGTTTGATGTGAAGTGGACGAGCGGGATGGTTAGGTGAGTTTTCCCCTCTTTGGTTTCTTCGGCTTTGTCGGTTCTGTCGCTCATGCTGCCTGGGACCGGTGCTAGGCGGCCGTTGCCCTTCCCCTGCGAGATCAAACCGAGGTATGCGGGTGTACTCGAGAAGATCGAGGCTGAGTTGATGTGATGGCCGAGTTGAGATGGGCTGGGTGATTCGAAGCGACTTCAGTTGACTATGTGTGTCTATAATACGTACTAATATGTGTTTTTCCTACGATAAAATGGACATTTTACTTTGCAGAAACATCTCAGTTCAAGGATATTCAGGAAGGAACGACGAAGGTGTTGTAACTATGCGTTGGTAAGATAGGCAAATCATAAATATCTGGGACGACTCGGAGGTCCCTGTTCAGCAGCGAACAGCTACGACCGTGGCCAACACCTACGCCTTTACTGCCTTCACTTTGTCCAAGCCAGCAATGAACTTTGCAGCTTCAGCGGCCATCCCGTTGTTCCCGTACACAAAGTGTGCTGGGAACACCAAAGCCCGTTGTATGTCAGCCAGCGACGTCGTCAGAATAGGGAGCAATGCATCCGCGACCTGCTTCGGGAACCGCTCAGCGATGCTCGCAGCCGCCTGAGCCTCTTCGACGCCTTTGGCGACGCTCGGAAGGTCCTTGATGGGACCCGTGATACCGTCAATGGTCGTCGGGATCTTGAAGTCTGCGGGAAGGTCCGCGCACAAGGGATCGAGGTTGTCCACATCGGTGACACAGTATCCCTTGACGTCTTGCACAGGGATAGGTGGGGTGGTGTTAAAGAACAGCGGCCACGGGTCGCCAAACGTGACGAACCCCGCAACACGACCGAGCGTCGCGCCGTCGAGCTGGTCCAGCGCCTTGTGTGCGACGAGCGCACCCTGGCTCCACCCCGCGATCACGATCGCCGCGTCGGGGCACTTCTGCGCGTACGCCGCCGCGGCTTGCGCCATCGACTTGGCGCCGGTGTCGCTGCCGTATTCTGCGAAGTAACCCTCGAAGGTGGCGGGGTACGCGGTCGGGTCGACGCCTTGCACCGCGACGGAGGGCAGTGCGCTTTTGAGACCGTCGTGGAGGTCGGGGCCGACCCAGACGCCGATGTTGCCATCGTCGAAGGTTCCGCGGGCGAAGAGGACGCCTACGGCTGCGCAGGGCGCGTTGCCGGCGAGGATGGGAGTTATGTCGTCGGCGGTGTCGTCGGTGAACCGACGGACAGGGGTGGCGGAGGTGAATGTGAGGCAGGCGGCGAGGGAGGCGAGGAGTAGCTTCATGGTGTCGTCGGTAGGTCTTCCGAGATTTTGAAAAAGAGTGTGGGTTGGCTGTCAGCTTTGAGATAGACTTAAGGGCCCGAAGCGCTTCTTATATGTCTGCAGTGATTGAACATGACGGACTTGGTGACGGATTAAGCGCAGGGATGACATGTCGATCATTCGCCTATTAATTCATACCTCGTGAATCTACATCATGCGCACCCTGGAGGTCATCGCTGTTTTTGCTTGATGCTATCGTTCACTGTCTGTGGTCGCTCATACCTCCTAGATTTGTGCAATCACCTCCATGGGAATCGAGACTGCGAACCAAGAGATGCTTTGGCTCGGAGAATTATCCCTGGAAATAGCGCACCTGGCAAGCTGACGTCTGACGGTAAAAGTATCTGTTGGGTATTGAGCCATGAGCTGATCGGGATAAAGGGTGGATACTTGGTGGAAACGCCGAGCAACGCCGAGAAGCAACGACAGAGAGAAGAAAACATAGCGATTGCTACGTTGCAGGGATGTTCCTTGACAGCATCACGTGACCGCGTCCTTTACACGCGACACGGCGATGACATGATGACATGACCGCCCGTGTTATTGGCGCCCGTCCTAACATTACACGTTCCACTCATCTCCACCTTCGACCTTCCAGGTCCTATACCCTTCACTCTCCCTATACCCTTCTTTGCGTTCTCTGTCTCGTGCTTCGTAAACGACGTCCGATGCCTCCAAATCCCGCGACTGACGCAAGACTAAATGCTGCTCTGTGCGCCAAGGTCGCATCGCTCCACACCGAGCTCACACACCTCCGTCAGCGGTACGACGCCCTCCTTGAGGCCAAGGAACAGGCAGAAGAGAAGGCCAGGCAGGCTTCTGAGAAGCAGCAGGATGAGCACGATAAGTACAATGGGTTCAGAATATGGTTCGTCAGCGCATACAGGGAAGGCAAGCACGGAGAGATCCGGAGGATAGTGAAGGATATGGAGCAGCAGCTGAACAAGGACGTTGTCTGCTTCGTGGAAAAGGAAGGGGGAACAGGAAAGAAAAAGAAAGGAAAGGAGAACGAGAAGGCGAACGAAGGGAAGGCGGAGACGAAACTAGAGGATGAGGTCAAAGTAAAGATTGAGGCGAAGGAAGATTTCAGGGTCCTGGGCGGTGCGTACTATCTGTCTCAGCTTCATTTGCAGCTACTGACTGCTTGTGTCTTTGGTAGGTTCGTCAGCCATCAACGACGCCCCACGTCGACCGTGCACGCCTCCTTCAACTGATCTACCAGGTAGGCGCATATAACCAGATAATGTACGGAGGCAGCTACTTACTCAATGGTGTCTCCCAGATTTTCGGGACCCACACCTACTATCCACGCCAGGGCGGTGAGCACAACCGTTAAACAGCATGTTCACTTCACTCACATTTGTCTAGATCCTCTGCATCCTCGGGACGCTCTACTTCCTCGCCTATGTCCACCTCAAGCAAACATATCGTAATATCTGGTAAAGCCCTTCGTGTATGCAATCTCCTCCAAGCACTGATTAACCTATGCTAGCACACACCACCACCATCAAATCTGAGCCACAATCCCAGCTTCCGAGTGAGCACCATCATTCTCCGGCGCACCGTGCTATCCACGGATCGTCCCGGTGCGCCCCAATTTCACTTACCTCGCCCATTTCGAAGGCTGATTCGCATACGCGTAGAGCCGAGAATACCACGACGATTAATTCAGCTTTCACGATCAACCCAGACGCCAACGGCGGCCGCGCTTACGCCTACGACAGCGTCGTGCGGAACCGCGACGAGCGCCGACACATGGACGCGGGCGACTGCGAGTGCTGTCATGCAGTGCGTCTTCCTGACATCCCTGCTTACTCTTTCGGACCGAACCTAACGAATAATGTTCCTGTGTGTAGTACTACGAAGGCGTCGGCCCGATGCCGCCCAGGCTGCAGCAGCCACTATGGCGCTCGCCCTCGACGACTCCGCGCAAGAAGAAAGAGAAGCAGAAAGAGCGCTTCGGCGCCGCGCGTACAGAGCCGCGCCAGCAACACCCGAAATCGCGCCCTTACCCCTCCCCGCACCGCGACCGCACCCACAGCTCGTCGGTTCACTGTCGCCCGGCTGTGTCGTCATCCGCATCCGCGTCAGCTTCCACTTCTGGCGTCAACACAGGTCTCAGCGCTAGTACCAGCAACGGAGGACCCTCCTCGCGCCGGAAACGCCGCGACTCCTTCGACGACCCCTCGGACAACGAGGAAGCCGAGAACGCGCAACGTGATATCGAAGCGCACAAGAAGGCGATTTCGAAGCATCGGTACCACTGGCAGCGCGCTAAGACGCCGCCGGGCTACTGGGACATCGGGTTTCCAAGCACGCAGGAGGCGGACGCGCTCAATGCGCGCGCGAGCGCGATGCATAGGGATAAGATGCGTGCTGTCGAGAGGGAGGCTGCGTGAGTCTCACATTTTTTCTTTCTTTGCCTTGAGTTTTCGAGTGCTGATGGGGAACGATATAGGAGGGGCAATGGGAAGTACATGATGAGGAAATAGCGGTCCTGGGATGAGTCTGGCCTTGTCAGTCCGGTCATCCGACAATGGATATCGAAGCAAGGGCTGGTCGATGGGCGAGGCCCACTGCAGCATCGCCGCTTCGAACTCCCGAACGGCACCGTTCAGCATCGGAAGCATTTCTAGACTGCTTTAGGTCCTGATCTCGTCCACCTTCCCTCTTCCACTTCATACCCGCACTCTGCCTGTTCGTTGCTGTCTACTGGAAAACACTACCATCTCCTTTCTTTCCCTCACGGACACAGTCACATCGAGTGACGTCGATTGTACTTTATTCGTTTCATATCACACCAAGGACGCTTTAAATACCTCAAATTCGGAAAAGAAGGCAGACATCATCTTTACATTCTACTATACTTACAGCATTGCACAATTATACATTCACATGCGAATACGAGCTCGAGATCACAGTCACCGAGCAAATCAAAGACTTCTGTACCCTTTAACGTGTCTATCTTATATTGCAGGTAGGTAAGTACGTTAGCATATATTCCACATCCTGCAAGTGCCGTCACACTCCCGCTAATTCTTCCATCTCCTTCTGACTTCATACACCTTTTGCCTGCACATAGATGCTACTGCCACGAAATTGTTGGTCGCTAAAGAGGAGCAAAAGCAGAGTCGTCGTGTGCATGAGTTAGCTCGCCGAGCAAACGTGGTTTCGGTGCTCCACACAATGCCCTGGGACGCGCCGGTTGCAACCAATACGAGGGCCAAAGAGCGGGAAACATGTCACCAGTAGCAATGACCAAGACAACGAATGGCTTTTTAACCGCATTGGTAATATCTTCATCGGCCCTCTCCAGCTGCTCCACGACGGTGTCGTATACACCTTCATTATGATTCCAAGCATACCATCTGATATCCAAGAAAAGATGGGAGGCAAAGATAGAGTGCAGCATACTGCAGGGTATGCTAAGAGCAACTATAATTTCAAGCTTCGGCGCCTAGTGTTACTATATATGTCAGTGCCGCTTGTCTGAATGCATCTATCTGCTCACCGCTTGGTTCAACATGAGGATTGTCAGGGCCATGCCTACATATAGTAGATGGTCAGCCTTCCGTCAACTGACATCTACGCCCCAAACCCGGATTATCACGGACCGAAAAATAAGATGTATCGAATAGTTCCTGTCAAACTCTGAGCCAGGTAACTCAAATTTCAGCTTTGCAACACGCACCACTACACCCAATCCTGAGCAACAACGGTGAGGTGGTACCTATGTGCCACTTATTAAGAAATTGAGTGCACTTTGGTAAGAAAAATCTCGCCTATTTGTTTCCGTGCTGAGCGAATCTTCCATAGCACTAGAGCACAGCAGACTGACCGTTGGAATCAGACACAGGTGATAACTGTCAGTAGAGCTGGTTTAAAGTACCTGATTCTGTGACAAGAAGCATCCCCCAATCCCACACTAACCAGCTTTTTCCTCTACTAATTCCAATACAGCCCTCAGTGCTCTCGATTTCTAACACTGTGTCCCATGCAATGGAAGATGTTAAACCATCTAAATCAAGATTACAACATCACTCACACTCAATAGAATGCATGAATCGTGAGGTTGCGTAGATCCCGATGATGAAGCAGCCCACCGCCTGTACAATGCAGAAAGTCGCTGACCCCCGAGATCGTTCGTAGATTGCCCAATTAGGACGAAGTTGAGGGCTGGAAACAGTTCAATATCTTAGTGCATGTGCACAACGAAGAATTCTTGCGCACTCTCAGAGGGGCAAAACCCCAAGAATAGTAGCCCTTTTTCCATGTCGTATGCAACTTCCTTTGCAGGGTTCAGACAGAGAGAACTCACATATAGTGGCGAACGTTGGTTTGTAACAGGCAGAACCCGTGATATTAGTTGCGAAGTCTGTAAACAGTGGCTATTGAGTGGTCTTGGGTGGCATGCCAAAATTCGCTGCATGCTCACTGAGCCATAGCTGTAGGAAGGAAACAACAACGGCTTGATATCTCGTCCACGTGTACATGGTGCTCATAACCGACCGGCCCTCTGTCCAAATATGTTCTATCTCAGATCTCAACGCTGAGGGATCGTGCTGTGTCAAAGACCTAAATATGATGCGGAAGATTCATACTGAGTTTCGAGAGACCAATAAAGATATTATTGGGGTTCCTTACTACAAAAGTCGTGGCAGCGACTTTTTTTTTGTGTAAAAACGGCTCATGAGTGCGTGCCGAGAAATTAGAGATTCAGCGACCCTACTGGATAGATACTAGAGGAACAGCATTTAAAACAGTTGGGCTTAGTATCTATTTGCTACGTACTGTGGTTACCACGTACCTGAAATAATTGCCTCTGATACACGATAGTTTCCAGGAATTCACTGGAATATGGTGGGAGGGTAGCAGACATGAGAGCTTCTTTGGCAGGGAGGAGGCTACTTCATGATAGAGCCAACAGCGGAACTCCCTTAAGTAAAATTTGTCGCAGTGTACAGCATATTTATATGGTACTATGCGATCCCACACCTGGGCTTCTATCTAGAACATCTGGTCAACGGCAGTTAGTCGATGTCTATTTTATTGGGACGCTGGGCAATGTCTTTGATATCGTCTTGTCAAGGTTTCCGAACGCCCTGCTCAAATTTTACCCACAACCGTGTGGTGAAACTTAGCTTCTGATGAGGCGATGTGACGGCGACAAGGCAGCAAGAACGTGAACATGGCCTCGCATCAATGCAATATTTGCCAGTGGGGCGCGGTGTTGTAGACAGGAATAGAGCGCTCTTCTTCATATGTAGTACTACTGTGATGGGGGAAGACACGCCGGCGCCTTCGTGGAGCATTCCCTTATTCCTGTGCTAGGCAGTGGTTTTACGTGGGCGATTAAACACAACTAATGCTGTATCCCGAGATTCCCAACGCCCTTCAGCTGTTTGACTTGCTCAGATTGACTATCCGAAGAGGTAACATAATGTCATCTCCAACGTATTAGAACCTTGATGATTGGGTCAGGTCCACCGAGGTTACTATACAATATAGTACTCCCGTCAGCCGATTGGAAGCTTAGGTGAAGCAAGAAATGCGAGCACTGACCGGTATTCCTGTGCCACCTAAGGAGAAACATCGTCTTACCTTCAAAGGCAAAAACTATGATAAAAATAGCCATTGCTCTTATCCCGGAGGCAGTACGAGGTTTTCTAGAACTTACCAATGTCAGCCGAAGGCATGAGGAAAGGGTGACGATGCTCCAAGAATGACGGGCATGATGATAGGCACAGCCTCATGGTGGAATATTTAGATACTCTCATGTACGGAGCCGAACATGTATCGCCGAAGACTACGCAAATGAACGCTGACAAAGTTCACGGCAAGGACCCTCTTCTGCCGTAGATGTTCTTAAATACATCGCGAACAGCCTAAGGCTGGCGCTCCGTCCTTATCTTGGTCGCACAACACAATGGAAGATCGGATCTCAAGATACTGGCCAATTCAATAATTCTAGAGGTAACCTACAACACGAAAACCCAAACACTACAATGAAAGAAAAACACGTCGAAAAAAATCTAGTATGCCCTCAACCCAACAAGCCAAACTCAGTTACTCGCATTATACATCTCCAACACAGCCCTCTGCACAACGCCCTTCGGCGCCTTCCGCCCCGTCCACCGCTCAAACTGCTCATACCCCTGCGCAAGCAACACCTCGACACCCGAGACCGTCGCCCAGCTCTGCGGAGCAACGCTCCTCGCCAGCGCAAGCAACGGCGTCTCTGCAGGCTTGTACGCCATTTGACCGGTCATCACGTTGTTCACGAAAGGGCTATGGGGGTAGATGGCTTCTCGAAGTTTTCTTGTAGAACCCCCGGAAGTGTGAGGAAAGGGCCCTGAACAGGATGCCTAACGGATGATAGATACTGCCTCAAATGGGCCTCGACTCCATCAATATCAACATAACCTTGCCGAGGACCTTGTGAGGCCCGATAGCAGACTCCCGTATGGCACAAAATTCTGACTTATTATAAATTAGGTTTTCTTCAAGCTTCACTGAGGCGGTTTACTGACCAATCTCGTAATCAACTCTTAATGTCGGCAATTCATCCTCAGTTTGGTCGCAGTACCATGAAAGATCAAATATCAAGATGCTAGGTAATTCAATAATTCTAGAGGGTAAAAGCTATGGTTTGATATGGAACTACCATGTTATACATCCGAGCGTGTAGATTGAGGGAGTATTGCCGCAAACTCCAAGCTTCCAATGACCTCTTCACCACCAGTTATATCTCTTCCGGCCACTTGGTTAGCATCGTACTCCCGAATGCTAAGGATCATAAGCGGCCCAAGCATTGACAGGTAGAAGGTCCAGAATATTTCTGAGATGATACAAAACAATACTATGGTAAGTTCAAAACCAAGCTAAGAATTGGTTAAGCTTTCTGGAGTCTTATATAATAAGGAAAGGTCATCCTTACAGAGACTGAAGATTGGATGATATCAATGACCAGAGCCAATAAAGCCCTGCATTTATATTCTGTTAATAGGGAGTATTTCTAGCGGATCAAGCAATTGTAGTGCCTTACCCAAGAAAGTAGAACACGCCATCTCTCATAACAACGTCGGATAGGGTTTTGACTGCTATTACTCTATCCATTATTTCACCTGTGTGATTGTCTTTACGAATTTCTTTGAGATCGTTGACGAGGCGGACGAGCAACATTCCAACGAGAACGGTTTCATATGCGAGAAGGGCAATGGTTTCAGCTTGGTTATACCATAGCTGAAGTTGAGACGTTTCAATAAAGCATGCACCACCACCTCCTGGCGTTTGCCAGCGAATTACTAGGGCATCAGTAAATCAGCTAATACCCAGGGTAACGAGAAAGTATTCAGAATTTGAAGCTCACTGGGTGGTTCGGGGATATAAATCAAGTACGTGAAGATTATATTTGCAACTTGCACTACAAAAAAGAGAGTGCCGAGGCAAATTAGTACCCGTTTAGACCCCCCATATAGAGCGTATATCCGTATTCCCATCATAGCTAACGCCCGGACACAGTCAGGAACTGATACCCCTCGAAAAGTCATATACATGCCGTTGAGAATGAAGGTTATTGCAGGAGTCATAATGAGTTGATTCATGACCATCTCTGCTGAGCCTTCAGAAGTATCAGTCCATGGTTAATGGCATTGAGGAGAACCAAAGTCTTACATCTGAAGGGATTGAGATGTACGGAGAAGAGAGAGCCTTCGTCCACAACTCACGCCTGGTGTGGACAAGAAATTGATTTAAACTGGTACATTATATTACAATTGACTCACTACGGCTGACTTGACGGTCATGGGCAATGCTTCGCTACCTTGTAAGTCGTACCCATGCATGAGAACCTGAAACTTACAAATCCTGGTGTCGGTGGTGATTGTAGCAAATATTATTGTCTTTGAGGTTTGTTCACTGAATGAATCAGAGTAAAACTCACACATTCACCGTTATCCCTCCGAATCGCAGCTTGGCGGTATTAAATTGCTCAGCAAGATAACGCAGGCCAAAAACAATTATTAACGTACTATCCCATATGATATCTTCATAATTTTCGACCCTTCCTTATTCTGAGCACGAATGTGAGCAGTTGTTTTCAATGACGACATTATTTTTCAGTATGAAACTCACCCAAATAAGCGTTTTCTGTGAGGGAGAAGAAGTGTTTAGATTTTGTGGGGAAGGGCTTTAGACTCCAAAAATTGCTGACCTCGCGTTTCAGATCAAGTACTAGCGCGGCAGTAGCATAAGAGGTCATGTTTAAGCCTCACACGTAAGACGTCTGGGTTTATGATGGTACCATAACCCATGAGTACAGGCTTAAGAACGCCATTGCCACTGCCAGAGGAGCGCAAGTGCTTTAGTAGCCCATCCGCGTCGAAGTCTCACGATACAACGAACCGTTTGCGTAGCTCGTTGTCTGGTTGACCAGGAGATCATTGAGTGTAGGAGAGGAGGACATGGTCAAGGTTCGATATGGGATGGCAGATGTCCATAGACGGTAAGAGGACTCACTTTTATAGCACCCATAACCTAATCAAATCACTGCAATTACAGTATGATCCTGCATACATTATTCCCGACAATGCTCTTCGACAACAGAACATAATGAATCAATGAATCACGTATTTTAGCTCTCCTAGTATTGTGGATAAGAACGGATTGTGCGCTTTTGACCCATGAAAATGAAGGCAAGCACGTAGGTGCCATTGCTATAATATCCATAAATTCTGTGCTAGGGGGTGAATCCACCGGCAGAGTGATTTCACAGAAAGCGGTGTACGCCAGCTAAAGTGGTAGCCACCCAAGAGGGCGAATTGATGCCCGTATGAAAGGTCATTAAATCCGTGCTTACGGGGTTGGCTATGATGGAAGTCAGGCGGCTGTTCGACATGCACTAGAACGTGTCAATGTTACCTGAAAGTATGAGAAAAAGGTCCTGATCAAGATGCTGCACGGATGGAAAAGGCTCCACCTCACGTTAGAACGTTGGGATATCTCGTCCAAGATGTAACTGCTCGCTCCGTCAATCTCGACAGAAGCCTACAGAAGATTGTCTGGGTTCCAAAAGTTTGACTTCGACTCCGGCACCTCGCGTGCTTTGGCGGCGGTGTCGTTTAGTACGTTGTCCTCGATTCTACTCCTTGCTGAGGGTGGTACTTCTTCCTCAGTTATCAATTTATCAGCCGCAGAAAAGGGTGGTTCGTCAAGTCAAAACTTGAAACAGTTCAATAATTCTAGAGGGTAACCTACAACACGAAAACCCAAACACTACAATGAAAGAAAGAAAAAAACACGTCGAAAAAATCTACTATGCCCTCAACCCAACAGGCAGAACTCAGTTGCTCGCATTATACATCTCCAACACAGCCCTCTGCACAACGCCCTTGGGCGCCTTGCGCCCCGTCCACCGCTCAAACTGCTCATACCCCTGCGCAAGCAACACCTCGACACCCGAGACCGTCGCCCAGCTCTGCGAAGCAACGCTCCTCGCCAGCGCAAGCAGCGGCGTCTCCGCGGGCTTGTACGCCATATCCACAACAATCCCCCTCGCCACCGCCTTATCAAACAGCGTCTCGGGCAGCCCCGCAGCACCCGCGCTCGCGGGGACAGTCGAGATGATCACGCTAGGCGCATCGCCGGGCCACGCGCCGAGACGCTCGACAACCTCCACGCGCGCGTTGGGGAACGCGTCCACGAGCGCCTGCGCCTTAGCCGCCGTGCGGTTATGCACGTAGATGCGCTTCGCGCCGAGCGACTGCAGCGCGTAGATCGCCGCGCGGGCGGTGCCGCCTGCGCCAATGACGAGCGCAGCAGCGGGCGCGGCGAGCGAGGGCTGCTTCTCGAGGATGCACGCGCGCATGCCGAGCCAGTCCGTGTTGTCGCCGACGAGGATCCGGGCGCCAGAGGCACCCTCAGAGGTGGGGATGATCGTGTTGACGGCGCCGATCGCCTCGGCAGCGGGCGTGAGCCTGTCGAGGAGAGGCATCACATCGAGCTTGTGCGGGATGGTCACGCTCGCGCCACCAAAGTCGGGGCTCGCGAGCGTCGCGCGGATCTGCTCGCCAACATCGGACGTCTCGAGCAGGTCATACTGGTGCGGCAAGCCCAGCGTCGCGAAACCGGTGTTGTGCAGGGTGGGAGAGGGCGACTGCGAGATGGGCGTTCCAAAGAGGAAGAACCGGCGCGCGGGAAGCTGCCCTGCAAGATGGAGCGCCTGCTGAATCTGCGCAAACGAGAGCTGGCCAGGAGCAGCCTTGCTAGGGAGAAGCGGATGCGTAACAGGCGTCAACGTGCGGTTAAGCACGCGCGACAGCTGGCCCTCGGCGCCCATATTGATCGCAATGATCGGCTTCGCGCCCGGCTGCGCCTCCACCCTGCTCACAAACTCAAACAGCGCAAAGTTGTCCTTGAGCTCGTTGGCCTTGCCCACAATCTTGACGATATCGCTCAGCTCGCTCGCGACCTTGTACTTGTCCTTGACGAGCGCCTCACTCCACTTCATACTGCCCGACCAGTCGTGGAACGACGCGACGATCTGCGAGTGGCCCCGGTGCGCCCTCGTCGCAAGCTCCTTGATGCGCTGCTGGTCAAAGGTGATCTCGACGTCGACGTACTCGACCCCGTTCTTGACCGCGAGCTCGAGTAGCTCAAACGCCTCCTTCTCCGCGCCGTCGGGGAACGCGCCGCCCTGCGAGACAGTGCGGACGGTGAACACGATCGGAAGACTGGTCGCGCGGCGCAGCGCCGCCAGCTGCTCGGCGACGTACGCAGCCGGAGGAATGTACGTCCCTGGCGCGACGGGCTTGTCCAGGTCCTTCGGCGCGCGGAGGAGATCGACACGGAGCTCAAGAGCATCGACGCCCTCGACGAGGTGCTCCATATGCGCCAAGGCAGGGGTGATATCGGGGTACGTGAGCGAGAGGAAATACGACCGCGTGTCCTTCTTCGCAACGTTCTGCGCAAGATTAACAGACGTCCCAGCAACATGCCCAAAGAACCTCGCCACCTCGCCCGCGAGCTCCTTCTCCCTGCGCGCCTCGTCCTGCACAGCAGCAGCACCGCCGAGCACACCCGTGTAGTTGACGAACTCGAACCCAGCGCACTGCGCAAACCACGGCTCGCGCCGCTTCCACACGTCCGTGACCGGCTCGCCATACGCAGGACGCGCCGTCTCCTCGCCGAGATAACGCACGACCTCGTCCACCTCCCGCACGACATGCACAACCTTGCCGCCCGCCTTGGCACCGCCAAACGCCACGAGCAGCTCGCGCGCCTCGGGCGTCTCGACGATCCCGCCGCCGAGCGAGAGCACGTGTCCCTTGGCGTGCGTCTGCAGCAGGTCGCCGAGGATCTTCGTCTCCGCAGCGCGGAACGCGGGCCACCCGTGCTCCGCCACGTACGCGCGCACGGGCCCGTGCAGCGTCTCAAAGTGTGCGTCCGCGTCGAGGAAGGACCGGCCGAGCGTGCGCGCGGCGAGCTCGCCAATGTGTGACTTGCCCGAGCCGCGCATGCCGATGAGAATGACTGTCGCGTCGCTGTCTGCAGGGGCCGTGGGCGCGGTGGAGACGTCCTTGGAGGTGGAGGCAGCGGCACCGTCGTGCGACTTGTCGAGCTCGATGCCCTCGACGTGGATGCCGATCTACGAAAACTTGGGGTCAGCTACAATGTCTCGCTTCCGAGCGAGACGGTGCTAACCTTGTTCTGCAGATCATCCCACCAGTTCGGCCACGTCTTCTCGACGCAGCGCTTCTCCTCGAGAACCGTGCCCTTGACAGTAGTCGCAAGAACAGAGAACGCCATTGCAACACGGTGATCGTCGTAGCAATGAATGCTCGCACCCTCCTTGAGCGTCGGCGCCGCCTGCCCATGCACCTCGAGGCCGTCGTCCAGCTCCGTAGTCTTGATCCCGAACTTGGCTGTACGCCCATCAGCCACCAACACACGAACGCAGAAAAAGAAAACACACCAAGCTGATCCATCATCGCCCTAATCCGATTACACTCCTTCACCCGCTGATTCGCAATCCCCAAAATGCGACTCGTATACTCCTTCCCCGCCCCCTCAATCCCCAACCCCTCCTTCGCCGGCCGACACGCAACAGCAGCAAGCACACTCGCCGTCAAAAACGCGTCCGTCATCGTCTCCATATCAATCTCCCCCAGCGCACGCAGCCCGCCCTCCCCCGTCGCCGCGTCGTACGGCGGCGGGCCCTGCACCGTCGTCTCCTCCGCCGTCTGCTCGACCGTGCACCCCATGCGCCCGAGCACCTCCACCGCAAAGCGCGCGTCGCCCTGCAACGACGCCGACCCGATGCCCGTCACCGTGCACCGCGTGCCCGTGATCGCCGCGACCGCCAGCGGATACGTCGCGCTGCTCGCGTCGCTCTCAATCACATACGTCCCGGGGTTCTTGTACGTGCCCCTCGAAATCTCGTACACGTCCAAAAGCCTGCCCGTCTTCTCGTCGCTGAGACGCCTGACCGAGACCCCAAACGTCTCCATCATCGCAATCGTCATGTCGATATACGGCTGCGAAATCACGCCCTTGCCCTCCTCCTCGCCCACGAGCTCCAGCACAATCGGCGCCTTCGCATACGGCGCACACAGCAGGATCGAGCTCACATACTGGCTCGACACGCTCGCCGCGAGCCGAATCTTGCCGCCCGCAAGCCCGCCCGCGGGAATCGCGAGCGGGAGCGAGCCCGTGCTCTCGCGGTACTCGACCGCGCACCCGTTCGCGCGCAGCGAGTCGACGAGCGGGCCGATCGGGCGCTGTTTCATACGCGCGTTGCCCGTGATGTTGGTCGGGAGAGACGCGTCCGCGGGGTTGGCCGCGGCGAGCGCGCAGACGGTCGTGAGGAAGCGCGCGGCGGTGCCGGCGTTGCCGAGGTAGAGCTCTTTTCCGGCGGCGGGGACGCCGAGCGAGCCGCCGCCGCCGTGCACGACGAGGGTCTCGCCTGCGTCTTCCCATTCGAAGGAGGCGCCCTGTGGCAGGCGCTGTGAGTCACGAAATCCGAGAGTTGAACCGAGCTCCTAGGCATACCTTGAGCTCCTGGAGCGCATTCATCATCACCGCCGTATCGTCCGAATGCAACAAGTTCTTCAGCCTGCACGTTCCGCTGCCCAGCGCAGCGAGCACGAGCGCCCTGTTCGAGATACTCTTCGATCCCGGCGTCGCCATGCGCACATTCTTGGCCGGCGTACCAGGCACAACGCGCACCGCATCGCTGAGCACCTTCGCAATCGCATCGTCGGGGACCACGCTCGCCTTGAGCTCATACGTCTTGCCAATCTCCTTCAGCAGCACAATCTTCTTCTGGCTGCCCGAGTTCTTCTTGTCGATACGCATAATATCCAACAACCTCGACACGCCCAGACCCTGCACCGCCGGCACCCTTGCAATACGCGGGTCCGTCACGCTAATCGGCAGATTATACGCCTTGAGACACCTCGCCAGCCGCCCAATCACCACCTGCCCACACACGCCCCTCGAGCGCGCGAGCTCCGCCTCGAGAATCATGCCCACGCTCACACACTCCCCGTGGAGCACCGCAGGCGTGAGGACGGCCTCGATGGCGTGCCCGATCGAGTGCCCAAAGTTGACGAGGTTGCGCAGGCCCGTCTCGCGCTCGTCGATCGTCACAATGTGCGCCTTGACGTTGATCGACGCGCTGATCGTGCGCAGCAGCAGCGTCTGCGCCGCCGTGCGGTCCGCGGCCGTGCGTCCGACGGGGCACGGCGCGGGGGACTGGATCGCGGCGAAGAGCTGTTCGGCGGAGGACTCGAGGATCGTGAACTCGTCGTGCGACCAGATCGCGGCGGTCTGTGGGTGCAGAGAGGGAACGCGTTAGCTGGGGGTATTGTGGTGAGAGAGGGGGGAGGGGCTGACCTTGACGACCTCGGCCATGCCGTTCGAGAACTCGCGCTGCGGGAGCGTTTCGAGGAAGGCGGCGTCGATGAAGATGTATTCGGGCTGCCAGAAGGCGCCGATGAGGTTCTTTCCGTGGGGCGTGTCGATCGCGGTCTTGCCGCCTACGGCCGAGTCGACCATCGCGAGGAGCGTGGTCGGGATCTGGCAGAAGCGCACGCCGCGCATGCTGATCGCCACAAAGTCATCCGCAGCAGCGGGGAATTAGCGTGCCAAAGGCATGACGAATGGCATACGAGGACCAAATACAGATGGAATGAGAAGAGAGAAGATGCGAGTGAGTATATGCGTGCCGGCTCGTGAGATCGCGCAAGAAAAGGTACGCACAAGGTAGCAGCGACGAAGCCCGAGAGATCGCCAATGACGCCCCCTCCGAGGGCGAGAACGACGGTGTCCCTGACACAGCCATTGAGCAGCAAAAAGTCCTCGATGTCGGCCTTGCCCTCGCGGCTCTTGGACGTCTCGCCGGGTGCGATGACCTTGCTGATGAACCTCGGTTTTTCTGGGGTCTTGGCGGTGTCGAATGCGTCGATGAAGGCCTTTTCAAAGGCCTGGAGGTGGAAGGAGGCGACGTTTGTGTCGGTGATGAGGACGTAGGTGGAGGAGGGGAGGTTTGTGAGGACGGTGTGGGCGATGTAGGGGATGAGGTGGAAGCCACAGTGGATGGAGTCCCTGCCGAGGATGGACACCCTCGTGACGTCGGCGTCCATGCTTGTTTCTAGGAGAGAGAGGAAATAAAGAAAGAAAAGGTGGGATGGATGGGCGGGGAGTGAGAGGTATAAGTAGAGGATATCAGGAAATCAGTGTTTGGTGCGGCCGCGGTGTCCGAAGGCATCGGAGGCTCTCAGGGCAGACACCAAACTCCAAGAGGCAGTCTTCCCCGCTCACCGCGCCATGGCCCAGAGCAGCTAAAGCACGGCGATGCTCGACTAGGCCAATGTCCCCCTTGGTCCAGTTGGCACGGCGATACCAATACCAACACCATCGTCGACGCACTCGACACTGCGCGGGTGCCTTTCCTGGTTGGGGGAAATAGCCCCTGTGCTTCATCTAGCCGCGATCGAGTCAGCGACGGCGCTTGCGATTGGCAGTGGTTTGACGGCCGTCTCCTGGTGGGAGAGTGCGCACAACGACGAGCTCATGTTACTTGAAGCAGGCTTGCAAGAAACGGCGGCAGTCACCGGTAGCGCTGAATGTCGACGCGGTGACGCCGCTACTAGCTCGATCAGCTAGTCTTTATGACTATCACCAGTGTATGCTAGTATCGATGTACGCTAGTGGCCCTGACCAAAACGCGAATAGCGGAACGGGAACACAGCGATCGACCGCCCAACCTCATTTGTAGGGTGGCGTCTTTGGCTTTCCGGAGGTATACGGTGCTCTAGGGCCATTTACCAACGACCGGAGCAAGGCCGTTCGTGGCAGTATCCCCTGACGCTAGAGTGCGATTGGACGAGCAGTGGACAGGACGAAATCGGAGCCCCAACCGTCGAGGCCCGGGTGGCTCCCATTGGCCCGCGTATCAACAAAGATGCTTTCTTCATCAAGGTGATCATCGCCATCGCCCTGAAACCCCTTCCGCCAGCCAATCAGCGGGCGATGCCTGCGTATCTCGGGCTCGGACGCGTGGATGATAAGAAAAGAGAAAGACCGGCGGATAGCGGCTTACATCATATAGAACCACAGCGTCATCGCGGGCACTTCACCGCGACTCAAAACTCACCAAAGCCCGCAAGCTCCCGGTCTCCACTTTCCTCTTAACTACTCTGCTCTCCTTGCCCTAGGGCACCCTCCCCACTCAGTTTCTCTCTCTTGCATGAGTTATTGACGGTGCAATGTACGCCGTCCGTGCTTCCCGTGAGCTCTGTCTGTAGCTTAAAGTTGATCGAATGCTCACCTGACCTTCTAGAACGCGCCCTCCGCCGAGGAGCCCTCTCCCACGTCCCGTCTTCCCCCCTTCGCGGCGGCCGCCAGGCCCTACTCAAGCCCAGCCCCAGCCTCGTGCGCGCCGAGTCCACACAGGCCACAGGCTCGTCTTCCGCGGCAGTACGTCACATCCCGCTCTTTTCTTACCTCAGGTGGTTAACGTCATCCCGCCTCCGTCCGTGCACGCACCGAACAGCCCCCGCCCCCGCCGCCCGAACCCCAAGTCTCGCGCTACCGCCGCTTCCTGCAGGGCCTCGGCCGCGCCACCCTCGTCACCCTCCTCGTCTCGGGCGGCACCTTCTACTACCTCGCCCGGCGCGACCGCAGCCCGGGCGCCCAGCTCCCCTTCGACCCCACCAAGAAGACCATCGTCGTCCTCGGCAGCGGATGGGGCGCCACAAGCCTCCTCAAGGGGCTCGATACTGCCGATTACAATGTGGTGCGTCGCCCAGGTTGGTATGGGTGTGGTTGGATGGTTTGTTGAGGGAGAGATTGGTGTTATAGATCGTGGTCAGCCCGAGGAACTATTTCCTGTTCACGCCGTTGCTGCCTAGTGTCGCTGTCGGGACGCTGAACCCGCGCTCGATTCTCCAACGTACGTGCTTTCGGCTAAACTCTACGAAACAACCGAGCTAACAATTCGCAACGCGCACCAGCGACGCGCTACCTGACCCGCTTCAAGGAGCGCGAAGTCCGCGTCATCGAAGCCGAGGCCAAATCCGTCGACGTACGCCCCTCTCGTTGCCTCGTTGCCTCCCTACTTGTGAACTTCACTCACTGCCCCAAATATAGCCCATCAAGAAAACGATCACATTCGCCGACGACTCGGAGATCCAGGGGCTCGTGTCGAGCACGACGATCCCGTACGACTACCTCGTCTACGCCGTCGGCGCGGAGACGCAGACGTTTGGCATTCCCGGTGTGAAGGAGCACGCGCTGTTCATGAAGGAGATACACGATGCCGAGCGGGTGAGCATTTCGCACGTGTGATGCAGTAAATAAAGGGGGAAGGCTTATGGGTGGATGCAACGGGTAGATGCAGCGCCGGTTCTTGGACTGCATTGAGAGCGCGGCGTTCCCTGGGCAGACCGACGAGGAGAAGGACAGGCTACTGCACATTGTAAGTCGTCTGTCTTCTTTGCTTTATCAAGTCAGACTGCTAATTGGCTCAACCACAGGTCGTCGTCGGAGGCGGCCCCACCGGTGTCGAGCTCAGGTGCGTCTCCCCTCCCCTTCCCTAAATCTCCGATTAACACGCCCTCCAACAGCGGCGAAGTGCACGACTGGCTCGAAGAAGACCTGCGCTCGTGGTACCCCGAGCTCGCGCCGCGCATCCGCATCACGCTCGTCGAGGCGCTGCCCTCGGTGCTGCCCATGTTCAGCAAGGAGCTCATCCAGTACACGGAGAGCACGTTCCGCGAGTCCAAGATCGACGTGCTCACGGGCACGATGGTCAAGGGCGTCACGGAGAGCAGTGTGCGCCTCAAGCTGGGCAAGGAGGGGGACGGGAAGGGCGAGGGGCGCGAGGTGGATGTGCCGTGTGGGGTGGTTGTGTGGGCTGCTGTGCGTTCTTTCTTCCTTTCTTCCTTTCTTTTTCTCGTGCCATGGGAGTAGGGTGCTGATGGAACTTGTACGCGGACAGGGCAACACAGCGCGCCAGATCTCAAAGGACCTCATGGCGCAGCTGCCCGACGCGCAGACGAACAGGCGCGGTATCGCGATCGACGACTATCTCCGCCTCGCGGGCGCGCGCGACGCGTTCGCGATCGGGGACTGCACCGCGTCGTCGTACGCGCCCACGGCGCAGGTCGCGTCGCAGCAGGGCGCGTACCTCGCGCGCCTATTTAAGCAGCTCGCGAAGCGGGATGCGATTGAGGCGCGGATCGCTGCTGTTCAAGGGGAGGGCGAGGGTGGGGAAAGTAAGGTGGCAGCGGTGGATGAGGAGGAGAAGAAGCTGAGGAAGCAGCTGGACAGGGTCAAGCTGAAGCCGTTCCAGTATTCGCACCAGGGGAGTTTGGCGTATATCGGGTCGGACAAGGCGATTGCGGATCTGCCGATCTTTGGGCGGAACGTGGGTCCTCCCCTTCTCTCTTTTCTCCCTGTCCTTTCGCTCTTCCCTCCTCGTCCTTTCGTTTTTCTTTGGTGTCCGTCTACCTTGAAGAGCACATAGCTGACGATTGATTCTCCCCCCCTTTTGTTTTGGATGGAAGTGGGCAAGCGGCGGCGTGGCGACGTACCTGTTCTGGCGGAGCGCGTATCTGAGCACGCTGTTCTCGCTGCGCAACCGGACGCTCGTCGCGAGCGACTGGCTGCGCGTGAAGCTCTTTGGGCGGTGAGTGTTTTTAGCTTTCGACGCGCTGTTGTTGAGCTGATGTGCTGATGTGATTCTTTGTAGTGATACGAGCAGGGAGTGAGTGAACAGTGGCTAAAATGTGCGAGCGGGCCCCGGAGCTCGTTGGGTTTTTGAATGAGGCCGAGGCCGAGGATGAGGGCGACCACGGTAGCAGAAAAAGTATCACGCTCTTTCTTTGCTTTTCTTTTCTCTTTTCTTTCCTATCTCCCCGTGTCAGTAGTGCGGGTCACCGGCTTGTTGGCCCACGTTTTGTATAGACGCTGCGATGCATGCATAGACATTAGCTAGAGGTATTTAGATGCGCTTTGTGATAATAATACTCGTTTAAAGTACTTGATTGACGCAGTAGTTATCCGATGCATGGTTACAATACTCGCATTTCGGGGGTTTGATGCATGCGATGTTGCTGCATCGCGGCTCGGTTTCCTCGAACTTCCTTCAGGTAGAACAAGGTGCCGGGTCCGAGAATGTGGCGCGTGTCGTAAGCCTGAACAACCTCCAACTACCAATGTGTATCAAAGGCGGCAAAGTTCTTCTTCCCCCGATTGATAGTTGCGGTCAAAAATACAGTGTTGTGGTATGGCGTATGCAGAGAAAGTACTTGTATCCGAGTGCTCGAGCCTACGATTTCCACCGATATGGTTTATTCCTGTGGCTGGCAGAGGGGATGATATTTCAACAGCACAAACGCCCCTTACATAGTTGAAAGCGAGAAACCTCTAGACTGGAGACGTGATCGATCTCTGTAGAATTATACAACATAGTACGATAAGCCTCTTTCCTAAGCAGTAAAGCAACCCAGAATGCACAATTAACATTTTCTGTTCGTTTCGAAACGCTTTTGCATACTTAGATAAGGACTAAGCTCTGTCATCTCCTGCAGTATTAATGTCTGCAAAGTGCAAGGTCGTCCCGTTACCCGACCCTAAGTTATGACTCTCTGTTGCTTTCTCGCTCTGCTTCCGAAGGCCGAGGAACATCCACGGACCAATCATTGTTAACTGAATAAAACTCGCCATAGAGTTGATTGTAGAGTAAACCGCTGACTGTGTCACTCAATCAGAGATACTGCAGAGTTTGGAGATCGTGTATATCTCACGGATTGAAGCTTAGGAGCTTGTCCCACAGCAGTGATTAGGATCCCAAGAAACGCACTTATCAAATTCGATATGAGCAATTGTAAATTGATTGTACATGTGCTCATTGACTCACATTATAAAGTATATCAGACTCTGTTTTATAATGAACAATCCTATGGAGCCAGCGGAATGTCTGAGAGACGTCCATAATGGCTGCTTTAGCTGCACAACAGCAGAGTATATGTAGAAAATGATTAAAATCAGCTCAAACACCAGCAGTGCAGAGCAACACAGTGGCCAAACCCATTGAGGTTCGGATGACGTTTTGTTGCAAGAGCTTATGCTAGACATGGTCATGTCCGCTTTTAGATACCAAGTTATTGGCTCGCTCGTCCATAAAGTAAAACTGTAATCACTCACCTGGTGTCACAATGCTTCCACCACGCACAAGCAACATTTCAGAGATGACGATAGAGAATGTGACAGCTTGCGCAGCCAAGAAGCCGATCACAAGGACTGCAAGGACACGCTTAGATTTTTCGAGTAAGACGTACACCCGAAGGGCCATCATCCCTGCCCGTACCAGTCTAGTGGTCAACGACTATACTGTATGTTAAACTGAGGCTTACCTTGTAAAACAAACAAAATAAAAGGCCCAATCACCAAACGGACATCAGTCAAAATGTAGCCTATGCCAGACGATGAAACCAGACTCCAGGTATGACTTGACTTCATCGAGCTCACATCTGCATTCGATGGCAAGTTGAGCAGCGATCGAGCTGATCATGAGAAACTAGGCAACATACGTCTATCGAAAGAGCATCACCATCAGCGGTTTTCGAAATGCAGGAGCCTAACCTACTTACTTGTTCTGAGATTGACCCGTTGATTACGACTAGAAAGTAATTAGTTTATTGCTTAAGGTGATCTATAGATACACAATAGAACCTTGAGATCTGCAGAATTGATAGTCAAAAGACCCTAAATTATTTGTAAACACTAATTCGAAGACTCACATTCCCCATAGCAAGCCAACGTAGCGCAACTAAGGGAAGTGACGATCTAGTTTAACCAGGTTTGCAAAAATAAAAACATACCAGTATATATATCAACGACATTCCACTCAGTTTTTTCATCTAATGAGCTTCGTTAGCCATTTTTTTTCGCCCGTTATAAGTTAATGACCTGACCCAGACCAACTCTATCTGAAGAATACCGTAACACAATCAGCATCCATACGCTCATTCGAGCTTGATTGACATCCGTGTACCTCGAGGCCCAGATTTAAGACTAAGTATAAGCATTACTCAGACCTAATGTCGACAACATTGGTCTAATGAAGTCACTGACCGTAATCGTACAACATCCATGTCAAGGAAACCACTTCCTTCGTGTTAGTTGCGCTGCTTCAAGCTTATCAGGGACTTAGTGGCTCACCCAAGGTATATACAGACCAAAGGTCCGACCCATTTTCGACTAGGATTGAAGACATAAATAACGCGAGGTAGAAAGAGTAGACCGCTCCAAAGGCAGCAGGACAGTGTTGCTTCTTATATAGCTCGATAAGGATCTTGATTCGTAAAAGTAAGATCTGAATTTAGAGCTTCAGACTCCAGTTCTAAGCGGGGAACTTGTTGAGGCGCCATCTATTTACTCCTGTCCTGTTGAAATCAATATATCATCAGTCTCAGACAAATCTTTGTACTGTAGTCTTCCATTGCAAACAGGAGTCTGCGGTACAGGTCTGTGTATGGCTATGCGAAAGCATGTGCGCAGGTTCATGAGATGCATGTACCTAACGAGTTGGCGGAGATTTAAGCTGACAATAGCTTCGACCCAATGCTTTCATTTTGCCTATTGGCCACTGATAATATGATAGCATTCAATAAACAGCCACAAGAGTCAGGGGTTTCAGCATCCTGTGTAGGAAGGTTCCCGAGCCTGGAAGGCTTCGGAGTTTCAGGATAGTTTCAGATGTTCTTGGTTATCACACATTGATATATGTGGGAATGTTCCGACATACCTGATGTTCTTCTTTTAGGACTCCTGATTCGAAGATGAATATATATTGCGCACAAGCATGTGGCTAGAATAATCATGCATCGCAGACAAAATCCGGCTCCTCCCGTGCTCCCTGGCCGAACAACGGAGAGCAATGCCAAATTCAAATCTGAGGCTGAAATAATGTTGGCCATAAATCCACCAGCGAAACGCGCTAAGTATCTCCGCTAGTACTCAGCTATGGATGGTAAACACCGCAACGGTAAATGCGTGAGTACCGAACCACGTATGACATTGGACGTGCATCAGAATTCGTCATAAGCGACAAGACATTTGGGGAGCTGGTTGCCTTTGACACATCATAGGACCTGGGATCGCTTCAAGTTGTGAATGAGGTTGAGGGAAAAGCCCTGTTCTATCTCACCATATATCTCCAGATCAAAGAACGACAGGTCGCGCAATGTAAACTTGACTAGACATCAAGTACACGCCCCATCAGTGTCATGTATGCACTTTGCGTTTCATCTATCCTTCGTGGCTACGTACACAGGCAAGGCTTTTGTGTAAGCCCCACCTAGGAAATATTCTGGTAACAGCATTTTAGACACAAATCATAACCTGAAGCAGCCAAGGTATCGAGTGAGACCTGAGCTGACCTCAACGTTAACTCGGACATGAATCGGCGAGGGGGACGGCCCTGCTCGCTTGCGATGACATGATGTCGAGGATTTGCCACGCAAGATCGTTCGGGCTGCTCGGGTATTTTGACAGCTCGGGCTCGGGCCGAAGCAAATCCACGCGTCTCTGACCAATCCGTTCACCGACGCGGGCCGACACAGACCGACGCAGACCAATGCATGGATTACTCACTTACCGGTCATGCTCGTGGGTCTCACCGAGTCGGTGCCAAGCTGCCAGAGGATAAAGTAAGGCCAGCGCGCTCGCTTTCATGAATGTCGCCCTCAACCCTCAACGCTCCAGCCATCGCTATGTCAACTCATAAGGGTTTTTGCCTGTGCCAAGCCGTTCAGTACGAAATCACCCTGCCCGGCGAAGGAGAACAGCAGCTGTATAGTATCTGCCACTGCAAGAACTGCCAGAAGGGAGGCGGATCACCCTTCACGGCGAACTTCCTTCTGCCCGCCAAGGTGAACCGTCTACTTCGTTGACGTCTAAGTGCTGGCTTTATTTTGCATGCCGAGAGCTGACTCTCGTGTAATGGACCGTAGAACATGAAGCTCACGAAAGGCATGGAAGGCACCGACGTCAAGTCTTACTCGATGACCCAGACAACGACGGGTACCCCGATGACTAGGTACTTCTGCCCCGTTTGCGGCTCGACGCTATACGGCAAGTTAGCAGCAAACAACGCGGTTGTGATCATACAGACGGGCTCGCTTGACGATCCCATTGACGCGGTCATGCAACCGACGCAGGAGATCTTCTCCCTGGACCGCAGGGAATGGCTCAAGCCATTGGACGGCACAAAGCAAGTGGAAAAGTGGTTCGAGTGAGGGATGTGATTGGACCACGGATGTTTCGGTAGAGTGGCAATGGGTAGCATCTGGCATACAGTGAGCTGGGTTGACATGTTCTCTGAGAAAGGGTTTCGGACTCAAGGTGCTGTAACTTATGGATATTGACGATGAACTCTAAGAGACAACACGTACGCTCATTATGCTATAGGTTTTGTAGTCCTGCCGGCTGCCCTACGCCTGGGCTGCTGCGCTGTCGTTCCGCCGTGAGCCAAAGGAGCATGTTCGATTGAGCGCTGGGGGAGTTAGAAGGTGTAAGTGCCTTGATGAGCAGTATCCGAGGCCTTTCTATTCGAACGAGCTCGAGAATGGTACCATGTGAAGTCAAAACCTAGAGCTGTGCTCGATATGCGTCTGCTAGGAGGAGTAAGTAGATGGGCGAGAGAGTCCAAGGCGTGTGACACTTTCGGAAAGCCCGGACTCCGACCATATCCTCATCTCAGGTTGACATTGACGCAGCCACTTACCTCGGAGAGCGTTTCCCACCGCAATCCACGACGACGCTAAAGATGCCGGACGAACCCCAAGGCTCACTCGACCACGACCTGAACGCTACAATTCAACGCTTGTTCGATGTCCCTGAGCCTCAGCTAACCAGCAACTTGACCAGTTTATTCGACCATGTGAGAACCCTTCCGATAGATGACAAGCCCGTCCTTATAACCCTGGTGAGTCTTTCATGCTACAGCGGGATGCAGTGTAGCTTGCAAAATCTCACCCATCGTGTATTCAAGGCAGCTATGATGAAAATACTCCCCGTTTCGCAGACTGCAACGGAAAGCCCTGCCGCGGCTCCAAGTCGCTGTTCAGAATGGCACTCTTCGGTAGAAGCCAGTGTTCGGACGGGTATGATAGAAACCATGGTCGCAATCCTCTCTGCACCTTGGGACGAGAAATTGCACACGGATACACTCAAGCTTGTCAATGGATACATGTCAAAGGTGTTTGCCTGGCAAGTCCTTATCAAACTGTCTGGCTCGGGAACTATCCAGGAGAGACGTACTGCGCTCAACAGGCAACTTAGAGCGGGCGTAATCCCGCTATGCTTAACGGTAAGAAGCTTCATCGAGCGTCCCAATTTTTGTGATTGTGATAAATGGCCTGTCCCAGACTCTGTACCATCGCGTGCTATTGTTCAGTAAATCCGCGGTGCAGCTACTTTGTCAACTATGCAGCGAGTCTTTCCTCCCCGAAATGTTATCACCCGGTGATGCTGGTATCGTCATTTCCTCGCTATGCACCTTTGCATTGCAGGATCCTGATGGATACAGCGATCAACTGACCGACTCAACCAAGGAGTGGCAGTGGAGTCATAGTAGACTGAATGCAGAGGATCCGTGGGCTAAAAGCGATGAATCTCGGCGTCTAATGGCCAAGCGACTTTTTGGGGACGCGCAGATATTTGCCCTCGATTCTGCTCGTGGTCTCCTGTACTTTGATAGAAGCTGGTCGTCGAGGCGCTTTCACGAAATCATCCAGACCCCAGGTCTTATTGGCTTACTTCTAGACTGCACAATTCTCGAGCTTCCTAGTGTTCTTCCAAGCGATGGAACGGGAATGGCAGGCCCATACCATACCCCATTGGCATGTGAAGCTCTATGTGCTTTGTTTAGGTGGTCGTCGGACACGGTCCCTGGGGTAATTCCGTTACCAGACAATCTCTTTGGAAACAACGACAGCAGGCCATTGATTCAGTCTATGCGATCATTCACTTCGCAGGCCAAGTGGGCGGATAGACTCGTAGATGCATGGACGGCCTCCGGACACTGGTGCGAGGATTCTGAGGAGTTCATGCGGTGAGCAGATAACGTAAAAATTCGGAGAGCGGCCCTGATACCGGGATTCACAGCAGTTTTGCTGCTGCTCAGTCCCTTTATGGTAGTACGCAGTCCCCCTTCAGCCAAGAAACAATTGGGAACTTCTATGATGGATCCGGTTCGTACATTTTTTTCCAGATCAAGATATTACCTCATCATAAACGGGAAACAGGCCGCTCTCGTATTTCACTCCTTCGGATCATCACAACTCTAACCCATTTTTCCGATGCTGCTGGTGTCAAGAATGTCGACATCTACTCCTTATTGGGAGTGGCGTATCAGGCGAGCTTCAAGATGAACCAAGAACGGAACCGCACTCAGAGTATCTGTGACTGGCCGCTTTGGCTAGCGCGGATAACCGAAAGCAGCTACTGGTGCGATCCTGTCCATGTTTCTCCAGAGCGCGTCCTAGGACCGACGGCGTTTGCACGTCTATTAGTCGTGTTGGCGCAGCGCAATGCACTGAACAGCATTCAGTTCCTTCAGAGAGCGCCTGATGGCCTTTCTCCCACGACCTCTCTTGCGCAGATCCAGCAGATGACGCACCCAGACATTATCCGGCGCTTTCTCCATATCTCCATATACCGTATCAAAGACTATATGCAAGGGGCCGTGTACTTGCGCCGGGAGATGCCCGCACGGGCTGGTGTCGTTTTCTACGGCGCTGCAGAGCTCGCAGCTGCCATTATTGCCTTTGTCGACCTGACAGGCGACACTTACACCCAAGCTACGGTCGGGGCCCGCCCGGCACTTGTGGTGGCGCTTGGAAGCCTCGCTCAGATATCTATGCAAATGAAGCAGTATAAACGGACGTACTCCTTGGCTCTGACCGCTGCAGAAGTCGACGGGAAAAGCAATACTGGGGAAAGGATTGATCCTAACCTCGTCGAGGTGTATCGTCGGTTGGCTCGCGATGCTAAGAAGGCGCTCGACTTGCAGTAGAGTGGAAATTAGTAAGGTATGTTTTTGATGATCTGAACCGAACCAATAACTGAAGCTACAGCTGTCTGATCAGTGATCCAGGTGTGATTGTGCCAACCTGCGTCTTGCGTTCCTCGTGAGGATCCATGTTTAAGCGGTTGCAATGTTCGTCTAAGCATTACCCTATCCATTGGTACCTTTGTGGGGGCGGTCCAAACACTGGGCCACGCGAACGAGAACCAGCGCTACGCGGCTGCGCCACAATATACGATCGACCGCCTTCCGTCTCTCGATTTCTCTTTCGTTGTTCCTTCTGTCTCGTTGGTTCGCATTAGACATTTGCATTCTACACGCGCTGGCATAGCGCATACTGCCCTGAACTCTCAACTACGGTTTAGAGCAGCACTTTAGTCTCATAGTACATACAGTTTACACGCCTCAAATACGTTATAGATTAAGTGCTGCAGTTTAAGTAGCATAGAGGTGTACTTTGTTCTGGTTACCTCAGAAAATCTTACTCCCCTCGATCGCCGTTACTTTCTTTCTGGAAGCTTAATCCTAGGCTTTCCGTCAGCCTCGACCCATAACGAGCCAGCAAAAAAAAACCGGCACAGAGTCCTTGAGCTGCTGGTGTCAGCTCAAATTATGTCATCAGCACCAAGTGCGACCGGAGCGGACCTCAGCAACAGAACGGCCGTCGTCGCACACGATGTCTTGATGGTGACAAGGTATCGCCGATCACAGTGAAATTTTACGGGGCTCAAGGACGTTCTCTGACGCAGACGTTACTTCTTGATGTGCCTCCGTCAAAACATATGTGACCCTACCGGCAGAAATAGGGGTTTTAGCAACATACAGTCCACTGTTGTATCACCTTGAAAAGGTGATCAGCATTTTTAGTCATGTTCTTGCCTGCTCTCACGTCAATAACATTCGTTTACTCGGTCCCGAATCTTGGGGTGCTCTGACTCGAAGTGACACATGCTGCACGCGTACATCATTTCCAACATGCGAAAACTATTACCCATTCCCCGGACTCAGTTGTGCGCGTCGGCGCCAGATTTTGGATGATAAAACAGGGCCTACGCTCTCGCATGCATCGTCACCCCGCCCCGTCTCTAGACGTTCAACCACTACAATGTCCACGTATAAGGGTTCTTGCCTCTGCCAGGCCGTCCAATATGAGATCACGGTACCCGAAGGCGGCCAGCAATCGTACACCGTCTGCCACTGCAAGGACTGTCAAAAGTGGAGCGGATCGGCATTTACGACCAACTTCGTTCTGCCCACCTCAGTGAGTCATTTGTCTGCAGCTACACCTGAGGAACCGGATCCTTACTTTCACTTGACCGCTCTCAGGGCATGAAACTCACCAAAGGCACAGAGGGCGCCGAGATCAAGGCCTACACGGTGACCAAGACCACCAGCGGGAACGCGCTCGGGCGGTATTTCTGCGGCACGTGCGGCTCGGCGCTGTACGACAAGACGGCGGCGAACGATGGGATCGTCATTCTGCAGACGGGTACGCTCGACGACGCCTTTGATGCGGTCGTGCACCCGACGCAGGAGATCTTCTGTCTGGACCGCCGGGCGTGGCTGAAGCCCACGGATGGCCTCAAGCAGGTGGAGAAGATGTTTGATACGGGAAGTTGAACTATGGGCGTGTCAGAAGATCGAGGGTGGGTTGAGAGCAGCCGTGTTGTATAAATGGGTTTTCGAAAGTGACGTGACTGAGACGATCAAGTAAAACGCTATTTTATGAGCCATAAGAGCATTTTGACTGGTGTTAGAAGCGATGAGAGATGTGATGCTGCGATGAACCAAGCCGTCGAGAGGCCAACATACCAGAGAGTGAGCTCGAAGCTGCTCGAAGACAGAAGCTTTTCAGGTTGCTTGGTGCCTGATATCAGGGCGTGCGAATTCGGAATGCCCCGACATATAAAACGCCCCTATCCACATAGGAAACTTCTTGTCTTCTTGTCAGTGTCCTTTCACCCGTCCTGAACGTTCGAACAGTCAGTTCGGTATGCAGCACGAACTCGAACACCGCCATTTCCTGTCACCAAGCGCTGATAGGGGGGATTACTACTCACCTTGTTTCCAGCCAGTCGAACTGGGCTAACTGACCTGGAGTCATCCTTTCGAAGGCAGGGGAAGATATCGCGCTTGGTTTCAAACGCCCACTTCATGTCTGCCCAGAAGGAGATCCGTGAGAAGGATCTCAGGCTTTCTAACGCCATAGGTCCTATTAGGGCCTCCGACCTTGAGTCTTCTGTGAGTCGTGACTCTGAACGAGTACTTGCTCTGATGATGACGTGGCATGCCGATTATCTGTTCAAACGGGCAGTAGTAACTTTCGTTTCGCGATTGGCCCCGCTTTCTTCGAAGTTCAAGGAACGCTTTATTTCGCCGTCAACAGACTTCGAACTGAGACAAGTAAGCGGAGCTGTTTGAACATCAGAAGTCGAAAGTTGGCCAGCGCATGCCAACCGCAACGTTCTCGGGCTTTTGCAGGTTCTCGTGTTCCGAGCTCTTTCCGCCATTTTATCCTCGAGCGCCGGCTTTCGCGCCCATCTCGTTTCTTCCCATAAACCATGGTTACACTCTTTGCTGTCTACACACGGGTGTCGTATGGAGCTCATTGCGACTATTCAGCGGACGTTCCTCGCTCATAACGCCGTGCAGCGGGCTATATAGTCTTCGTGCTGGTGACAAGGTCTCGAAGGATACCCTCCACGCATCCACGACCCCAAAGTTATCATGTCTATCAAACGCGTCATGACCGGTCTCGCCGTCGCTGGTGCAGGTAAGTGCGACTCGCCCCTTCCTCCCCGGCCCGGCATTCACAGCTCGCGTCCGCCGCTCGACCTTGACTGACCACACATGCACACCTACAGCCCTCGCACAGTCCTCGTCGTCCTACACCGACCCGGAGAACGGGATCACCTTCCAGGGCATCACCGACCCGACGCACAACGTCACGTACGGCTTCGTCCTCCCCACGTCGCAGAACTCCACGGGCGAGTTCATCGGCGAGGTCGTCGCGCCCATCGCGGCGGGCTGTGTCGGCGTCGCGCTCGCGGGGCAGATGGTCGGGGACCTCCTGCTCGTCGCGTGGCCGGACACGAGCGCGGGGAAGATCGTCAGTACGACGCGGTATGCGACGTGAGTTTGTTTTTTGTGGGTTTGTGTGTACAGTTGATAGAGGTTGATTGTGCGTTCGTCTGGACTGTGAAGTGGATATTCGTCTCCTGCGTGAGTATTGTTTGGCAAAATCTGTTTGGACGTGACTGGCTGACTGCGGGGGATCATGCAGCGTGTACGCCGGCCCAACTATCACCGATCTCAACTCGACGACGGTGAACGCGACGCACTGGAAGTGGGTGTACCGGTGTGAGAACTGCACCAGTACGTCTGTTTCTCTCCACTCTTTATTACCACGGCTAATTACCTGCGCCGTCTCCCCAGCGTGGAACGGCGGCTCGCTTAACACGAACGCGTCCTCCGCCGTCGCGTGGGCTTATTCGTCCTCGGCCCCCGTAGACCCTACTAGCTCGAACACGACGTTCCATGAACACGACGACTGTGGGTGATTTAATATAATTGAACTCCCTTTAGTTGTTGATGTTTGTAATTGCAGTCGGTTTCTTCGGTATGGCATGGAACAACGCGAGCAGCGCGAACTACAGCAGTTACGTCTAACGCATAGATAGAATGGACAGCTGGGCTGCTTGAGGAGACTGAGGTCTAGAAAGTGTCCATGTATGCGTTAGTATATATGTAATTTATGTGCAGCGAGCGGGTATGGCCGTTGACATTCATGTTGCATTCGGACTGTGCGCAACTTCCAACAGATGAGGTGACGCCTGTGAGTGTGACATGCAATCATTAGGAGCCTTCGGTCTCAGCAAGTGATGAAGTGGAAGGAAATGGAGGCAGCATAGCAGACAAGCTTCCAGGCGACTTCAAGTTGAGGACGCGACAGTGGTTTGCAGAGTGAACCACGACGCGTTCCGGCGATAAGACACTGGGCAGCGGCAGGTCCGATTCCCACGCCACCCGGTCAGCTGTGCCTCATCACTCCGTCAGCGCACTAAGCGAGGGTCGAGCTGTGTGGACTGTGCGCACTGCGCCTACCTGAAACAAAGACCACCCACGTCGCCATCGACCCCCCCTTCATCCACTCTCGTTCAGTTCTTCCTGCATCCCAGTAAATGCCAACGACAACCACACTCACGCCCGACGAAAAGGCCAAGGTCAAGTCCGCGATCCCGCCCGCGGCGGGCAAGATCAAGACCGCCGCGCCCGCGCGCGTGTACTATGCGCACCCGCAGCCCGACGGCTGGTCGTACTCAGGCGTCGAGGGCGCGCTCGCCCTGGTGGAGGACACCACGAAGCAGGCGTTTGCGTTCAAGATGGTGGACTTTGCGGGCACGCGGGGTGTGATCTGGGAGCACGAGCTGTATGATGGGTTTTTGTATAACCAGGATCGGCCATACTTTTATTCGTTCCCTGGGGATGTGAGTTTCTTTTTGGTGATTTGGTTGATGTTTTGGGTGATTCTGATACTGTGAGTGGGTGGTGTAGGAATGCATGGTGGGGATTGTGTTTTCGGACGAAAAGGAGGCGAAGGACTTTCATAAGAAGGTGGTCAATCGGAAGACGTCTAAACGTGAGTTGGTACAACGTCTATATACATTCATTGGTTGCTCATTTTCCCCCCAACTCATGCTTCTGTGTGCTTTGTGTGCTTCTATAGCCAAAGCTGCCAAGTCCTCGAGCAAGAAGTCCGGCTCCAAGGGGCCTATCGATAAGTCCATGATCTCCGCGCCCTCGAACTTTAAGCACATCTCGCACATGGGCTACGACCCCGACAAGGGCTTCGAGTCGTCCAACGTCGACCCGTCGTGGCTCACCCTCCTGAACCAGCTCGAGAGCGCGGGCGTCTCGGCCTCCGTCATCGCTCGGGACCAGGAATTCATCAAGAAGTTCGTGCAGGACGCGCAGAAGTCTGCGCCTCCTCCCGCTCCTAAGCGCAAGTCGATGAAACCGCCGCCGCCACCCGCGCCGCGGCGTGGAGCGCATCAGGCGACGGACAGCGTCGACAGCGTCGCGAGTGTGACTGCGCCTGCAGCGCGTCCTCCGCCCCCTGTGCGCCCGTCGCAGCCCCCCGCGCCGCCTCGTCGCTCGCAGACCACTTCTCAGCCGCCTGCACCCCCACAACGGCCTCCGGCGCCCCCTGTGCGTGGTGGGCACCCACCACCACCACCGCCCGCGCGGCCCGCTGCGAACGGAATAGCGCCGCCCCCACCTCCTCCACCCGTCAGACCCAATGGCGTGGCGCCCCCTCCTCCGCCTCCGCCTCCACCACCACCTCCGGCCGGCGGGACCGCACCTCCCCCGCCTCCACCACCTCCGCCCCCACCTCCACCAGCAGGAGGCACAGCACCCCCACCCCCTCCTCCGCCACCTCCGCCCCCAGCAGGCGGAGGCGGAGGGGGCGGCGGAAGTCCCGCACCGGCCCTTCCTGCGCCGGCACCCGGCCACGACGCGCTGCTGGAGAGCATTCGCGGGCAGAGCGTGGCGAAGCTGCGCAAGACGAGCGGGCCGAACGCGACGCCGTCGCCGCCTCCCCCGCCCGTCGCTGCGGAGGAGTCGAGTGGGGGAGGGGGAGATTTGACGTCTGCGCTTGCTGCTGCGCTGATGGAGCGGAATAAGAAGTTGGGGGATAGCGATGAGGAGGAGGAGGACGATGATTGGGATTAGGGTTGGGAAGGGGTTGGGGGTTGGCGAGCACTAGGGAAGGTGGTGGTCGGCTGGTTGCTCGTTGTTGTATAGGGCTGGGATGGTATTCCGGACCCGGTTGTTTCTTGATTTATCTTTTTTCTTTACACTAAGTTCGGTTTGCGCAACTACTCGCTGCTTTACTTCGAATTCGCTATCATCATGGTGCAGTCTGAGTATAAGTTTGAGTACAAGTCATCTCTGACGTATGTTACGTCTCTGCGATATACTAAGTGTAGAGAGCTCCAGCAATGTATGTCCCATCGTGTGTTGATGAACGTCATTTGAGTCCGACCGATGAATGTATCCGAGTCCAGGATCGTCGGATGGCGATGAAGAGGCGCTGTCCCCGGCAGGCGTATCTTCTCGCAGCTTGCAATACCTCAATGCTGCTTCCCGCGTCGGCCCGTAGCAAAGTCCGTGGATGCGTCGGGTGGCAGGCGCGGTGTCGAGGCAGTGGTCGGACTGCGGGGTAAGGGGTTTCCTGGGAGGGCGACCGATATAGCACGCGGGGAGAAGATGCCGCGCGGGCCGAGCCGAATCAGGAAGGGCGCTTGTCAACGATACTTGAACAGGCCAAGGGCAACAAGAGAGGGCCACCATCACTCGCCGCGATTCTCCCTTTTCGCCCATCTTTATCCGCTCGGCGAACGTTCTATACAGAACAGCTTTGCTCTTACCACTCCGCGTCCTTTGTTGCTTTCTAGAAAACATCCATCATGGCTGACCAGTTGGTATGTCCTGCTCTTGTCGTTGTCACGTGTGCCCTGTGCCCCGCTCGTCCTCTGCTTGTTATCGTGTCATCGCTGTTGCGGGCGTTGTGCTGACGATGCTGCCGCGATCGCGATTTACAGAGCGAAGGTGAGTTGCATGCGTGCGAGGGAGCGAGGATCGGAAGCTGAATGGCGCGATGGTGCGATCTCTGCGGTGTAGAGCAAATCTCTGGTGCGTTGTATGCTATCTGGCATGTGCTGTGCGGTCTCTGATCTATTGGCGCTTGCCTCGCAGAATTCAAGGAGGCCTTCTCGCTCTTCGACAAGGGTGCGTTGACCCCTCATTTTCTTTCTCTTCCTATCTCATTACTCGCTCTGCATCGCAATCTCCCCCGTCCACACAGACGGCGATGGCACGATCACGACCAAGGAGCTCGGCACGGTGATGCGCTCGCTGGGGCAGAACCCGACCGAGGCGGAGCTACAGGACATGATCAACGAGGTCGACGCGGACGGCAACGGCACGATCGACTTCCCCGAGTTCCTCACCATGATGGCGCGCAAGATGCGCGACACGGACTCGGAGGAGGAGATCAAGGAGGCGTTCAAGGTCTTTGACAAGGACGGAAACGGATATATCTCTGCTGCCGAGCTGAGGCATGTCATGACGAACCTTGGTGAGCTTTTTGTTTTCGATATGTTCCTCCCCCGCTGGTGTGCGGTTTCGAAGGGATTGGGTGTGCCGGAGTCGAGGGGTGACTGTGTGGGCGCCTGTGGGCCGTTTGCTGATCCGTTGTTTTTATCTAGGCGAGAAGCTCACGGACAGTGAGGTCGACGAGATGATTCGCGAGGCTGACGTCGACGGTGACGGCCAGATCAACTACGATGGTCCGTCCTTGTCTTCCCTTCTCCACCCTCTCCTCGTTTTCTGATTGCGCTTCGTTACCTCCTCGCCTCCGTACCTTGCGGGATACAGAGTTCGTCAAGGTGCGTCACATCTCCACTCCGCCATTCATCTTGGGGCCCATTCATCTCGATGATCTCACTGACGGATGTACTTTTTTTATTTACAGATGATGTTGTCCAAGTAGACTCGTGATCGGTCGAACGAACACGCGTAATCGAATAGTGTACATACGCTCTATTTTACCTCGTCTTGTGTCTTTATCCGGAGGCGGCTTCCATGTGACGATTAGGCAGCAGAAATGTAAAGAATGTGATATCCGTTGTTTGTTTGCTTTTTCTCTTTTTTCTTCGTTTCGTTTCGTTTTTCGTTTGATGTTCGGGCTGTCTGTTCATTGCGTCAGGAGCTGTCAAGCATGTTAGGAGCTAGTAGTGCTTTGGATGCATAGTCGTCTCGAGGCAGCGTCACTACGTCGTATAGTCGTCAGCGGAGCGAGTCTGGAGTAGGTTTGTGCCGTGTACAGATCATTACATTTGCATGACCTTCCATTGGCGTGATTCAGTACTGGGGTCACTAGAAGCAAACCTGATGCAGCTGTGCCGGTCATATGGAGCCGAGGCACGGAGCGTGACATCATCCGCCTGCCCAAGCCTAAGGAGCCCAAACAGAGCCAAGGGGCTCCGGCGCAGTCCGTCCATAAGAGTAGCGCAGCACATCGACCCCCTTGAGCTTGATTCCTGTATATAAACCACATTCAGGTGCTTAGGACTAACGCACCATCTCGCTTTTACCGCATCCCATATCTTCATACGCACACTATTGCAACAAGCAAGAACTACTTTATTATGTCGAACCTCGTTAACAAGATCAAGGACAAGGCTACCGGCGCCGGCGGCAATGATAAAGGCGGGGAGCAAGAGCAGCAGTTTACGATTCAGCCGCATCCTGCTGTGAGTGTTCACTTGGTGCCCTTGCGTTGGTGTTTCGGATTGTCGCAGTGCGCATAATATCTGCGACGCTGGGAGCGAAGGACATGGTCTTCTGGTCCAGTGTCGGGCGGTTGACAAACATCGAGTCCTGAGTGTTTCCAGGCTAGCACAGTTGCCATTATCCCGTGCCCGTCTCGATCACCTCGCGAAAGCGATTCTTGATTGAAGTTTATATGCCTTGAGATCTGACTCGAATGATCAACAACTTGGAGGTGATAGTCGCTGACGCATCTCATCTCACCACAGAAAACGAACAACCCGAGCGATCTCGTCGACCCGCCGCAGCCCGGTGCTGGCCTGAACAGCAACCCGGAGATGCAGGCGCACCACGCGCGCCAGCCGCATGTGCCCAGCCAGGACATTCTGAATAGTCTCGAGCAGCCCAAGGTGAGCGTCCGAGTTTGATTTGTAGTGGGCTTTATACCACGGATCATTTCCTACTCTCTACACAAGTTCTTGATCATGGTATGATGGTCCCTATATGCATCTGATGATGTATACATTTGCATCATTATTGCTGCAGGACGTCTCGGTGATTTACCAGTGGATCATGCGGTGACTTGTCGACCGTGGAATCATCTGCATTCTTCCGATCGCTCGGGGCCCGCGTCGTTGGATATTGTTGATAGTTTGCTGACGTCTCGTTTTGCAGAGCCGTGAGGAGCTTCGTGCGAGGCAAGAGGAGCTTAACAGGAAGTGAACAAATCGCGAAGATGTAGAGGACGCAGCGTTTCATGTAAAAGCAGCCCCGTGCAGGCCGTTGTTGTAGCTATTTCTGATGTTGGTTTTGTGCAGGTGATCGCACCTGACCTGTCGTTTAAAGAGTCAGTGTGGCGTGCTAACAATGCATACTTCCTACTCTAGGCGAAACCTCGCTTGTTGCATATCTCTGCTCATTACATGTCTTGGTTGTCGCATATCTTTGATCGTTACACATATTACTTTCAGACTCTATAAGCATATGACCTTGCGCTCGGTGCACTTCGGAGCGACGTGTGACTGGCATAAGCTGCCGTGCATACAACGATGTGAATGACCCTTGGCTCGTCAGGCCGTTTATCTTTTACTTTCCCTTTAATTTATGAGATCTTCTGACAGTTCCTTCCAGGCATTCTCACTTTATGAAGTCCTTGTTGAAACTTAGTAGTGTCAGACCCTCTCTCGGTACAAGCGAATGATGTTCTTCCTAGGCCAAACCTAGGCAGTGTCAGACCTAGGTATATGTGCATGTATTATTGAGTGTAGATCGTTTTATGTACGGTTGTTTGCGTCGCAGCTTCTGCTGGGCCACATTCCTTCCATGTGTGTCCTCGCCACTTGCCGAGGAGCAGTGCATCAACGTTTCAGTTTGCATCTCCGGGTCAGATCGCTGGAAGTAGTGTCGTGTTTCAGCAGCCTCAGTGATAGATGGGTTGGGGCGCCCCACGCAGGGAGATTATACTCACCCTGCCCGTTTATCTCCATTTTCGCCACACCGGCAGCTCTAAACCCACGCAAGCTTCTCTGATATATTTAAACCCCGAGCAGGCTTTCTTCGCCCACCGTCCCCTCATCCCCCTATCCAAATCCAGTTGTGTTTGTTACCTGCCGCAGTCGCGACCCGCCTTGGGTAAATGGTGTGTATACTTTCTCTCGTCGTCGCTGACCATTTGAATCTGCTTCGCTAATTTACCAAGGCTGTAACCTCCATTTTCTGGTCCCTACTTGAACGTTGAACCTTGCAACGACGACCAAATGTCGCTTCATAACTCGGCTAGCCTGCAAACGATGTCGTCCGAGTCATCGAGCAAGTCCTCCATTATCAGCAGGTCTGTGAGGATGGTCAAGAAACGGCTGTCGACAATGAGCTTGAGGTCTTCAGGACGTTCAGGGAGGGATTCAGGGAGTCCGTCTAAGACTAGGTCCCATCAAGTAGACAGCTTCACTTCCTCCAGCTCGAAGTAAGTGCGCTTTATAGGATGTATGGTGTGTTTCATTTTGACGGCGTCAGTAGTCTCAGTCCTCTCGAAGCCATGTTACCCGTACTTGCATCCCCGTATCCACTCTGGATCCCTTGTTAACTGTCCTTTGAACTTGTACTCCGTTGAGTGGTGTGTACATCTTTCCCAACGTCCATCCGTTGGACATTATTTTCCCATTTTAAACCCTCACTCGTTACATATCTTTGCTTATCACATAACATATCTTTTGATACGATAATCTGCTCTATCACGCGAAATTCGCGGCTGTTATTTACCACCCTCTCAGACGCGTTCAAAATTTCTTTTCAGATTACCAAATTTATTTATATCGCTCGTTAATTATCCATAACGTACAAGCTATGAGCCTACATCACAGTTCGTTTGTATAAACTAAGAAGATTAAATTTATCTGGAGACATTGAAGTTACTATGGAGTAGAGCTTCAAGGTTCTTAGATCGAGGAGTAATGGAACAGGGAAAGTCAGTCGGCCGGCTACCCTTGTCTCAGCAATTTTACCGCTTTTTAAGACGTGATACAATGCTCACTGGGTGATACCGCTGACCCAATGTGGATCAGGCTCCATCTCTTCTCCCTCGTCGTCCTTTGCCTTGGATATATTGAACATGGCGAGCATACTGGCCACAACAAGCCACAATGAGTTATCCGCAAAGTATTGCCCTGGACATACGCGCCGTCCAAAGCCGAATATCATCGTGTAGGACGTGTCGTCTGTCAAAGTACCGTCCGGGCGGAGGAAGCGGTTTGGATTAAAACTCATGGGATCGGTGTATCTCGTAGCATCGTGGAAGATTTCCCTGACATAAAGTATGTTCCCATATAAATGAGTGTGTGGTAACTGTGCTTACCAGATATTAACGACCACGAAGCTTCCTGCAAGAGCCATAGTTTTGTGAGTCAAAGCCCAGATTCATGAGGAAGACATGACAATATGGACTGACCTTTGCGGATGAAATATCCTTCATAAACGTCATCCTCCGTTGTGCTACGGGGCAAACCTATGGGCGCAGAAGGCATCCACCGTATGGTCTCTCTAAGAATCGCGTCTACCAAGGGCAAAAACAGCCGGTCGTTAAGATCAGGCAATCGCTTGGCTTGCACCACTGCATCGATTTGTTCTTGCGCGCGAGCTTGAACTTCGGGATTCATGAGCATTGCGTACACGAATGTCAACAGCGTTGACTGTGTCTGAATCATGGAACATGCTTTAAAGAAACTTATCGTACATGATTGCTATACCTACCGTCTCCGCGCCAGCTATGCTCAGCCTTCAGTGAATCTGCTCTGATGACAGCTCCGAGAAATACGCCCACCAGTATAAGCGGTAAATGCCGCATTCTTGAGCGCTTCGACGGTGTCTTGCGGCGGACTCTGGTCCTCCCATTTTCGAAGGATATCTCCCACCATTGAATGATTTCCAGTTTTATTCGCCTAGTATCATGAATAGGTGACTGTGAGTTATATAGCACTGAAAAACTCAGTAAACTGTATACCAAAGTAGTCTGTGTATACTCGAAAGGCGCCGCTGTTGTCTTCTGGACGACTTCACGTACAAGGGATAAAGCCCTTTTGACGCCAAAGTCTGGTACCCACGTCGGCGTGGTAAGCACTGCGAAGAGATCATGCCACAAACTGTAAGCTGTGGTTTTTAGTTCTCGCGGGAGATAAACCTGCGTACAGAAAGGAAGTCCGGAAGCGAGTAGCACTTCGAACGAAAAGACTCGTTCCGCAATGAGCTTGTCGACGTGCTCCACCATGGCCACTAGTGCATCGTCTTTCTGGACAGCGTCATACCCATATACTGCAGACAAAATCACCGAGGCCGAGAACCTGATGATCATTTGCATAAAAATGATCGAGGAAAATATGACTTGAAGCAGTAAACACTGACGTTTGAAGATGTTTCTCGTAGCCTTCGGGCTGAGCAGCAATGTTTACTATGAGGGCATGAGCTTGTCTCAACTGAACCGAATGATATCGTGACACAACGTCACGCCGCAATGCCTCGTGGTAGAAACGTCGGTGCAGTCGCCAAGTGTCAGTATATCCGATAAAACCCGTATTGAATTCGAGACCCATCCTGTCGATCGAATGACGACACGGTTAAACGCTTGGATCGCATACATATGTTGCTATACTGACGCGCTATATCCAGCTGCCGACGGTCTGCCGGAAAACTTGGTCGAACGCTTATCGAGGAGATCTCGGGCAACCTTCTCCGAGCTGATAATAATGATGTCTCGTCCGAAGACGGAACAGCGAAACAGGTCACCTTGGAAGGTAAGGTATTGATAGGTATAAACTTTATACGCCTATACATCAAGCGGAAGTGCACACACCATATATTTTCCTCAGCCGACTGAGGGTAAGGTGATGTTGGGAACCTCGCAACTGGAGGATATTTCCAATGAGAGGTAATCCGATTGGACCAGGGGGTAGATGTGCGCCATTCCGCTTGCCAACGGTTCTTGAAGAGATGAAGTAACCCAACAAGGCAACGGCGAACGCAGAAATAAGGATCCAAGTAGCAGGCATTGGGATGGCATCCTAGGCTGAGGTATGCTCTTCGTTATAATAAGTCTGGACAAGCGTCTGTTTTGACAGACGTGAGAGATTATTAAAGGGGAAGCTGAGGCGCAAGTAGCGTGTGGCACTTTCATGCTAGCAGATCAATCGATGCGGAATGCGGCAGAAGATATCAGACAGTTTTTTTGCTGCTGAATGGCTCTGGGCATCTCGTCAATAATCTTTCCTACACTCGTGATCGCTGTATGACTTGACTGCTAACTCTTGGCTTACTCTCGAAGTTTTGGTGGTCGTAAGGCTTGAAATGTTCTTCAGCAGTGCCCATCGGACCTTCGGATAAAGGCCCCGCAGCTCTAAAGATATTCTATGCAATGAAGTCGTACGGCATAACGCCACCCAAGTCAACGCGGACAAGAACATGGCTCCATGCATGATAACGCCACGAAAACGCACCCGGCCTCAATCTTGCCTCCTTCGTCACTGTTCACGTCACTTATATGCTCGGCTACCCTCGCAATGGCGCGGACGGTGGTACTTACATACATTATCATTTGACTGTGGCGGCGCGGTTCCTCCCAAACTAAACCTTGACGGAATGTTGGGCTAATACGGGTCCAACAGGGGATCAGACAGAATCTCTGCTTCCCAGTAGTGCAAGTCGTCAGCGCGACAGGTTGATCGGGCGGAACATACCCTGAACCTTTCCATAACGGTGACTGAGCCTGGTAGTGGTGGGCAACTTAGAGTAGACGACGGTGCGAGGTCAAGCTCAAACGCGAGGTTACATCAAGATCAGAGATCAGAATGGGACCAGCGACAGGGGAAGAGACAGGAGCGGATCCGCCGCCGAAGCGTTCCTGCAGAAGCTCTGTCAAGATCCACGCTCTGTGCGGGCACACCCGTTGTAGTTAAAGATGCACTGCCCGAAGGGAGCCAAGAATTAGCCTGGGTAATGAGCTGAGAATGCTACCTCCGCCATGACAGTGAGAATCAAGGCTGAAATGGTGATTGCAATGCAACTTGGGTTTCCTCTTGCAGTAAAAGCGCTTATTTTGGCCCTTTCTCGACTCCGACGTCTGGATTCACATAGGACGGGCAGCATTTTTTGCAATAAAAGTAAGGACAACTATGCGCGGATTGAATCCCAGGATAAGTACAATGATGTTAAGTGCTCTACATGATAATACGCTTGACAATCGCAACCTCTGCTATCCCTTACTCGTCAAAGAAGAGGATACCCCGGACCTCGATAGAGGAGCGGAGAGGAGCGTCGGCGGGCGCGGACTTGTCTTCAAAAGCGGTGTGAGGCGTGAGGTGAGCAACGCTGCCGTCCTGGATGGAGTCGAAGCTAAAAGGACACTGTGAGCGACTGAGTTGCAGTGAGACTGGAGCCGCAACATACCACTTGATCAGGACGAGCTCGTCCTGAGTCATGCCCTTGACGTATTTCCACTTGTGGTCCGGGTTGTACGTGACGCCGAAGGTCTCGCCCTCTTTGTCGGGGTAGACGAGGGCGACGGGGATGAGGTCCTTGGCCTGGTCTATGCTGCGGAAGTCGCAGAGACCAAGGGGCCAGTCCCAGGCGGTGTTGTCGATGGGGCGCCAGAGGTTGACGACCTGGAAGCGGCGCTTGAGGAGCTCAGGCGCTTCCTCGGGGAGGTGGCGGTGGACGCGGGCGATGGAGGATTTCAGGGTCTGGTCGACGTGCACCAGGGAAACGGGCTGGCGGCGCTCGGGTGAGTCATCCGCTTCGCCGGGGCGACGACGGCGAACGGCTAGTAGCGCCTTCAACAAATGCGGGAGAGAAGAGCAGTAGACGCGACTCACTGTGGTCGAAGATGAAAACGCGGCTAGCACCCGAGAGCTTCTTGAAGTACTCAATACACTCCGGGTAATACTCCTTCTCGATCTCTTCGGAAGTTTTGAAGCTGCAGTGCTTGGTGGGGCCTTTGTGGAACTGGAAGCCGGAGACATCGAGATTATACGATGTCTGCTTGCCAGCGGCAGACTCCTCGTCGAAGATCTCGCGGATATTGTGGACTGTGACGGGGTGGCTGTCGTACGTGTAGTTCCGATCGAACTTCCCGGTGACAGGGTCAGCGTTGGCCTTTGTGTAAGGGCGGGAGCCGTCTTCGGGGAGGCCGTAGTAGTTCAGGTCGGTGGCGATGGTAGACATCTTGGCAGAGGAGAAAGGGGAGATGAGGAGTGAATGACTTGAGTAGGGATCGAGAAGGTATATATACCCCGCGGGCTGCATTCCCCATGACGCCACCCCCAGGTATCGGTGAATAGCCAGGTCGGAGACGCGCACCTGCAATAGCAAGGTGCCTTGCTTCCCCGAGAAAATGGCCGGTCAGGCGGATAGAAAGCATGAGTATCGACACAGCCCAGAGTGGTGCGACACCCCTATATGCCTTAGAGCACAGAGAAGACGCGATCATCCAGGGAGGCTCATCGGCGCCCAGATACGGCCGCATGAGTAAGCCGGGGACAAGGTTGACGAGGAAAAAAGCATTGCACTGCACCCCAAATTTACAGCATGCTAGGGAGAGGTTGGGCTGTAGAACGGTATCTCCCATGGTGTGGTGAAACCCCGGTGGACCTGACATCGAGGTCGGGAATAGCTTAATTTAGCGAGTGCTTCAATGTTACTCAGCCACTTTAGCATTTGATGTAGCCACGAAGTTGATTCGAGAGATTCACTTGTTGATTGACTCGGTCGCACTATGTGCTTGTTGACTGCACCGGTCCCTTTAAGTATCCTCTGGACATGTCAGAAACCTGCATCAGCGGTTGCAACCGTAGGGCCCCAAAGCGGTAAAATCGTCAACCTGCTTACAAGTGACTCCCCTCTTGCACTAGGTTACAAACGACCACCCGTGAGGTTTGTCTCGGATGCGTCGTAGAAGCTAGAATTGATTGACAGGATTACCGACATTTGCCGGGGAGGAACGTCAGCAGGCTAGCTGTGCCTCGGCCAGTGTTGACAAATCTTTGCAAAGCCGAGAGCAGTCTACATAATTTGAGAATGATCAGCAAGCTTGTTCAGTTCGTTTCACCTGTGACGGTGAAAAGCAGCGCGCAAGTGCCTTGCATGGATGGTGAAATCTGGCGAAAGACAGAAACATGAGAAAGACCGTTGACGACTCGAGAACGCCCGGGAAATGGGAAAGGCGGCATTTGCCGCCGCGGCGGCGTGGCGGCGCGGCGGCAGTGGCGGTGCCAATACCAAACTCCCACGATCTCGACGCGACTGGCGCGTCGCCCCTGGGCCAGTGAGCCACAGATAAGTATTCCTTCGCCATTAGGGCTGTAGAATTCCTTCTGTAGTAGATTATCGTCCCCAATAAAAAGTGTTATCTCCCCAGAATCCCTCTTCGTCTCGCTCCCTCGCTTTCTCTATTTTCTTTATTCCCCTCGTCGCAGCAAACATGTGCCCAGGCGGCCATTCTACTACCTCGGGCTGTCCAACTACCTCGGGCTCTCCGTCTACGTCGAGCTGCCCATCTACTTCGAGCTATCCGTCTACATCGGGCCATCCATCTACCTCAGGCGGCCCATCTACGTCGAGTAGCAGCCACTTTAGCTTGTCGGACGAGCCCTATGAGATCGACGGTGTCCCTTACTGCCCTTGGTGTCATCTACCGCTGCAGCCCAGGCGGTGCGCTAACGGTAGGGTGGATCATATCAACCGGTACTTCGTCGTCGTACGTTTCTCTAATTTTATTCTGCGTTTGTATCGCTCACGATTCACCCAGTGCGAGAATGTCCACGCTCATCCGTTGGGACGGGGCGACAAGCTCAGGAAGTTCTGGCACTGGTATCCTCTCTATGACGCCCCAGAGCATATCATGCTCCTCTCAGACAACTCTTGGACTCCTCTATCCTCACCCGCCTCATCTACTCCCGCGCGTTCTCCCGCTACCACTATCCCACTACCAGCTCTTTCTATTCCTCAAAGTACCCCATCAGCACCTCCCACTTCGGCTGCTAGTCAGCCAGTACCTCCTTCCCGTACCTATCCCCCCCTTGGACCCTTCGTCGCCGGTTCCCTCAAGTGTATTTGGGAAGGCGGCTGCACCAAATCGGCGCCGA